CGGCCTCAACCTCCTCCCAACCCCAACCCCAACCCCAACCCCAACCCCAACCCCAACACCAAACCCAACCCCAAACCCTGGAACGATATATTCTAGCACTCCTGTCGCTTGAGTTTGGCCCTCGATCTACCAAAAGGTGGGTCAAAATGACACAATGATTTAACATCTTATTATTATTATTCTGATTTAGTAAAGGAATATTTTAAATAAAAAAAAAAGAAATCTACCATATCTAACTTTTAACATTTATTACAAGATGAAGAAGGACACACAAAAATGATAAGAATTATAAGTTTTCGCTGAGTTAACTTGATATGATAAATAAGAAACTATTTCAGGTTGCAGAACATCAATTTTATTTAAAATATCGAGGTGTGTTTACCTGACCACAGCACAATCACTTTGCATAAGCATTAATGGAACCTAAATTTAGTGCATATCTTCTTAGATCGACTGCTCTATAACTTAATAGAGAATGTAAATTAATTGAGACTATTATTATATTATATATAATTTTCTAAACTATATCTGAAAATACTAAAGAATTTGATGGCTGAAATTTAACATACCAAACCAGAAATTATTGTGTATTATTGAAATTAAAATTAGTGTATCTCTTAACCTAATTAATAATTTCATTTAGATCTTCTTCCTCTTCGTTTCAGGTAATTGATTTATTCTTTTCTCAATTGGTATCTTCTTACAATAGATATAATTGAAACCACCAAGATTGTGACAATCACACTAGCTCCTATACATAAATATATAAATATTCTTTCTTAAAATTCATTCATTAAAGCCCCCCTAACATCAAATATATATTCAAGATTTGATGAACAATAATTCAATAAGTTCTATTAATTCTTATTAGGGCATTCAGTACTAATCATTTACATCTTAATATTAAAATAATCTGATACTTGTACTTTACTCATCTATGGAGTTTGGGCGTAGCAAACTATGGAGCTTGGCAACTCTATAGTATAATATAAAGCCACTCCATATTTAAAGATTCCGACTAAATAATTTGTGTCTATGCTTTCTATTCCAAGAAAATCCATTTAATAAAAATCGTTACTATTATTCAAAATATTGTATACCCTTCCAACATCATTTTATTTGCTATAGAGTCTATCATATATTTTCGATGAATATTATTGATTGGATTACTTAGTAGTATTGCATAATCTCTCAATTATTTAACATTTTTGATTGACTTTTTCATTGTTTATTTAGTTTACAATAGAATCCAGCTATTGCCATTGATTATTCCTTCAAAGATTATAGATCTTTATTGGTTATGCTATACTAAAATAATTGATTCTTTTTCAATAGAAATTATTGAACAACCTGGTTAATTAATATAGAAATCCACATCTATTTCAATCTCATTTAAACGCAATCTCTTGACTCCATTTTCATGATCAAGGATATACAGATAATCTTCGTAAATGTTAATATCAATCAAATTCATCTTCTTTTCTACTGCATAAATATCCTTTTTATTTAATAAAAATCATACATTTGCAAATAATTATTTTGTTAATACTAGGGTGTGTTAAACTATCTCATATATAGTCAAGTATTATTATCCATTAATAAGATAAATATAATTATTTCAGAACAAGAACTTTAAATTGATCGTTTTGTTAGACCCAATTTAAAATTTCAAATTAATATAAGGTGTTATTTTAAATAATGAACTTACTAAACTATTCGTTATTGATATAATAATAAGCATCTTGATCATTTAATAATTGCTAATGTTATTTAGTATTGCTATAAATTGATAAATTAAATTTTGAATAATTGAATAACTTGGAATTTTAATCAAAACTCAAATAATGAATAACTTAATTCCTTTCTAATAACAATAAATTCAAATCACTTTTTGTATATGAGATTATTTAATCAGAAAATCCCTATTCTATCTCACTAGTTTCTAATTCATCAATCTCAATTAATTGCAATTCTTTAATAAAAGAGTTAAAAGAGTTTTCGATTTTATTAAATATTAAGTATTGATATTCAAAGCTGCAAATATCCTCAAATTACAAAGAATCGTATTAAATTGAAAAATTCCTATTAATCCTATATTATTAAATACAATATTTATCCAAACTCCTCAAAGCTTCTAGCAAAATTTGTTTATTGGGCTACTAAATTAATGAATTCTGGACTTGAAAAAGAATAATTCGACCATGTGATATTTTGAGAAAGTGCAATTCCAATTAAAGCAAATATTAACATATTATTTATTATTATAAAATGCAAAATTTTAAATCCATATGCATATATCTAAAATTTACTTATTTCCCTGAAAATTCTTAATTTTGAATTCTTTCATGAATAAATATGGCTAACGCATTTATTTAGATTAAATGATAATCATTGAATCAAATTTTCTTCATCGATAAGTAGATGAAGATCATTTCTTGTAGAACTGATTACTACTCTTTATAACTCAAAGGTATAAAGCTCAATATTATTTATTTTAAATATATCTATGTTTACTAAAGGCCTACACTATAAATTAAAATAAATCATAAAAGTGAATGAAATAGAATTCAGACTTATTCTTTTCTATTTGTTAAACTTCTTTTCTTTGAATCATTTCTTAAAGGTTTATGAATTAATAAGAATAATATTAGATAATTTAGAGTACATTATCTTAAAGAATGATAAATATGTGTTAAATAACTTATTATTTATTTAATGATCACAATCTGAATAATGGATAACGAACCTTGTCGTTTTTTCTAGATCCGCAAGGGATTCCACCATAAATATCACAAGGACATCTTTATGGTTAATATTATTCATTGACACAAAATGAAACACTTATCAATAATAATTTATTATTTGAATCTTTAGAGCATAATAACTAAGCTGTTGATCCAATTTTATTTTCAATGGCATCTAATATACTGTCTGTATCGTATAATTTATTGTCGTCTGGTTTAATACCAGCAGCAGATAAAATATCATAGATATTGTATGATTTCCATAATTATAATGTTGTTTAAAAGTATTCTTCTTAGACATTCATTCCAGGAACTTAAGGTACTAAATCATCCTTTTCATCCCAGCAAGTACCATGCTTATTCCATTCATGTCTATCAATAAATCATATAAATTACGCTCTAAATGATCCTGATGGATTGAAAAAACCGACCCATGCTTAATCCAAATTAGTCATGGTTGTCTTCGAAAGGTTTGATTCTTTGAATTTATTATTGGTACAGGCTTCGAGTTCTTCGCAATCCCCACTATCATTTGTAGCTCCTGGCCATAATCCATGGATGGCCCACGATTAACCCTTATAATTTCCAACATTATCCTTATAACATTGTTTAGTTAAACAAATGCTACCAGGCCATTATTGCTATTCTAATATGCATTTTAGTTTACTTAAAAGGTATAGAACATATTTGGCACTTCATATGAAAAACCAATTGTAATTAAAAGAACAATTATCAAATTTTTGGACATTAAATAAAATATTAACATTATTTAAAACGATAACAAAAAATATATAATTAAAATACCTTTTGAAAAAATTATAAAGTTCCTCTTAATTTTACTATCATTCTTAACAAATTTAAAAAACCCTCAAGAAATGATTGATTTTACTAATTTGTGCAGTATAAAAATTATATTGAAATATTTTATATATTATGATGAAAATATATTTCAATAGTGACCAATTTTGGTTTAACCATAAGTTTGACCAATTATTGTTTCTATTAATAAAATTCTATTTCGTATGGTATAGTTTAGATGATAAATAAAGTAGAACTGACTCATCAATTATATTATTTTTTGACTCTTGTTGACCTAAATTGAAACTAAATTATAATGGCAGACAATATCATTTAATACATAATTATACCTTTTTAACTGATTCAGATGAAATTCTAATTCGCTATTTTCAAGATAGTCGATTCATTTTAATCATAAATAAAATACAATTGTTGAAAAAATGATTAATTAAGTATTAAATATAATATTTAATTTATGTATCAACTTTAAAGTCATGAAATTATAATTAAATTTGCACCTAATTCAAATAATATCATAGTATCTCCACACCTATTGATTTCTGCGAGATGAATTATTTTCAATTAATCATTTTTTAAAAATAAAATTTTTTTAGCTGAGAGCAATAATACACTGTAAGGTAGTATAAAATTTTCTTATTAATCAAGATGTACGATTTGATCTATTATTTCAGCTTTAGATTGTTAATAAAATAAAAGATATTATCTTAAACTCAATTATATAAACATCTTTTAAAATATCTCTGGATAAATAATTAAAATATGAATTTCAAGACCTTTCCAAAATTTCCTTAACCTCAGGAATAAATTAGGAATCGAAAACTGCGTTCTCATACTATTGAAACAATTTCTTAATCCTTTAGTAATGCTGAATTTTTTAACAGACAAAAATTATATGATGAGCTATATAACACCAATCTATTCTAAATTAATTATGCTAATTGTTTAAGAAATGAACAAACAAATAAATAAAGTAAATTTAAGGAGATTGTAGAATCTGTATAATTAAAATTTACTGCATCCCCTTGCAATCATAAAAACAACAGCATAAACCTATAAAAAAGTTCAATTTAAGAAATAGTTGAATAACTGAGAAAATAGAAGAGAGCGAGCAATGCTAAACTTAAAAATAATGATACTACTTCAAAGAAATAAACTTAATTAAATCTAAATTTCAATTTGGTTATTACAATAATAATCATCTGTTATTTAGTATTACTTAACGAAATGATTAAACCAACTGATCCCAATTCGAAATGACCATATATATTTAATCAAGTATAATACTGGAAATTTTTTGTTTAAATTAATATAGTATATTTTAAGAAATAATTAAAAAGAAAGCTTTGTAATTTTTTGTAGGAGTTGATTTAAAACTCACAATTTAAGTATAAATTATTATTATTCTTATTTTATCTTAAGGATACTATCTAATTAAAATTGAATGATAATACGGGATAAAAAAATAATACTCTTAACGTTATTACAAAGCTTAAAGCTATGAAAATTATCTAAATTAAATGAATAATATGTATTTTAATCATTAAAATCTAAATAAAAAATAACCATAATTTAAAATCTAATAAACTTTGGTGGAACACAAGTTCAAATTTTAATATTATTATGTATCAGCAATAAAGCTTAAGAAATTTATTTCTTCGAACAAATGGATTAATAAGAATTAGACCAAAAGTGAGAGTAACAGATAATTACACCCTATCTCTTGTGTATACTCCAGGGGTTGGCCATATTTGCAAAGTAATTTAAAGTGATCCAGATCAATTATATGATTTGACAATTACCAATAATTCTATTGCCTTATTAGCAGATGGATCAAGTAAATTTGTTATATATGTAGAATTTAACCTTGCAAAACCTTAGAAAATGATTCCAAACTTAGAAGCTACAAGTGCACTCTATAAAGCTTTTTATGATGTTGATGCATACCCAATTGTCCTAAATAGAAATATAATGCAAAATGTCTCTGATTACTTGCTTGTGATTGATAATTTGTCTCCAACATACAAAGTAAAGATTGCGTAATTGAAATTAGACAATTGTTTTGATAGATATTGAGAGTAGTCTGGCATGCTAAATATTATAAGCAGTCGAGAAAACAAAATTAGACTGCAGTGTTATAATCACGAATTCGGAAAATCTTAGAGAATAATTATATGATGCTGCATTGATAAAGGCTACCTTAGATTGCAGATCTATCTTAAAACCTTCTTAATTAGAAGTGGTGAGAAAAGCAATAACTTCAATCGATTTTAAAGGATTACCAAACAATTTAACTAATATTTTAATTTCTGCTTATGCTTAAGGATTATAAGAAATTCACAAAAACAAATGGTATCATCACACAGTACGAAATGTTGAACCTGATTAATTTGTAAAAAAACTAAATGATCTGTACATTTATGGAGATATAGCATAGTATAATAAATGGTCGGATGGGCATTTGCTTTAAAAAAATGATTTTTATCAAAATGCTTTGGAATTGCATAGAAGATATAATGGAATGATTACAATAGAGTTAAAGTTTAGTCCTAGATCATTAGAAGACTTATTCAAGATTTACGAGTCATCTTATAAAAAGGATGAACTCGGTTAATTAAGATAGATGCTCATTGATGATCCAAATAAATTAAGAGAGATCACATTTTAAAAAAACTACGCTGCAATAATTACAAATGGGACAGCTATTTTAGGATTAGGAAATATAGGGCCAGCTGCAGGATCACCAGTTATGGAAGGAAAGTCGGTTTTATTTAATGCTTTGGGAGGCATTGATCTAATGCCAATATGTTTAAAGGAGAAAGACCCTCAAAAATTAGTTAAGATTATAAGATGGTAATAATAGTAGTGATAGTTTAGTATTGCTCCAATATTTTCAGCAATTAACCTAGAAGATCTTAGAGCACCTGATTGTTTCCCTATTGAAGAAGAAGCTGTGCATAATCTTCATATCCCATTAATGCATGATGATCAACATGGCACTGCTGTTGTCAGTTTAGCAGCTGTTATTAATTATATAAAATTGACAAAGAAGAACATCAAAGACCTGAAGTTGGTAATCAATGGTGCAGGGTATCAAATATTATCTATATATTATATAGTGCAGCTGGAGTTGCTATTTGCAAATTGCTACATGGACATGGTATTTAAGACATCATTATTTGTGACACTACTGGTATCATATATGAAGGAAGGCCTTAGAACATGAACGAATTCAAAAATGAATTAGCTTCTTTTACAAATCAAAATAAAATTAAAGGAGTTTTGAAAGATGCAGTGAAGGGAAGAGATTTATTTGTAGGAGTGTCAACTGCTGTAATTGAATATCTAAGTGTTATAGGGATCTCTGACTAAAGAAATGATTAAGAGTATGAATAAGAATCCATTTATTCTTGCTTTGGCTAATCCAGAACCTGAAATTATGCCTGATGATGCCATTGAAGCTGGGGCCTTTATCATAGCAACTGGAAGATCTGATTTCAATAATCAAGTAAACAATTCCCTTGCATTTCCTGGTATCTTTAGAGGAGCCATCGATACGAGAGCAAGAGAAATCAATTTAGAAATGAAAGTAATTCTATAGGGTAAATGATTAGATTGCTGCTGCTTATGCCATTGCTAATAGTATTAAAGATTCAGATCTTTGTCCTACTAGGATATTACCAGGTGCATTAACTGCAGATATTCCAGCCAATGTTGCCAGAGCAGTTGCGATTGCTGCTATGTAGACTGGAGTGGCAAAAATAAATATTGATCCAGATAAGGTCTTCGATTAGGCTAGGAAACTAATTATGGAAGGAAATATGCCCTCTTTGTGAATATTTATAATAAGTATATTTTAATATGCAATAAATTGACATTGATAATCATCATTTAAACTTCTAGTTAGAACTACAATATGCCAGAGCAAGATAACGATAGAGGAGAAGGAATATAATCCTAATCGTATTTGCTATAATGTCCATCTTCTATGTATTCATTCAACCAAATCAATATGGCAATAAATAAAATCAGATTCAATATTCTTAAACTAATGGCACTAATGGAGCCATCAACATTACAGAGACCAATTCAACTTTACTCTAAATCTAAAAACATTTTGAAATATTAGAGAAATTACTCATCTCCCAATTTCAAGGAAAATGGACTGATACATAATTAACATCAAATGAGTTGGCAGAAGCCAATTTCTATAAAACTTCTTATTAAAATCGCTTTCAAATACAACTACATTTGAAGCTAATAGAAGGATAGTTCCTAGAGGATTATTATAACCAATTCTCATTTTATTTGAATTCGTCATAACTAGTGTTACCCCTTGAAGACAACAACTTTGTATTCGAAAATGTCAGAGGGTCTTATAGAAGATCTAGTGTTTATGAAAATGATCAGTCCAGCTTAGAAATCTTTGCTAACTTGACCATGAGATTAAATAACATCAACATGGATAGTGATACCCAAGATGATATTGGAATCGAATTAGATGTTCGTTATACTTTAGATTCAGAAACATTCTCCTTCAATTGCAATCTTAATATCATAAATGTAAAACATAATCATAAATTAAGATAGATAGCAAAGCGATTATCTATTCCACAATAGTCTCAGTACTAGGTGTGATTTAATTTATTAGTTGTCTTAAATTGATGAAGGACTTCATAAATGAAAACAGGATGGCTTCCTAATTCAGTCTCATTATATTTGTATTCCTTATGATCTATGATGGCTATTTAGGAATAGTTCATTTCTTTCTTGCACTGCAAAGCGAAGTAATTACCTATTATTAATTAGTATTTCTTAACACCTGCCTTCCTTGAATTAGTGTTGTTTTTCTTCTTAGAATTGAAATTAGCTAAACACATTTGGCAAGAAAGGTTCATCAACCTACAGGACAACCTGAATTTAAGAAGAGAACTCTATAGATTTCATCTTAAGTTTTACTTGCTGGCTATTGTCGTTGTACTTCTACTTTATTACCTTATTTACTATAATGTTTTCTTGATTGCCATGAATCTATATTTACTACCTTAGATAATACATGTAGCATATAAAGGACAGTATGTAGAATTTGATAAAATCTTTGTTTTCGGTTTATTGTCAACTAGATTATTCATACCTGTATTAGATACATTCTTAATTTAGATTTACTATAGAGGCTGTCCTTACAATATACTACATGCTTAGGTGTCCTATTTAACAGTAACAATTATAATTCTCTTATTTGCTGCTCAAGTAGTCCTCTATTATTATCAATGTAAAATTGGACCGAGATTTTTCCTTCCCAAGTGGCTAAGACCTAAATCACATGAATATTTTATAGAATAACCCATAGATGGAGAATGTGCAATTTGCATCAGTTAATTAACTGAAATGCCAACGGAATCATAATTAGATAATAAGTTTATTGCGAAAATAATTAGTTAGAATTAGAATAAATTAATGGAAACACCTTGTGTATTAATTATGGAGTATCTTAGGGTCATCATTTTCATTCCATTTGTTTAACTAAATGGATGAATGTCAAATTAAACTGTCCAACTTGTCGTTCCGTACTTCCACCATTAATTTGACTCAAATAAATATAAAAGAGCTTATTAATTATTTTCACTTAAGAATTTAATAACAAATTTACAAAATCAATCCAAAAAACTCAAATTTTCGATTTTCTCATCCCCTTTCTTAATGATATCCTTGATTGTCTTTGCTTATGTCTTTACGATGTTTAAATTTCCTATGGCAGATTCTCAGTCTCATCCACCAAAACAATATACTTGCTTACCAATCTCTAAAAGTACTTCTCAACATCGACATGCATAAACAATTGATTCTTCATATGCATCGCATAGATTTCATTTGTGATATGATGAATTTCTTGTCTGTAAGAAATAGCTTCAGATGGATCTCTGCATATTCGTAATTTCTATTTGTAGTATTTTAAATCAAATTTGAATTTCTTGATTATTTATTAATCCTAAAGATGAATTCTAATTCTATCTCTCATTAATTCAAAAATGAAACAATTTCTCATTTATTAAGCAAAGTCTTTATCTTTCATCACTTGAAACCACATTACTATAGCTTTATTTCGTTATACAGGTTACTTCTCTTTAATTTCTTACTCCCTAATCTTCTCATTTGTTTTTTCCCATTTTGTTATCATTTCCTTCTTATATTGAAAATAGTTAGCTTCAAATAACAAGACATATTTTTTAATGATCAAAATCTTATTAGCTTTTTCAAGCATCCTAACCTTCATGTCGTAGATTATAGCTCTTTGTCTAAAATATGGGAGTAAGAACTGTCCTTACTTGATTCTTACCAACTTACCAACAATTTTGGCTCTCATCTTCAAAGCAATGATAGCATCAACTGTAATTCTTGTGTTTAGGGTTAAGCCTTTAGTTTCAGCTAATTATTTTCTTAAGAATATCAATATAAACTTAATTTTGAAGGCAGCCAATCGATATTTTTTAATTACTCGTTTTTTATGGTAATAAATATTTGCTATCATCTGCCCCATTTTAATTATCTAGAGAAGGATTGCCCATTGGTGTTCAAAAAAGAACTTCTATCTCAAAACGAGGTTTAGTTTCCTTTGTAGTATTTTTTCTTGGTTGGACAATTATTTTGCCTTAATATCAAACTTTTTTTAAACAATTGCTTAATTTTGAGAGTACTTTTAAAAATTTCTAGTGGACAATACTTTTAGAAATCTATCAGATCTTGAAATTTCATCATAGTATTTATTTTTTTTAATTCTTGCTTATTCTTTATTAGTGTTGATAATATATTAAAAGGATCGAGAATTAGCAGAGTGGAGATTGTCATTAGTTGGATTGTCTTATAAAGTTTTCAGTCTATAATTTTCTTCTTTTTAGATTTTAGATTGAATGTTGAAGGTGACTTCGGAGTCTTTTCTGGAGATAAAAGAAATATAAATAAATTCACCTGTGGTTACTGACATTTGAAATCCTCTATTATTAATGACTTATTCGCAATTATGATTGGTTGGGAAAGGGTGAACTTAGGAGATCAATACTTAAAATTCACTTGAACATTAAATGAAACATCGCAATGGACCAACAATATTTAGACAGGAAATTTTCAAATATCTATGTTCCATGGCTTTTGTTAAATAAGTTTTTCCAGAAATAATCAGGTTATTTTCTTCTTTCTGAATGTAATAATCAGGTTTCGGTAAGATTAGAGTATGTGAATAGGGAACTTAGACTTGATTATAACTATTTCGAAGGAATATTGATTGTTTAAAAGACATTTTTTAATCCTCAAGAAAGATGCTAGATTGACCTAATTATTGTAAAGAGTAGGTCTCTTATCTTTTAGTAAAGGTTTCGCTAATTTCTGTTTTAAAATTCTCTCTCATATAATTAGTAATATTTATTATCACTATCAGATTTTGGAGATTTATTTATCCATACATTTGGTTCTATGATCTTCTCATTTATTAATGTACATAAAATAACTTAATATACATTTACGACTACTGAACACTCCAATTTTTTAAGGGAATTCATTATGATTATTGGTTAATAAGATGATTATAGTATTTTAAAAATAATAAATTCAATGAAGTTTGTATATATTTATTAATTTAATAAACTTCAAATGGAAGAATAACTCATTAATGTCATATTCGATCCTAATTTCTAATCTTTTGATTAAGAATTGGCCAATCTAAGTATGGATAAAATGATGAGCATCTAATTCTCAGAAGAATTATTACAAAAGAATTTTGCAGTTTTGATATCTATATTAAAATAATTGCACAAGGGAATGGTACTCTTAAATTCTAAAGTATCAGATAATTCTGATTGGGTCTAAGTATAAAATGTAGTTAAAATTAGAAATTGAAAGAAGTTAGTGAAACTCCAGAATCAAAACAGTAGAACAAAGACACAATTGATCAAATCACTGCTAAATTATAGGAAATATAAGAAGTGTCTCAAAAGGATTATGTAACCAAAGAAGAACTGGATTAAACTAATCAAAAATTTAGTAAATACTATTAACTCATTCAATTTAGATAGAATTGTAAAGTAGTAAGAACAGGCTTTGCAAGATCTAGAAGGAGAATAAACTGTCTAAGCTAAGAAGATAGAAGACTTAAATAATAATTAAACACAATAATCTGAGTAGTTAAACAAACTAAGTCAAGAAATTGAAAACATTATGAAATAAATGAGTGGTTTCTAAAATGAGTTGCATGAAGTGGAAGACCGTAAACCAGAACAGATTATAATAGAAAAGGAAATAATCAAAGAAGCCCCCACTTAGCCAATTGCTCTACCTATTTAATATGCAGGGAATGATGATGAAATAAAACGATTAAACTAAACAACCCTAGAATTAAGTAAATATGTACATTAGAGCTAGAGTAAAAACAAGAATAGTTGTCATAAGAATTAGCCAATTTAAGGGAGGGACTAAATAATATAAAGGTTCCTGAGGAAAATCAACCAGTAGACTTATCTGATATCAATAAGAAATTGGATGGCCATGAAAGTGAGATTTAATCTTTATTTGAAATTGTTGATAGCGTGAGATAGAAATTAAAAGATTAAAATAATAATTAACAATCTGATGTCTCAAGTGAAGAATTAATCTAAATTAAAAATGATATAAAGAAATTGCAATCATAAATTGAGGCTTTGTAGACATAATTAAACTTAGCCACTTTTGGATAGGGTTAAGACATGCAAGAGAATTAGGTTGCATTAATTTTGGCAGAAATAAATAAATTAAGAGATCAATTATAAAATTATTGTACAACTACAGACTTTTAGAATGAGAATGCTAAGAGGGAACTGAGGATCAAGTTTGTATAAGACCATGCTGATGAAGAGTTAGAAAAGGCAAGAAGAGAATTCAAAAGCAAAGTAGACAAGAAGGTTGAATAAACAGAAATTGCTAAAGTAGAGAAAGACATAATTTAATTGAGAGAACAATTAGGAAAATCACAATAGAGAAAATCTTAACCTAATATTGAAACACCATTGAGACAATCAAATGTAGAGAAAGAATTACAAAATTAAATTAAAGAATTGTAACAATCAATAAAAGAAATTGAGGGGTATATAAGATTTAATAATTGTTTAGTGATTTATTAATACACAAAACCTAAATGAATTAGAATAATCAATTAACTCATGTGAAATTAACTGAATTGGAGAAAAAGATTCAAGGAATTCAAACAGATAAAATTTATATTGAATTATAGAATTAAAGAGAATAGATGGATTTAATTAAACGTGATTAAGATTAAAATAAAATTAAGATAAACAATTTTGGAAAGAAGATTGAATCAATTGTAACTAAAGATGAACTATTCTAAACTTTTGATCCTAAAATTAAATAGGTAAGAGATGAAATTCAAAAAGTTGGAGATGAAACTTAACTAAGCATTGACAGAAAAGCTGATGCCTAAGAAGTCAAAGATTTGAATCAAGCATTTTTGGATTAATTGCAAAAGGTTGTCACAGAACTAATCAAAACATTAGCCAATAAATAAGAAACCAAGAAAGCTTTGATATATCTGGAATAAAAGGTATATTAGAATTACTAGATAGATTAATTAAATATTCATGATACTTGAAGGAGATGGATCAAAAGATCAGGATTCCTTATTTGCCAAAAAACCTCTCTCTTGGAGTTGTGCCTCATGTGACAAGGACTTAGATAAATATAAAGGACAATTAGGCGACTTCAAAAACTGGGCTGTATTCCCACCTAAGGAAACATCCCCTGAGAGAATGGGCAAAGTACATTTTGAGCAATAATCACTAGTTTGGAATTGGGTATAAGAATATGCAAGAAAAATTGAGATCTCACAGGGAAAAATTAGATAAGGATAGAAGTTAAAATGAGAAAGATTCCAGTTAATAATAATAAAGCATGACATTAAGTCAAAGTTAAACTCAATTACCAAAAATTAAATAATGATGAGGTCTTTATTTCAATATAATTATAAAACCAAAATTTATCATATTAAAAGAGATAACTATTTCTTAATTATGAACACAAACAGGTCCTCCTCAACCAAAAGATTTGTAATGAATTCCCCTTATAAATATCCTTACATATCAGAACCAACACCTGATGTCTCAATCAATTAAGGGTTTGATTTACTCTGGAGATAACATTCTTTAAAAATATTTTGTGCCATCACTAAATTTATTTTGAAACTAAAAACAGCTGCTGAACGCTATCGATTTAAAACTGTTACATATAGAATACACGAAATTATTGGAGACTAATCATCCAATTATGATTTTTATTAAGACAAAAACTTAGTCTTTTCAAAAATTTCATTATCTCAATCAATAATTAAATACTTCAATTCTATAATGCCACAAATTTAAATTGGAGTTATTTAACCTGACAGTAAACTTAAGTTACTATTGGATTGCTGCATTTTAGTTTTTGTAATTATCAACATATTTTATATTCCTATGGAATTATCATTTAAAATCGATTACAACTAAGAGGTAGATTTTTTTTTTAGTACTTTACCTAGTTACATATTCCTATTGGAAATATTACTTAATTTTAATACAGCTTACTATTCAGAGGGCATGATACATGAAAGTAGAAAAATGATATTTAAGCATTATATTAAAGGAGATTTCATTAAGGATATAATAGTTGTCATACCCTTTCTCATATCATAGTATAATATTCCATATATCAATTTTGTCCTCCTACTAAGAGTGACGAGAGTGACTAAGATGGTTGAGCAAATTGAGGAAATCACATTAATAAGAGAAAAATTTGCTGCTCCTTTAGATATAATAAAACTCATGTTTTTTATGATCTTTGTGTCCCATATTTTTGGGTGTGCTTGGCATTATGTTGGTCAGTATGAAATTACATAAGAAATAGATAATTGTTGGTTAATTAAGTATAATTTAGATAATTCTGATTGGGCCACCAGGTACGTAGCATCTCTATATCTTGCTACTGTTACAGCCTTTACTGTAGGTTATGGTGACATAGTACCATAGACAACATATGAGCAAGCATTTTTGATATTTATGGTACTTGTTACATCTTTAATTTTTGGATATACGATATCATCGATCTAAACTATATTTGGGTAATTAAGAGAGAAAACAGATTTGCATAGGAATAATATGGCAAAAGTAAATTCATATATGAAAAAGCATAAATTGAATCCTTTATTGTAAATGAAAGTAAGAAAATATTTAGACTACTTTATTGATGTGGATGACAGCCCAGAGCAATTATTAGATAAATTGAATGATGACTTGAAATTAGAACTAAAGTCAAATATATATGTTTAAGTGATGAAGACCTGCTCAATTTTTTCTAGATTTTCTGATTAAACATTAAAATAGTTAAGTAAGGTAGTGAAATCTCAAACTTATATACCTGGTTCAATAATTTTCTCATAAGGAGAGTTTATCAATACTGCATGCTTTATCATAAAAGGTGTTGTTGAGTTCAATATCAACAAAGTCTCAATTGCAACCTAATACAAAGGATCATTAGGATCAAAAGAATTTATTTCATCAGAACAAGCACACTACCATGCCAAAGCTACTCAATTTACAGAAGTGGCATATATAACTTAGTAAGAATTTTTCAATGTTCTCAAATCAGATCAAAGCAGTTATGAACAATATTGCAGTTTAAGGGATGATATAATATTTAATCTGATACCAATTTAATGTTTGATTTGTAGACGCACTCATGAACTAATGAATTGTCCTATTGTGTTTTATAAGCCTCCATAATTAAAGATAGCATAGGACAAGAGTTTAAATGTGATTTTGGATAGATTTCCTCAATCTAGGAAAAAGCAATTGAAATCTAAGGCTATTACTAGGATTTAAGAAACAATTGAGTATGCTTTAGAAGCTGCTTTTGACTATGGAATTATTCAGGAAGAAGTGAACGAGGATTTCCTAATGAGGTGTGGATATAAAGAGAAAAAATAGGGACAAGTCAATCCTAGTCATAGTTCTCAGATTGAGACTGGGAAACAATAGATGGATTTGTTGAAGCCTCCGAAGATGTATAAGAAGATATTTCAGTCGAGTGAATATAATTAATCAGAATATGCTTAAAATGATGATGAGAAATAATTGGAGTAGATTCATAAGGAATTTTTAACATTCAAAAAGGAGGATATTGAAGGGATTGACAAAAATGAGGAGTTGGTATGTTATAGAAAAAAGGAGAATTTGAGTAACATCCTTAACTGTTTAAAAGGGAATAAATACAAATTAGAAAATACTAGAATAACTCGAATGAAAACTTATAAGTTTAAATCATTTCTCAAGTTTGGGGTTAAGTGAATAATTAAATATATACTAATCAATCTTCTTTTACTATCCAACATTTTTCACATACATCATAATCACATTCTTAGCATCTATATGCTCCTCCAGAAATCGAGCCTCTGCAAACATCGCAAGAATGATATTTCAAAGTAGGAACATATTTCAATCTATTATTGATAAAATATACTCATGTCCGCCCCCACATATATCTCCCATTACAGGAGGCTATCTGCATTTTACACAATAATAGAGATTGCATTAGACACATCCATACCTGCACATTGTGTCAACTGGACCGCATTGAGCACATTTCTAGATATGCTTCTTCACCCATTGTAGCTTATGATTATTTTGACACATATCATTTGCTGCCCAATTAATCATTATTTTTACTATATTATCAATATTAAAATTATCACATAAATCAATGAATAATCAAGAATCTCTTGATAAAGTCTTACAGCTAGGATAACAATATGAAGAATAGTATTAAATCTATTTCAAAGTAGGATCTAACAAAGAAAATAAATATAAAATGCAATTGAAATTGTAAATCAAACTGAATAGCAGATTTTAAAAGACAGAAAAGAAGTTGAAAAATACCTATAACCGAAATGATAAATTTGATTAAATTATACATTTGATGAATCAATTCAAAGATTTATCACTATATGCATTTCGACAATCTGCGTCTATTTTACCTTATTAAGTTTATTTTATTTAGAAAGAAGATAAAGCTTCTTTAATTTAAGTTTATTTCAGCAAAAAAGAATACATCTTCATCTTTTTTTGCTGTGGTTTATATAATGCATATAGTGTTTCTCTACAATGATTTCAATAATTTAATCAATTAAAATTTAGTTGATTTCGATGTTTAGGATGATAACTTAAAACTATATTAGAATTTCATTAGTTATCTTATTCAAATTTAACTTTATATAAATTAAATAAAAATTATGCCTTTTGATTTTTTTTATTTACAACAGAATAATAGATAGTTATTAATTAACTTAATTAAAGTATCAATAATAGAATTACTCTTTGATCTTAAATTCTGATTTTGTATTAAAAAATCCTAAATTTATATTATATCATATTATCAAATTAAAGGTAATATTAATTTTAATGCAAGCTTAATCAATAGGAGAAGTATTTAGTTTAAATAATTTAGGATTGCATGGAACTGTTTGATGCAAATACTTATGGTGATGGTCAAGAAAGAAACTGTGGATTATGTTATAAGCCTCCAACTTATGAAGAAATCGAATAAGAAAGTAGAATAAACAATAAAAAATTGATTCCCAATGATAAAGAAAAATTCATTGAGCTTATACTAAAGGAACAAGTAATAAATAATATTAATATGATTAGTAAGTGAGATTGGATAAGAACGTTTAAGATTTGTATGGATAACTTAATTATTCAGGAGTAGTCGAGGAATTAATCCATGCCGAAATATTTAAACATTTTGGCTATGATGATTGCCCATTAAATCATAAATTGTACTATGCCTTGACTAGGAAATACATTAAAGATCCTGAATTGAAGAAGTAAGTATTTTTTTGGAGAAATAATGTAATGCATGGATCCAAACTTGGATTGAATGAATAACCACCTGAAATCCAATTGTTGAATTTAGAATAGTAGAAGGTTGCTTTATAAGAATTAATGCTTAAAAGCCATAAGGAAAATAGATTGCTTGTTGCTTTTGCTGGCAGCATAACATGACCTCCTTATCGTGAGGCCATGGCTGATTATATTGCATTTGCGTAGAAGTATAAGGAGATTTGCAAATGCATCATCGTCTACATAAAGGAAGCTCATTTCGTTGAAAGAGATTAGGAAGGGAAGTTTGTAGATGGATGGCCAATTGGCTTTTACGATTATGAATATCCATAACACAAAAGTCAGGAAGATAGATTAAAGATGGCTAAGACGCTCAAGGAGGAGTACTCGATTCCTGATGAGTTTGAGATTTATTTGGATATATTCCCTTAAAATTAATTTGATGAGACATTTGGAATTTGGCCAGATAACATGGTTGTTTTCAAGGAGCTTAAGTTTATCTGGAGGGGAATTGTAAACTTAGATGGATCAAGAGATAAATATCATTCTAAGTTATTGGAGGATCACTTAAAGTAACTTAAATATTGAGTTGATTAACATTAGTAATCATTCACATGACTTCTATTGGTAGAAATTGGAATATTAATAGAATGAAATATATGATGATTATTTTACTTAATAATTCAATATGAATTTCAAACTGAAATGGATGCTACTTGGGATTTCAGATCTGAAATTTGGGAAGCAGCTTTGTTATTTTACATCACAATTTCTTTGTTCACCTTTCTTAGTTCTCTAATTTCAAGTGCTAGTAATTTAATGTTTTTTCCATAACTGAATAACAGTTACTTTGTCTCTGTTAACTCTTACTTTATCTTAGCCTTTTCAGATTGTTCATTTTCCGTCTCGATTTTATGAGCCTTGATACTAGCTTGCAATGTCTTAATCAAGTCTTACAAACCTTTAGTTTACTCACTAAAATTATAGGAATGCTTACTTCAAACCCTTGATCTCATTGTTGTTATTCTGAATTCTCGACTATCTATCTTGGATCATTTGTTCAAGAATAGTTTATTTCTGAATTAATTGCCAATGTTATTCGACTAGGTAATATATTAAGGAAGATTGAGATCTACATTCAATGTTAATGTAACTTCCAAATACATATAGCGAAGCAAATATCCTTTGCATTGTTGCCAAATATAATCCAAAGAGACCTACATCTGCAGCAACAACAGTGCCTAAATTAAAGATCTTCTCTTAAACATCTGATTAACTTGTTTTTAATTTCTTTAATTGATTCTATCTTTCTTTTTAAAATGCTTCTCTTTCATTTGCATTTACAATCAAATTGGCCGTAAATTGACTCAAATTAAATGGATCTGATTTTAATAGATTAGCCGTCTGTTAGGAACGAGAAGCCATTGACTACACAAAGGTCTTTAGACCATCTGTGGAATCTGGATTTTCTATATGTTCTAGTCTTCCCAAGAATTATGTTCCTTTAACAAAATTGTTAGCCTCAACGATGATTGGATCCAACCATTCATTTGGATTCAAAAAGGCATCAAAATACTTAATGATTTGAGTCTTTACTACTTACTCAGGACAATCATTTGACAATTTCTTGAATAAATCAACTTGTTTTGTTAACAACTTCATTTATGATTGATATTAAATAGTTGAACATCTTATGACTTGTGGAATTACCAATTTGAATTAACACAATGCAAAATATATAGATTTTTTTGACAGACAGAGATTCACAATGTCTTTAGAACTCAAAAATGAAATTAATTGGGTTTTAATCTTAGTTGCTATGATTAATTCGAAGGTGGAAAAGGGAAAATCAGATTTCTCATTGAGATTCAAAAAGTTTGATGTTTTTATTTTTTTAATGGCATTTGTCTCCTTTTACAATTTAACTAAATCTACTTGAGAATTCTTCAATTTATCAGATAATTGAAGTTCATTATTCTTTATACATATTATCTCTTATTCCTTTAGTGTTAACAACTCTTACTTTTATGCTAATTATTCTTTATACAGACAAGCCTACTTTTCGAACTCTTATGCTTATTGAGCGAGTTATTGATGCAATGCTTATGATTCATTAGTGAGCTAATCAAATAGAATGCCTATTATACTTCTTGAATTTATTTTTCATAGGCTGTCTCTAAACTCGTCACGAATTACTCATGATTGATTGTTTTATGCTTTAAATCTTCGTATGCTTTTTTTAATATATTAAATATCTAGTGCTCCTTCTACAAGACTGAAGCGTATTTCTTTAACTTCTTTAAGTTATGATTTGCGTCGGAAATCACTTCAAGAATTTTATCTCGATTCCTTAGCAATGCCTGATACATCATCTCTACCCTTTCATCTTTTGATTTCTGTTGATCCAACTCAAACAAAAATGGGTTCAAATCAGAATCATCAGACTCAACAAACGACTCGTCATCTTCAGGATATTCGATACTTTCAAACTAAAAATTACTCATTAAATAAGATTATAATAAATTGGAGAGAGTATTATTGGAATAAAAAACCAACATACTCATTTTAAAACTGAATACTCATAATCACTCCTATTCTTCTTTAACAGGCTTACCAAACTATTATTACGTAGCAAAACACAAGTATTAGCTAATTTATCTATATATATATAAATATACTTAAATCCAATCTTAGGTAACCTCTTTCTTATTTCCATCATTAAATCTACCCTCCCATTCCCAATTTTCCTTTTTGTTCCTGCCTTTCTTTATCTGCATTACTTTTTCCCTACTCTCCCTGAAGTTTTAAATACTTTCAGTATTGCTTTGGCCGTTGACAGTTTTATAGAACACTTTTCAGAAGCATTTTTGATAGATATTCCATCCTCAGTTATCATCTTGATTAATGAGTTTCTTTATTCATCTGTTATGACATTGTATTTCTTAGATGGAACTATTAATCTCTAAATCATGTGTACTTTTGTATTGCTTTATGTTTTCTTTCTTCGTATTGACGTCATTTACATAGCTCTAAGATGTGCCGAGTTTAGGAAATGGACAATAACTTTTATCAATTAAATCCGAATAAAATGCGAACATATTATAAATAGATATGTTTGTTTTAAAAAGTTTTCAATATTTAATATATAACAGAAGCAAAGAAATTGTTCCCATACTTAAAGAATCCAATTAAATCTATTTCTAAAGGTTCATTTTTGAAACTTAGAATATTCCATTTTTTACATACAGCTATTTTGTCAACAATCTCAGTTACTCTGCAATAATCAAATTTTTATCAATTTTTGAAACGATTTAAATTCAAACATAAAATTAATTTCATATTCTAGTCATCATGTATAATATTTGTGATTAAATAAATATTATAGATATTGTTGTTTATTTATTTGATATTTTACACTGACATATTTGCACCATTTTTGAATAATATGCAATCTTGACTTTTTTTTATTTATACTTGATCTTACAAAATAAGCTTTTATTCCTTTATAAAACAATTCTGATTGCGTAGCATAGAATTTCAGATACTTTCACCCATCTGTTTCAAAATATGTAACAAAAATTGATTGAATTACGGATTTTAAAATATTATTCATTCGAATTAGATGAAGCAATTAGAAACTTTTAGTAAGATTGGGTTATTGAATAATTTGTGGTGAATGTTAGTAATTATTAATTAATAATTAATCATAAAAATTAATACTTATAATATAAATAGCAAATAACATAATTAGTGATTTATTTTTTTTTACATTTCAATTAATAATTAGTCAATTTCTCATTTTATTCATAAGCTAATCAAAGAATATTGGAAAAAATATACAAATACATTTGATCTATATTTTATGATTAATGTAATATTGATAAATTTTGAATTCTAAGTTATAGAATAATGAAAAAAACTAAGAATTTATGATTCTCTATTTCTTTTTGATAATTCGATTATATATTCTTTAAATAAAAATTTATGAACTAATAATTTATTATCAAACATTTTAATTACTCCTATTTGATATAATACTGTCTTGATATTGTTTATAAGAGAGGAGAGCCTTATAATAGTATAAAAAAATACCAAATCTATATTATTTCTAGGATAATACTCATTATAGCTACAATTTTTATCCATAGATTAATTCATATCATATGATGGCATATCTAAAGGGTTACTCAAAAACTATTTTGCTGTTTCATTTGTAAATTTAGATGATTGTATACCATATCTTGAAAATTATCTATGATCAGAGCCTGGTAATAATCCATTACCGTGATCTTCACTTATAATTGATCTTGATTTTTAACTCTTTTTATCTTAAATTGTAGCATATTTAATTATCGATGGACTTAGGTCTAAGATATTTGAATTTCTAACCTCTTTCAATTTTGGTCACATGAGATTATCTCTTCTCTTGTTATCTTTTTTAATGAACCATGACACTATCTTTAGGCGATTTTATTTGTTGTGGCTGTTTTAATTCTTTTAAGACATAAGAACTCGCACTGCTTCCAACTTAGTTTACATATTAGACAGGACTCAAATTTTATACATACTAAGACATCTTATTGTGTTCTTCATCAGATTATTCAGAATGTTATTACTCTGATTACATTCCTATGCTTGTAATGGTCTTGGGAGGCTTGAAAGTGTCAGATTACTGTAGCAATTGATGTCTAAAATCACAGACAATTTATTCTATCATGCTGTTATTTTTCATACATTTAAACTTTCTTGTATGATTTTTCTATATTTAATACAAATATATTTACTCTTTAATACTTTTTGCGTTTGTTGATTTCATCAAAATAAATAAAGTCCATCAATATTTATCTTGAAGGGACATAATGAGCATTCTTACAATTGTTGATTAGATGATTTCCTTTGCAAACTTGACATGTAACAGCAATTAATTGAAATTCCTGATTGAATTACACTCTATCTAAACCCATCTTTATTTTTTCAAGTTCAGTAATACTTCTTTTGACCTCTTTCCAAAAATACTCTGAATTGATTTCTAATATCTTACAACAAGTAACACATTTAACACCAACTTCAGCCTATTATTCTAAAAAGAAGCCTTGCTGATTATAAATTCCATTATCATTAACATCAACTGGGAATTGCGTGTTTTCTCTTTGTTAATAACATTTGACTTTTCCAGATAGAATGAAATATAGAAATTTATTTTCTTAATTTACTTAAATTAGAATTTCATTGGGCTCCAAAATTCTTTCTTTGGAGGCATTCATTAATATGTTTGAGATAGTTGTTTAAGTTAAACACTTTTCAAGCAAAGGTATTTTGTTTAAAACATTGGAATATTACGCATTTAATAATTTATTTGATAATTGATTAGGAAGTCTGTCATAATCTATAAGATTCCTTGTTTCCAATCTTGATAAAATCTATTTATTTGATATTGATAAACTTTCGTATCTAAGATGAAATGGCAATTAATGGATAATTCTAGAGAGTTCAATTAATCCTTGGGTCAATGTGTTTTAATTTCTATATAAATAATTAACATATTCTCCAATAAGAGTGAACTAATAGATTATGAATATGATGACTGTAATTTTAATTGGATATATTAGATTAGATTGGTTATTAGTTATAATTAGAATATTGATCAAACTGCAATAGTTTTGATAAAATTCATCCAAATTCAATTGTTATTAATTGGCTTGAGTAGTAACTAGCAGGAATCCAAATATGGTTTAAAAGAAATGAATTTGTGATATCCTTACAGTAAAGAAATATAGTGAGTATATCCTTAAACATATAGCAATTGAGAGCAGTTGTTTGAATATGGAATAGAACTTGTAGATTGTAACGAGGTGGATGATTTGCATGAAAATAACTTATTAACTAAGATGATAGATAAGATTACTTGATATCGATTAATGCGCAAATAAAGGGAATAAAAGTAGTCAAAGGCAGGTAATCAAAAAACTAAACAGTGCCTTAGGTGTTCAAAATAAACAATATGAAGTTTATAAACAATAGTGGAAGTTGTGTTTGTAATTGATATGCTTATTTATAATCAGAGCCAGCAATTCCACATAGGAGGAGTGGAAATTAATACAAATAATAGATGTATAGGATAATTTAAACAACAATAATAGCAGGTTTGATATTTACTTTGATATCCTATTTATTGTCTACTTCAGTATAAGCTTTGTCCCCCAAGTACATCCCAAATTTGTTACATTAATCATCATCTCTCGATGTACCTGGATGTGTAAAGATCCAACTCCAATGAACTGGTTCTCTGATGATGATGTCATTGATATCTGGGGGTTTCTCTTTTATTAAACTCTCAAAAGCCTTATGATCTGATTATTCATTCACACTCGATTCTTCATTAATTAGATTCAATTGAGTTGCTCTGCCATCCAATACTCCTGGTGTACAAAGTGGTGATTTCTACAGATTATGAGTGCCTATTCTAATTTAATGGAAGTTCTAATACTAAGTGGAGAGTCGATTGGATTGAGAGAACTATTTAAATCAGTAGGTCTTCGAACTTACATGATTGGTTAAGAATTCAGGGAGTTGATTTGTTGAAGTACAGGTACATTAATATTGTTGGAAGTGTCATTCACAGAGATTTCTGATTTTGAACAATTTTTACGGTACGAACTCATTATTATTTAATTATATTAGTCAATGTCATTAGAACAATACCATGTAGCTATTTCAATTGAGATTAGACATCATTTTCTTCATTATCTTCGAACATGAAAGGCATAGGTTCAGTTTCATACATCTGTTTTCCACTTGCAAAATTATTTCTATGATTAAATTTCTTTTTCAAAGAATTCCAATATTTTCATTTGTTTATTCAACTTAGAACTCCCACCCAACACTAATATTAGTTTCATCCTCTCTTCTTTTAAAGAACCTATTCTGGTTAATATCGTTTGCAATCTCTTTTGTTATTATTCGTCTTTCGCATATAACTTTCTAGTTTATTATCTTCCTTCCATAAATTTATCAAGATTTAAATAGATAACTAAATTGCATTCAAGTTATCTCGCTCTTCAATTCTAATGTTAACTAATGAATTTTTATTCTTCAAATCTTTCGAAAATAAAGTCTGTAATACGATGAAAAGGTAATCCTTAAAAAATTATAAACATCTATAAAATGTGTTAATCAATAAGTATGAAAAAGAACATAGAGAATTGAATAAGAATTGTCTGACAGCTTAGGAACTTTAAATTTCATATTTATATTTAGATTAATTAAGTAAATATTTTTCAAAAATCTTACAATTATATAAAATTGAAACTATACCAATTTTAGTAGTCTTGACATAAGAAATGATAGATCAATGATTCAGAATGCAAAAAAATTAATTTCATAATTTAAGTACCGAAAGATATAATGATGAGATTAAATATCCTAACATTTTATTATGATTATTTTCATACTTTGATTTAAATAATAGGGATTTTTATTTTAAAAAAATTTTTTAATGAAGACAACATAAAGAAGGATAATAAGATGAGTGATGGAATAGAGTGCTTAATTGGGGAAATATCTAAAGAGCATTAATTTTTGAACATATTGATTTATGAATTGATTGCATCAATTATGTCAGAGATCATGTGAAGCTTTTTTCAGGAATATAATATGCTTTTTATGTGACTTTGGTTTTCAAATTCTCATCACACAAATAATTTAATGGGAAAGTTACGGCATGACCTTTAATATACTACTTTAATTTTTCGTATTCTTCTAAGCGTTTTGTTGCTCTGAACTAAAAATAATAAAATAATTTCGTACCGTTTCAATATCCTTTTACTTCTTAATATCGTCGTCTGGAATACAAGCAAATATTTCTTTATAAACTCTTGTATTAATGCTAGCTTATGCAGTTGATTCTTTTTCGAATTATAAACTCAAAGGATCGATGACTTTTTCATAAGGCATATCAAAATGCTCCATATAAAGCTCTGTACGTAGAGTGTGCGCAAATTTAGATGTTTTATATGGTTTCCCATCCATGATAGCATTAACTTTTACCTAATCTTCAACAATTATAGCAAGTTCTGAATCTCTCGTTCCTAATAGACTTCTATCATTAATATTTGCAGATCCAATTAATGCTATATCATCATCAATAATCATTAATTTGGAATGAATATATATCATTTCAGTTACAGGCACTGAATTAGGGTATGGAGATAGTTCATGTTATCTTAAGCTGAAGAATTAAATGTAATTTTCTGGGTTAATCCCATCTGATTGTAATGATTCAATTATTGATTTACCCCCTCTACATATGGTTTGATATTCAAAATGTAAAATAATATTAACGAGAGCGGTTTCTGATTCCTAAAATCCTGGTAACAGTGGAAGAAAGACAATAACTTTAAATCTCTATTACTTTTCATGTGCTTCTTTGATCCTAGAAATGAGGGCTTAGGCCACTAAATTTCTCACAGAATTGCCAGCCGTATTACTAATAAAGAATTGATTTTCAATATATATGAAATGTTTTGCCTTTTAAATTAATGAGAGATAGGCAGATTAAATAGATCTCTCAGTTTATATTATGCCATTTGACCAGGTACCAGATGATCTTGTTAACTATGTTATGCAACGTTCTATAATTGTATAAGGAGAAAATACATTAATTTTATTTGATTTCAATATGAGGAATGAAATACTTTATCTCAATTTGGCCGTTTACTTCTTCAGGCATTTTTTCAACTTTTGAAGAAGATTTGTTACATTAACTATGGCTTTTTTTTTCCTTTTTATTATATTCACTTTCTAAAATATATTAATCATCCTCCTCATCTTCAATCTCGTCTTATGTTTCCATGAAAATCTTTTAATTCTTTTAACAAATTTCGAACTCTTTTTATTACTATTAAATGAATGATTGTTCACAGAATTACTATTCAGATTAAGTGTCATTTAATTAAGCAGTTTAATTCATTTCTATTTAATCTTAATACGTCTATATTTCATCTACAAAAATATTTTGCTTCATCTGAATATTAGATTCTTCCCTTCCCGCTTAAACAACATTTTAAGTATTGGAAACTACAAATCCTTCCATCTTCAAATCGTTAGCATGTAATAAATGATACTTCTTATAGTCTTCTTGAGATAAAATTACATGATTCCAATATTCAGCAAAATGCCTTGATAAGTCTATTACTGAATCTCCTTTAATCTCTATAATAATATAATATTTTTCTTACAAATTGCTATATCATGCCACGGCATTCTTGGTTCATTTTCTTTTAGAAGAGTTTATTAATATTTTTTTACTTCATAGAAATCTCTAACTCTAGAATTTGAAAAATCAATTTAAGGCCACAATTATTCAAAAGGATGAACTTCAAATAAAGGATGCTTTTAATTATCCCATCTTCCAAAACATAAATCTAAACCACCCATAAATCCAATTTTTTAATCTATTACTACCATTTTTTCATGATGAGAAGATGATCTTGGCACTTTTGGGTGTTTTAAAACCCTAATATTTGGAGACATACTCTCTAATTAAATTTTCGAATGTTATGGATCATTAGGTAAGATAAATGTTAAGCAATTGTACAATAATACCAAAATCTAAACTCCTTTATCAGCAGCCATTTTTAATATATTATCAAGCCTAGTATGAAGAAATTCACTCTCCTAAGCATATGTTCTTAAATCTACCGGTCTTTTTAGATACAGTTCTGGACTTAACCACCAATCAGTAATGTAGATGGTTTCCTTTGCTTGCAAAATAGCATCACAAACATCCTCAAAATATTTATTTCCATCAATATACCATTTGCATTCTGAAGTCCTTATTGGAGAGAAAGATTAGAATCTATGCAATTTTGTATATGGACTTTCTTAGATTTATTTAGAAAGAGAATAGGCAAAGTCTAAAAGGTCTGTAATGTGTTCAGAAGTTAAATATAATCGCATCTATGGAAGGGAGATTAAGATGATAGTACCAAGCAATATCACGTCTAAAACACAAAATGCCATAAGATAACTAAAACTTAGGCATGCTTCAATTATTAATTTTTTCTTTTCAGGTCCTTTTACATACAATAGGGATTGCTAAGTTATTATAAAATATTTCTTTTTTGATTGTGTCAATGTTTATATGGGGTTAAACAATCTTTATTTTCCAAATAAATTCAATTCCATAAAGCCTTCTTTCGCTTTGAATGGCAAATTGATACAAGAGATCTCTAAAAATGTTAATACACATTATGGAATGATCTCATTGTTAGTGATCAACTTTAAGAATTTATGGAGTTGAATCAATGTAATTTTTGGATCATTCTTTTCCAAATCAGATGAAATTTACTTTTTTTGAGCAATATCATGCTCTAATTTTTTAAATTAATTAATGGTTCTTCTTATTTCCCAACTTTAACCATCATATATCACCTTGAATAAATATACTCTCTCCTTTAGTTACTTTTCGTGGTTTTTTTCAAATGTTGGAGTATATGACGGTTTCTCGAGAGAATCAAATAATTCTTTCATAGTACTATGACTAATGGGTTAAACATCTATTTTATTATATTGGATTTCCCTAAATCTAGGTTGATTTTAAGTATCGCTCATTTAATTAAAATTAATGAAATTGTTCTTAGAATATTTCGGATTTCTCATTTATATTCATATATAGTATTTCTTTTAATTGCAAAAATCTAATTCGTTATTCAAAATATTATGTTAATCTTTCACAATACAATAATCAGAAACTCTGGAATACTCTCTATTCTTTTTAGGTGTTGTGTTCAAAAAATAATCTGAAAATCCCTCTCCTTTTTTTGTTTTCCTTTTCATTTCTTTATCATATGGAACAGATAATCAATTCATGGACTCATAATTGATACCGATTATTAAAAGAATTCTTATAAAAGAGATTTTACTCCTAGAATTGGCTTGATAGAGGTAAAACCTTCTGAGAAATTAATTTTTTCTAGAAAATTTGGACTTCGACTGTTGAAAGACCTTCCAAGAAAGAGAAATTCTTTAAAAGTCTATCAGTCTATCAGAAATGAGTCTAAAAATTGCTAAGCGTATAAATAATATTAATGAAAGGATTTATATGAGATAAAAAGTTATATATTAATCATAATTCTAAATTATAAATTGAATGGGCAATCAATAACAAATATTGAAATTGACAAAGACCAAATAATTTAAACGTAAGAGATCTACTAATTAAATAGCAAACTCTGTCATTGTAATCACAGGAGCTTCAAGTGGAATTGGACGAGAGTTAGCATTACAATATGCCACCAGAGGAGTCAAGTATAGAGAATACTAAATTGATTTAGATTAATGTTGGCTGCGAGATCAGAAGAAGAATTATAGCAAGTTTGTGCATTATGTGAATAACTGGGATCTAGAGCTCACTATAAGATCACAGATGTATCTAAAGAAGAGGACTGCAAGTATTGAATAATTTAAGAATGAGAGATTGTTGATAGAGGAGACAGTGAGAATATACAATAGAATTGATATTGTAGTGCTGAATGCAGGAGTCAATGCTCATTCATTTTTTGAAGAATTCAAAGACTTATCAGTTTTCAAGAAAATAATGGATGTCAATTTTTATGGATATGTATATTGTACTAAGTGAGCATTATAACACATATACAATTAGATATGCATTACCACATATAAGAAAGAGTTCAGGCTAGTTTGTTGTAATGTCTTCGATTTCAGGGGAGATTGGCCTACCTTACAGAGTGCCATATTGCAGCTCAAAATTTGCTGTAACAGGGTTTTTTGAAGCACTTAGAACAGAATTGGAAGATTTCAATGTAGCAATAACAATAGTGTGTCCTCCAAGTGTACGCACTCCAATGAGGGATCATGATTTATTAAAGAAGCATTCACCTAAGGATGAGAGTGAGGATAGAATTACGATATCAGAATGTGTGTCTATGATTTTAGATGCAGCAGACAGAAGGGCTCGCAAAGTATAGATTTATTTTGAGTAGATCTTCTTCCCGTTTAAAGCTTACATGAGTGTGTATGTGAGACCTATCTTTCCTGATTTTGTGGATAAGAGATTAAAATAGAAGGCTAAGTTGTGAGAATAAAAACAAATTGTCATTATATAATTATCATAGTCTTTTTTTACCACATGAACCACAGTATTTGTGATTGTTGGCGAATTTACTGCCACAATTAGTGCAGAAGATACTACGTTGAAATTTATTTCCACTATTCATGCGTATACAAAGATTGATATGCTTTTCATATGCTTTTTGTTCAAATGTCTTCTAACATTGGGGACACTTAACTATTGGCACTGAACGTGATAATATATTTTCAACTCTTTGTTTTATTTTGGGCAGGAAGGATGGCTGACTTGAGGATAGTTCTTATATCAGAGTTTCCTCTGCTTCTTCTTCTTCATTTATTTGGGCCACCACTTTATATTTCTCTAGTGCTTTCGTTCTGGTCTAACAAGTGTGTGTCTTTAGATTTCTATATTTCTTATGACAATTTGGACATGGCAATGAAGTAGGTTGTGTGTGCAAGGTTTAAGTTTTTTATTTCTTGGATTTCTTTACAAAGGGATGTTCAGCTGTACAACTACGTAAGTGTAATGTTAGACGACCCTCGAAGAATTATCGTTTGCAATAAGGACATTGTTCTTTCGGAATCATCTCTATCTAAGTATCTACAGGTGTAAATGGTCTCTCAATTTGTTCGTCTAATTGTTCTTTATCAAATGAATTATTGACAGCTTATATTGTGGATTTTGATATGGCATCCTCATCAAAGAACTCATTCTTCTCATTATCAGTGGGCAATGTTAATTTGTTCATTAATTTATATATGCTAATCAAGAGATTAAGTAACGCCATAGCCAAGTATAGATTCTGCAAAGAAATTCTTGATTTTGCCAAACCCAATCCCATCAAACAACAACTCACCTAACATCCTCTCAATTATATGGTCGTACATCCAATAGGCTCTCAAAACAAAGGTCCTGAATTGGAATTCTATATGGCCGAAGAAGCCATTGGTTTCTCAAAACAATTGAATTGGACTCTTGTTAAGGGATCTTTTGAGTGGAACAATTAAACTAAAATTAAAGACATGAACACCAGTCAAGAAAAAATTCATTAGGATTAATAAGATAATCAATCACAAAAGTAAAGGGAATAGTAAGAATTCCAAGAAGATGATCTAGGACAGGAATGGGGAAATTACATTACTGGAAATTCCATTGTCAAATCATCCCTTGTCAAATTGCCTAGTATTCATTCTACCACATTCTTCACAAAAGCTAAACTTTCTATGTTAGGACAACATATTTAATCAAAAGGAGTTAATGCTGTGTTTATAAATCATGAATTAACATCATTGCAAACTAGAAATTTGAAAAAAGTATGGACCTAATATTCAAGAGGAGAAATAGCATCTGCTTTTACAGAAGATGTCATTGATAATGATGAGAATAATAAAAATGCAGAAGAGTAAGCAAAATCTGATTCTGAAGGTCTTTCTGTTTAGGTTTATGATCGATTCACTATGCTTTTATTATTATTTGCCAAAAGATCTACATAAGGTATTTCAAAATTGCAAGTCGAACTAACATTTCTCAAATTCGCTAAGGCAAAATTAGAAACAGGAGATAGTAGCCTTTAAACACTTGCTTCAATCTTTAAAGAACAATTAATGGTGGCTAAAGAAATTGATTTTGAAATTCTCTCTGCTAAGCAAAAGAAAAATTAAGGAAAAAATAATGAATACAGAGAAAATGAACTTTTATTACAAAGAAGAATTATAGATGATAAAATAGAAAAAGTCAAATAACTCATTGAAGAAGATAATTAATCAAGATTAAAAATTAAACGCAAAATTCATGCTCATACTATTCCCAAGATTGCATTGATTGGATTTACAAATGCTGGTAAGGCTTAGTTATTAAACTGTATATTATAAAAAGATGAGACTGAGAGTAAAGATTAAATATCTTAAATACTGAGTACTAATCAAAAATCTGTAAGACTAGCCTCAGGATAGAAAGCAATTATACTAAATACTATTGGATTCATCACGGATCTACCGCAGGATTTCATAGAAGTATTTAAGTCTACTCTAGGAGAAGTAGAAGATGCTGATATAGTGTTACATATTAGGGACATCTCGCATCCGCATAGTGAGAAGTAAAAGCAAGTTGTCTATGGTGTCCTTAAGGATTTAGGATTTAACTAAGATTTCTTCAATTAGAAAATGGTAACTTTGCATATTTATCTAGATTGAAGTATGGAATAAAATCGATTTGATGAAACACTCCTTAGATTATGATTAGATTGAATCTTATGATTATCCCATCGTACCTACAAGCGCACTTATGAATATTAACATTCAAAAGCTTCTTTAAGTTATGGAGGAAAAATCTAACTATATTATGAATAAGAAGCTATACAGATTAAAATATAATATAGACTAACATTTTGAAAGGCTTAGATGGCTATATGATGTTGGTAATATTTCAGGAGTAAAGAATGAAGTGCAAAAGCTTCCTATTAAGAGGGGAGATCCTACAATTATAGAGTACGATGTCATCATAGATGAAGTCACTTACAATAGATACATAGCCACCTTTTAACCTGAAATAAGAATTAAAAAGGATTAAGGAATCTCTCCAAAAGGTTGGAAATGACTTGTGTATATTTTCTTAAATAATATTAAATTATAATTGTATTTTCTGAAGAGACACCATCTAACTTGGTAGCAAAGTACTACTTTCATAAGTTTTGAATTCAAATCTTCTGGATAATACTTTTTAATTCAAATCTGAAAATAAATAATTAATTAATAATCGATTTTATATTAAAAATTAATTTTTTTTTAGAAAGAACAAAAATATGTTCATCATTCTTGAAATTAAATCGTAGCAAATTTCACTAGCTTGCTTGAATTCTTAATCTTCATTAAAAATATGGAGTTATTTTACTAATATTCGTTGAAGGCCGAAAATTAAATTCGTGGTTTAGAGAGAATTAATCTTTGCATGAAGAACTGAAATTTTAAATTCGTTTATCATCTATTACTTATTACATAGATCTAATTCGTATTTTGATTTATTAATATATTAATTATTCTAAAGCATTTATTAAACATTAAAATTATAGAAATCTCACTTTTAGATATATTTATATTTCATAATAATTCAGTCAAAATAGTCATTACTTATAAAATTGGAATAATAATCATAATGATTTATAAAAGATTGAATTGTCTCTTTTTTGGTTATTTTTTATTATTGAGCATGATGGTCTTTGAAGTTGAAATAATCTTTTAAATTTCCCTTTGTTTGAAAAAATACTATTTAATCTCTTTAGCAGTATTAGAATAGTGGTATTTATCGAGGGTTTTGCGTGTTTATCTAGTATGATAGGGATATTCCTCTAATTTATCATAATCTTTTTGCCTTTTTTAGAATTCTTCAAAAGTTTCAGAATCTAAATAAGAAACTGCATTATTTTTGAAGCTATTTAGATTATGTATTAAGAATTCGGATTGCATGTTTATCTAGTTCTAATTCAAGATGATGTAAAAGTTAGATGTAAATGATATATACAACATAATTTTAGGTATCTTTAGTTATATAGAGATATGGACAAAAATGAAATGGAAATGTTTGATTAAGCTGGAAAGAATGATTTATGATGGATTGTTAAATTTTAGAAACAAAAAGAATATCTTTAATTTTTTGGTATGTTTTAAACATTTAAATATATTAAATATAATAGATGGATTGAATTTTGTATAATTTTAATGTTGTTCATTCATTCAATCATTCCCAATTGTTTGTAACATTTCGATGATTTCTTCAATTGCTACATCATTGAGATTTTGAACTTTAATTTTTTTACTCTTAATTTCAATAGCGTTCTCGTAAGGTGTGTTACCCCATCGATCTCTTTCGCTAAAGTTGAACTTGGCAGTAAATCTCAAAAATCGGATAATTTTTGAGTTGGTTGCCATAACAGCCATGTGGCCTATGTTTCTGCTATCCACATTCACGAATTCATTAAGATTCTTAATACCTCCATGAAATATGAGTTCTAGAATTTATAAATCTCCTTTCAGTCCAGCAGTCAGTATAAGATCCACCATTACCTAATGAGGTGCTTCGATTACTCCTCCATTTTGTTAAAAGAAGAGAATCAATTCTTTATCCCTTGATATGAGGATGTCATACATAGGGGAATACCCAAGGTAATCAACAGGATTTATATTAACATGGACTTCTTCAATTAAATACTTAATAATTTCTATTTATTTTGAAGCAGCAGCTAAATGAAGAATAGTTCTGCCATCAAAATCTGGAATGTTAAGATTTCCTTCGTTTTTTCTAAGATCTTTAATTAAATCCAATTATCCTGTGGTAGCCAAAAAGCAACCTAAATTTGGTATGATATATTTATTCATAATATCCATGTTCTGACTAATCTATTCATCTCCTGAAGTCTTTTACAGAGTTTCTAAGATAGTTTAAATGAAATGTTATTTCTGACCCTCAAATTTTTCAAATTGTCTAACTGATTCTGTTTCCCCCTATAAATTTTATGGAAATTTCTCAATAATTTCCTAATTCGTAAATCCCTTTCCAAGGAGATATCCAATCTTTGCCAAGGCACTCTCAGGAGTGATATCATATTAGACGATGATGCCATTCATTATCTTTTTAAAATTCTTGATTGGTTATCCTTTGATACATTGGGATATTTAAATTAAGATGATTCCCTTTGAAGATTGAGCTTGCAATAAGGCATTATATAAATCTTAGTTATGGGGCATTTCACCAAAATGATAGCATTCCAAAATACAGCATCTTAAATTAGGTGTACTGAATATATGTTTGATGTGTTCAACACTTGTGAATGGAGTGATCTTTAAAATAATGACATCTGTTATGAATTGAGGTGATAACTCAAGTGTGCTTTCTTCACTGCTAAACATTTGTTCTCCTCTTCGTAAAACTAAGTGCCATTTGATGTCGATGTTGATTCCAAATTCAACCAGATTGGGAAAATTTGGACTTTCAACACAATCAAGGGAATCACATTTCAATTATCGACATCTGTTGGCTCTATAAGCTGTGGTCCATAACGATAAGCACTTCTGGGATGAGAAAGTGTCCAGCCAAGATCAGAGAGTCAAGGATATTTTGGAAGGCATCATTACGCATAAAGGACAAGGGAATCAAGGAACCTGTGATAACAACTGTTTTTTATAGGTTTTCAAGCATAAAAGACAGGTTGGTACCAAGATAAGTTATTGTTGCAATTCCGCTTAGAATTACAAATGCACTAAATTTCTCATAGTTTTCCTTTATTATCTCAGCAATGTGTCTGATATCTGCATAGGACTAAAGTTAGATGACTTAAACTTACAGTTTATCTTGAGTTTGTAATTTAATCAAGCTCCATCACCTTATAAACTGTCCTTCTTCCATATTCAGAAACGGGTGTTGTCAAGCAACCATCTTAGTTGTGATACTATTTATGATATTCACAAATACTTGTGTGTATTCCAGATCACAAAGAAAGGATATGTGTTTCATTCGTTATTCTAGTCTTCCTTTGACAACAGTCATGTGTTATTCATTAAGTTCACCTTCTGCTGCTGTTGCTCCTGAAGCATAGAGCAGGAGGACCTTACGATCATTAAGAACCTATAGGTTTTGGTTGGCTCCAATAGCTCCAGTTATTTGCGAAAGAGTGGAATCTCGTCTAGATTCTCTTCTTCGAAATATTGGAGATTCTGTGTCCGAACTCATTTTATTTTTAATGAAGAAAAAAGCTCCTATCAGAAAAAGAATGAATTATGAAGAGGCGTTGAAAATAGCTGCAAAAGAAGAAGTAATTGATAATGGATGATCAAAGGTGGCTTTTTTTGGTTAATGTTCGAAGTTCAAGGAAAGACCAACTGATCCAGCTCCAGTTGATAGAGCAATACATTTCCTCTTTTTGAAGGAGAATGTAATTTACTCATTCTTCCACAACTTAGAATGTAGACAGAAAGACAGCTTTACAATTTGGAATGCGAAGACTGTGTAAAATTGATAGCACTCGACACTTTGATGGTCCTGCTGATCACAGAATCATGAAGACTAATAAATTACTCTCTGGAGCAGTTAATGGATGGCATAATGGAGCTGCTGAGGCTAAGTTTGATCTAGGTTCTGGTTATACTATTGATGTTGGCAAACAACAAGACCATAGTTTTCATTAGAAAAACAATTATCCTATCGATTTAAGAGTGTAAACTTAGGAAAGAGATAAGATCACTATGTAAAGATTTGAGTTCTCTAAGTTCAACACAGAGAGATTGACGTAAGAATTATGTAAATTAAAAGAGGAAACTCAATAAAAAAATAATCAGCCCAAATTATACGTTGAAATGGCTGGATAAAAGATATTTCATCTTCTGGATCAAGACAACCATAAACCCTCTCTTCTATAAGAATTTCAAGCTTTCTCAACAATCGAAGATCTAGTGAGATTGCATCAAGTCAAATCACTTGATAAGATTGAACCAACCAGTAATCTTCAAGAATCAAGTACCTCAAGATCCAGATAAAGAGCAATGACTAATTTACAAGATCAAAGACATATGCAGTTTTAAAAAAAGAGGTTGTCTGCATATACAGGGGAGGACTCTTAAAAAATATACAAAAAATTGTTAAAGCAATTAAGATCGGATGACTAAATTGTTATAAGTTCTGGGAAACATAGAAGAATACAGTATGGGCGATAAATGAATCCTCCGAATACTTCCAGAAGAAATTCACCGTAGTCTTTCTTCTTCAATCTTACTAATAAATAAACAGTTCCTTCAAATACCAGCATTAGCAATTCGCAATAAAATTTTGATTCCAGTTATAAAAAACCGCTGATTCAACGTAGTCCATAATTAGAAAAAACAACTGTTTATTTAGAGTAGAAACTAGAAAACTTTATTTAACAAAGACTTATTATCTAAAATTCTAAGTCACTATCTCCAGAAATAGATTGTACTAATTTACAATTCAAAAAGGATGTAATTCAATTTGTTTAATATTATGTTAGTTATTCAAGTAATTGAAATAAAAAGAAATTTAAAGAATATCGAAAGTAAGAATAAATTCTTAGAGATGAGTATTAAGTTATCATTAATTAATCTTGAATTTTATTGGCAACAACTTAGATGAGGTTTCTGCGGTTGAACCAGTTAGTAAGTTTGATTTCTGTGATGACATAAATTTCTAAAGTCCCTGATTTGAAGCTAGAATTACTAGCTCTATTCTATATTGCTCTCCTTTTTAATTTGCTATGAATTGTTATTATATCTATGTAATTTCTGTTTAAATCTTCCAAGTTCGATTTCTTTTGTAGATCCTGTAATTTAATTAGCTCTCAACATATCATGAAAAATAGTATTTTCCTGTTTAGTTTCTTATTCTCACTCTTCATCTTAAAACACTATTAGAATTAAACATTTGCAACCATTTCTTGCAATTTTTTGAATTCATCCTACAATACTGCAATCTATAGAATGTGAGCATTTTTACTTCTTTTTGTCCATCCAATTTAATCTATTTGAACTCCATCTCATGATTCTTCTTCTCAGATTCCAGTTGGCACTTCAGTGCATCAATTTTAGATAGCATTTCTTAACAAGTTATACTTTTTAGGTACATTATTTGTTTAATTACTTATTAATATCATCATAATCATCTTCTGCCCTGAGAAGAAGCTGAACGTACAGATGATCTAACAGAGGGAACTCCAACAGAAGACGGTTGTTTACTAGGAACAGTGACATTCTTCTCTTAAAAGACTGCATCTATTATGGCTTGCATTTCAGGGAATTCTTACACTAAATTACTAAAATAGATTAATAAACATATTACAATATGCAGGTCTTAAGTGTCTTATTTAAATTATTTTAAATGTCTAATTCTAAGGCAGAAATATGTGCATTTGACTCGTCAAGTACAATTCTCCTCTATTACACTTTTGCCAATTTTGAACCCATTATATTCTCAGCTCTATTGATCTTCTCTTGCTAATCTTGTAATTCCTTCTCCAACTTTTAGAATTGCATTTCCATTTCCCTCTCTTGATTATCCAGAATTTCAATCTACAATAAATATTATTAATACTCTATTTTATATTTCAGTCAACCTTCTCATATCTTCATCTATTTCTTATTAAAGTCGTTGCAACTCCTTTTTCTTTTTAAATAGATTCTCAGATGCCGCTCTGCATTGTTCTTCCAATCCATCTCTATGAGATACTTCTTTCTAAGAAATCCCCTTATTTAAGAAACTGTCTCTGTACTTACTGTTTCTATTCTTAAGATGAGACAACGTATTATCTAATGCCTTCAATTCTTAATCCCTCTTTATGATTTCAGCATTCAATTCGTCACCTTTCCTCTGCAATTCCTCTCTTTCTTAAGAAGCCTTAATGATGTAATAGGCTTATGAATGTTCCTCAATGTTTTGAGTGTCCTACTCTCCATTCGAGGATTTATTCTTTTAAACCAAGGATTCGTATTTGATTCTGAGATTCTTCACTCTATTTTATCTCTCAGCCAATTCAACAGCAATTTTGTGTCTTTCCTCTTCAGCTGCCTTGTGTTCAGCCACCAACACATCTTTATGTACTTAAATTTCCTACTCTCTCTCTTGCATAGCCATTTCCAATTGATATTTACGATTCTCTAAGTTAAACACTTTATCAACAGCAGTTGTCACCACCTTTTAAATCTTTTATATTTCTAGTTTCATAAAATCATGTTAAACCAACACTTCTTCCTTTGACTTTACAATCTTACTTAAGTCTTAATAAGTCATATCATTTTCTAATGTTAATTCATCAATAGCTTATTTTAATTTAGTTTATGATCCTTTGGTGCCTGTCAATTGTCTATCTGTCCCTCTTAAGTCATCATCAAGTCTTTTCAAACTCTGCAACAATGTTTTATATTCCTTCTTTTATAAGTTAACCTTCTCTTCAATTTCTTTAATCTCATTTTCCAAATCCTTTTTCTCTTCCAATAGTACGTTCTCCTTTGGCCCTTGCAACTCTTCTTTCCATCAGTTATATTTGATATTCTGCATTATACAATAATTCTTATTATCTTTAAAATTCTTAAATCAATTTATTGATATGGGCTTAATAATTACGACAAGCACTCACATTTGCTTGTATTTCTCCATATAAATTGGCTTCATTTTCTCTCAATTTAAATAAATCTTGAGTAGCTTTGAATAAGACTTCCTTTTGTAATTTAATTTCCTTATCCAAATCAATCCTTTACTTCTCCAAATTCTTATATCTATCTGATGCCATACTCCTCTATTTTTCAAACTCCTAATGTTGGATGTCTTCCAACTTCAATTTCTGTTTCTCACTTGCATATTTCTTTTGAGCATTGTTCAATCTCTATTTCTTAATAAGGAGTTCTTATGACATCTAAGCCAATCTATTTCTCTTATTTGATAAATCAGTAGCAAAAGCAGAGAGTTGATTCTTTTAAATTTCAACATCAGCCTTGAGATTATCAATGGCCAATTCGATATCCTTATTAGATTACCTCTATTATATGATAGTCCTCTCTAGCTGCTGATTTTGAACTTCGACTGATTTATTTTCTTGCTTTTCATTCATCAATTGAGACTTTCTATTTTCTAGATCTTATTGATTTGCTTTGATTTATGCTTTGATATCAGCATATCTCTCTGATTCATCTCTAATAGCTTGATCTCTTCTGGCTATATTGTCAGTGACTTCTTGCCATTATTGAAATAGTTTGTGACGTTCATCATGTTATCTTCTAAATTCTTCTGCTGTCTTATCCAATTCAATTTAGGCTGTCTAAGTTTCTGTGATTTCTCTATCCAATTCATTTTGTCTCCTGCTGACTTCGACAGTCAATTTTTCAATTTGCAGATTGAGTTCTTTAATTTTTGCTTCATCTCCTCTCTTGTATTTCTCCATGGTTAGGGAGTCCTCTTCCTTTTGCCTGGCAGCCAAAACCCACTATTCCAATTCTTCTTGATTCCAATTCATTTCAATTTTGTATTTATCCAATCTCTCATTTCCTCGATAGATGGAATTTTGAACATCATTCAATCTCTCTTGCTACTCGATCATTCTAAAATAGGGTATGGATACTATACATCTTTTATTATTTGGTCATTTCATTTTGAAGACGACCAATTTGTCTTTCTGTTATTTATTTCAAATGGTCTTCAGTTTCAATTTCTTTGTTTTTTGTGTCGATCTATAAGTAGTATTGAATTGATACCAAAGCCTAAGTGTGAAGTAATTCTTGTTGGATGTTCTTCAAGTGTTCTGAAAGCACTTTCAATTTATCACTCTTTTCCTCAATTTTGGAGTTGATGTCTCGAATGATGCGTCGTTTTAATTTGATCTAAATATAATGAGTAGGGTACCTTCTCATTAAGTTCCTTATTGGCTTCGTTGGCATATTCAGGGAAGTCGTCGTCTTCTTCCTCGTTAAGAAGCTCTGGATTTTCATCATTCTCATTATTGTTATCCATTGATTATTAATTATATATATAATTTATTTATTCGAGGGTATGTAAATGGCATTTAGTTGTTGAGATTCATCTAATTCCCTAAATATTTACTTCATTTAATAGTATCCCATTATTTTATAAATTTAATGACTGACAAAGACACAAAAATCAAATCGCTTGAGATTGAATTAGACAATAGACATCAACAAATCCTCGGTTTGGAGGATAAAATAGCTAAATTGCAACAAAGAATTGATCAGAATGCGGATGTAGTTTTGTTCAATGATGTAGGTTGTGGAATTATCAGAGAAGATCAAGATGTTGGAAACTCAGAATGTGAAACTGATAGAGAAAAATCAGAGTGATGTGGTGGAGTGGAAGACGAGGGAACGTGAATTTAAAGTAAAATCATCACCATTTGATAATAGCAATAACTCAAATTGATGTAAGAAGAGTTATCCTCCGTCAAGGCTCAATTGGATGAGGCCAATGATCAATTGAAGAATGCTCAACCCCAAAATGAGGAAAGCAAAGTGGCTGGATTGCAATAAACTATTCGAGATCTCCAACATGATCACAATGATTTAAGATCCATTAATGATAAATTACTTTAGAATGCCAATTAATTGTCTATACAGAATGAAACATTGAAAGGATAACTTCTCAATTCAGAAGATCATAAAAAATAATTGTAACTTCAAATTTAAGATTTAAATAACAAACACAATCTTGAGTTAGAACAATTGAGATTACTCAATAAAAAACTAGTCTCTGATCTTGAACATAAAGATACTCTCTAAGAGTAACAGATGGCCAATCTCTTAAAATTGCAATCTCAATTGGAAGCCAAGGATAGCCAAAAAGACGAGGACTTGAATTCCATAACCAAACAAAAAGAGGAACTCCTATTGGAAAATGACAATCTCAAGAAATTAAATGAAAAATAACTGCAAGAGATACAGATTCTTACTTAGTAGATCAAATCTCAGAATCAATAGATCACAGATAAAGATAAATTGATTCAAGAATTGCAAACTAAAGTAAACTATGAACATAATTAAATGGTCTAACAATAACAGAATGTCCTTAAATTAGAGGATAAATTGAAGGAATAAACTGTTTAATTTGAGAGATCAATTAAGGAAAAGGACAGTCAGGTCTAAGACATTAAGAAAAACTATGAAATCAAAATAGCGTAGATTGAAAAGTAAATAGTATTACTAAATAGGGACAATGCCATTATTTTAGATTAGTTGTAATAAACGAATGATCAGAATAAGGAATTGCTAAGACAAATCAAACTGTTAGAAACCTAATGTAAGGAGGCAACTCATAAAGAAATGGAAAAGGATAAAAAGTTGATCGATGCCTTGGAAAGAATGAAAAAATTAGATCAAGAGGTATAGAGTGCTACTCTCTACTATAGTTGAAAGCCTTGACAAAGTAAAATTCAGGGAACAGAGAACAAATCATATTCTTAGAAAGTGAGTTGAGTAAGGTCAAAGAATAGAATCGACTGTTACATAGAGAGAAGGCGGAAATTAAAGAAAAATTGGATTTCTTGATTGCCTAATCAAATCGAAAGGGCAAACTCACTGAAATTGAAGGTTTGAAGAAATAAGTGACTGAATTGCAAATGGAACTTGGATTAATCAAAGAATCACACAAGGTTGCTCAAACTTCACTCAAATCAACCATGGATTCGGTTTCGTATTTCAAGGGGAGAGTTAAGAAATTGGATTTTGAAAACCATTCACTACTGGATTCTAAAATAAGATTAGAATCTTTGTTCTAAGAATTACTGGAATCTACCAAAACAAAGAAGAGTGCCTATAGGAATTTGTCCGAAGTGTCTCTTAAACCCCCTTAATCAAATATGATGACTGAGAATGCCTCATCTATTTTAGATCCCACTTCTGAGAGATTAACTGCCAAGACCAATACGAATCAAGCCACCAGGTCTGGAGATGTGAGATCATTATTTAAAAGACCTATCTAAGTCATGAAAATCAGGTCGACCCCCAAGAGATAGTCTCAGCATGATTTCAAAAAGAGTGAACAGGCAAATGATACCAAATAATAAGCCAATAACAATAGTTTTTAATAATAGGAGGAGAGCATCCCTAATGATGAGTCATAAAAAATACATCCCAAAGATGACTCAGAAGTTGAAACATTATGATTAAATATAATTCAATAAGTCTGATTATTATACGCATTCCACCACCCCACCTATTTACTCGTATTGGCAATTAATACTTGGATATAATTTTATTTATTTGTTTGATCTTAATATATATTTATGAATAGCAAAGAGAAAATCGCCAAATATAAAGTCAGAGTCAATGATGTTATCTAAAATATGGTCTATGAATTATTCAAAAAACAACCTGAAAATTATGTAACTTAAATTATTTAACCTAGATTGATTGGATGATCGAATATTTGGAAGTGCGAAGAGCAAAGCATAATGTTAGAACAACACAAAGTCTACAGATCGAGTATCATATTTCTTCTGAAGAAGAGAATGCCGAAGATGTGGATGAGTTGGAAAAGGCAGTAAAAAAAGAACAGCAATTTCGTACTTCCGTAAGTGCTGAAGTCTACGGACTCTACAACAAAAAAGAGGACTTTCAACCTAGAGTCATTCCCAAATCTTAAGATCAGAGGGAAAGAATAGAAAACAAACTGAGTGGAGTATTCATGTTCCAAGCACTCGATCAAAATGAAAGAAACATCATCATTGATGCCATGGAAGAAAAACACTTCAATCCTGGAGATTGGATCATTAATCAAGGTGATGATGGCAATGAATTGTATGTGGTGGCTTCAGGTCAACTAGACTGTTACAGAAGATTCTCTAAGGATTAAGAACCAAAATTACTCAAGTAATACTAAAGTGGAGACATGTTCGGTGAGTTGGCTCTTCTATACAATGCACCAAGGGCAGCCTCCATCTAATCCAATACTGAATCAGTACTCTTTGCACTCGACAGATCTACATTCAATGCCATTGTCAAAGAAGCCACTGTTAAAAGAAGAGAACATTACGAAGAAGTCCTATCCAAAGTTGAAATACTCAAATCTATCGACTCCTATGAAAAGACTCAAATTTGCGACGGTCTCAAAGAATAGCACTTTAAGGCCCAAGAATACATTATTAAAGAAGGAGAAGAGGGACACAAGTTCTACATAGTTGTCAAAGGAAGTCTAATTGCCCTTAAACAAAATGAAGAAGTTCTTAAATATTAAAGTGGTGACTATTTTGGTGAATTAGCTCTCATTAATAAAGTACCAAGGCAAGCCACCATTTAAGCTGAAGTAAACTTACATCTTATAATTATAGACTGATTGTGTCGTTGTGTACTTAGATTATCAAGCATTCATAAGACTCTTAGGACCTATTGAAAACATATTATTAAGAAATGCAGAGAACTACAAGAAGTTTGTAAATTGACAACAATATAAAACATATAGATAAATAATTTCATCGCATTGTTAATTTATTTTCATCAAGTGTTTCTTTAAATATTTTTATCTTAACAATATTGTGGATGTTATACTTATAATTCCATAAATGAATCAAACATATCACATCCTGATTACTGAAGATATATTCAATAGGCTCCCTACTTAATTAAGATTTAAAAGCTGAAGTTGGAGGTGATGTAAATTTTGAATGTTATTTGATAAACAAAAAAGTAAGTATAAACTCTTTATTATTGTTAAGATCAATTATTGTATTACTTAGAAGATATAGTTTCCAAATTTGTTTTGATAATTCTGCAATAAAGTAAGTAAGCAAATTAATAGTATTAGTATATTATTGAATTGCTTTACCTAGTTTTAAGTCTTTTACTTATCAATAAGATTTCTAGATTTATATTACTATATTCATTTTCTAGAGATAGAAGTGAGACTTATATAGTAATTTTAGTGTTGAGAATATCATCAATGAAGGTTGAAACCTTTCCATGTAAAGATATTTTCAATCTAATTTGTCCTCATTATTATATTAATTATATGTTTCAAGGAATTAATTTTATAAATAAAAGATTTCTAATTTTGTTTGTACTTTCATTTGGTTTAAGATTAATTAGTAGATCTATTTGTTTTGATAGATTACTGATATATTTTATCTTAATTTGCATTCCCTTTGTTTTTCTATAGGATACCGCCTAATATGGCTTAAATAACATTATTTCTTAAAGGTTTCTTTCCTTACAAAAATAATTTGAATTTAAATTTTATTTCATTACCATACATGTTTTCCATTTAATTTTGAGTATCTCCTTAGAAGTAATTAAGAAGAGATAATTAAGCTCAACTTAATTATAAAATATTTATATTAGGCTTTATGTTTAACCATATAAAAAGATCCAGTCTTTCTATATAAAAGACTAATGTTATTTAAAAATACCCGATCTCTGTTTCTTTGCTCATAAATAGTCTAATATTAGTAGGTTTACTTTGAAATTCTACTGATTAAATAAAAGAGCATGAAATGATATTAATACTGCAATTCATTATTTAAACTATTACTATTGATTTTGAATTTATTTAATTAGTACAAAATTTCAAAAGGGATAATTTTTCTGAAATTAATTATATTTTTTTTATTTATTTATACCCAAATTTAAAAAATTTAAACTAATGAAAAAATATTAACTAAATTATTACAAAAAATAAGCATTTAAAGAAATGCTTAAGTTTGATTAAGCACCAGTCTGTAAAATTTACTTAACTTCAGCTCTGTAAGATATAATATATGATTATTAATATTCAACCCATAATTAAAATAATTAATGGTTTTACAAAACACATGAGATAAACAAAATGCTCTATTTTACGCGAAACATAGACTGAGAAACTTGTTATTTTGCTTAAAACAATCATTTATTAATTCTTTTTATAAGAATCAAAAGAAATTGAATAACATTTAATAGAGGCTATCTTTTATGATATATAAACGAATGACTTTATCACTTTAATACCAACTTGACTGCCTCTACAATATTGTGTGCTTTAGGGAAACTGAGTTCTTCTAAATTAAACGCATATGGGGTTGGGATGTCAGCACCTGTGACTCTAACAATAGGAGCGTCCAAATGGAAGAATGCATTAGCTTAAGTTATGAGATTTCATGTACTTTCATTGATGACACTACATATTTCTGCTCCAATTCCGCATTGTCCCCATCCTTCTTCAACAGTCACAACTCTGTGAGTCTTCTTGATACTTTCGATAATTGTGGTTCTATCCAAAGGTTTCAAGGTTCTGAGATTGATAACTTCGCATGAAATTCCCTCTCTTTCCAATTCTGCAGCTGCTAACAATGAAAATCTCAATTTAATTCATTCTCATACTTGACCATTTTAGAAAATGTCACAATTGTCACATCTTTTCCTTCCCTCATGATTTTGGCTTTTCCAATTGGGATCACGTAATCCTTATCCATCACATTGTCTGGGACCTCAAAAGCCTCGTTGTACATGATTTCATTCTCAAGAAAAACTACTGGATTTGGATCTCTGACTGCTGCCTTCAAGAGGCCTCTTGCATCATCACAATCGTAGGGAGATAACACAATTAAGCCTGGCACCTAACTGTACCAAGCAGCAAAGCATTGCGAATGTTAAGCAGCCACTGATGCTGCTGCTCTAAAATAACAATAGATTCAGATTTCATACCCATTAATTCCTCTAAACACTATAGATGTTCTCAGACCACCTGCACTCATGTAATGCAGTTTGGCTGCTGAATTGATTACATGATCAATGGCTTACATCGCAAAATTGAATGTCATAAATTCAACAATGGGTTTTAGTCCATACCTATAAAAAGTATGAGGTAAATATTACATTGCAGCTCCAACACTCAAACCTGTAAATCCAGCCTCAGTAATTGGAGTATCCCAGATTCTACTCTTTCCAAAACGATCATAGAGACCCTTAGACACTTTATAAGCACCTTGATATTAACCCACTTCCTCTCCTAAAAGTATGTCTTCACACATAAATACCAATCAAAAAGACATTTGAATCTCTTTCAATTTCCTAAGCCATTGCACTATTGATGGCTTCTCTGACGGTCATTTTAGCAAACCCACTTCTCAACTTATGAACAATTCTCAACATGAATTATTTATATTTATGTATATTTCAATTTATATAAATGTAATACAATTATATAAAAAAAGAAATAATTTAGAAATCTATTTCTCTTAATTACTACTGATATTATATTTAAAAACCCAAATTTGCTCGATATATGATCAATAAATATATCAATAAGCTATTCCCATCAAACATTGTTCTATTTGTAAGCAATAAGGTTTCCTCTATTATTTCGTTATTAGATTAATAAAAATTTTCTTTTTTTTAAAAACCTCCTTCTTACTCATTTTGGCTAATTAATTTCAAAAACAATCTTCCTTTGTGCTCTCCTAACGTAAATAAGATTGAATTTATTAAGAAAGTTGTTGTTTTTTACCTACAAGAATGGGTGTTTGAAAACGACGAATAAGAAAGTTCTTAAAAATATTGACTACTATAGATCTGCTCCAGGTATGTAGAAAAACAAAAATATGGAGATCTCGTTCCTTGTTTTCTTATGATTTCTCTAAGGAATTCTTGAGAGATGCGTTAGAATATAGTTTTCTTCTATGAATTTTTTTTCAATGCCAATCAGAGACCAAGAGATCTGAAATTTTACAAGGGATAGACCTTTGTTCCAAATAAAGAGTAAGTGGATCAAAACTGATTAAAAAGATGTAATAATAAGTATCATTATCAGACAATAAATTGAAATTTTCTGAAGATTAATTAATCATTTGACTTTAAAAACAAAAATAGTCTCACGTTCTTACCAAAATGGGAAGACTGAACTCATTTATGCAACGTAATAAAGGTCTGGTGACACTAGGAATTCGAATAAGAAAAAATTCTAATATATAAAGAATAAAAGAAATATATTTAAAGTATAATTGTACATCAAATTTCTGTTTTAACATCATTAGAATGCTCAATTTTATAAAAAAGAGGGGGAGGTTAATAGCTGTAGGGTAAGTAAACGAAACTAATTTAGTTTTAAATCATTACTTTTGACCAAGTTTGGGCAATTACTTCTTAATTAATGTTGCTTAATCTAATTGTTTTTCAACAGTTTTTCTGTTCAACTTTGGTCGTTTTTAGCGTTCCTTCTTCTTGCCAATTCTTCCTTGAGTTTTGTAAGTCTTCAAAATTGCTTTGGCCGTCGATAACTTAATTCCATTGGCCTAAGCAGCTAATTTGACTGAAACCCCTTCCTCTAAAACCTGTTTGATTAGGAGATTCCTCCTGTCATCATTAATAACACTGTATTTCTTATGAGGTTCTACGGCTAAAAATAATAAGTACTATGTTATTATTTTGAGATTTCAGGTTCAGTTTAGACATTTCTTGTACTGAGTACTTGCAATGGTGGATGAAAATATAAACTTTAACTTTTTGGCAACATCCCAGAATAATTAAACATGAAGATAATATTTACTTTTTTGAAAAATACTCTTTTAATTGTTTTAATGAATGATAAAATAAAGATCCAAACTAAGGAATTGTATAAAAACGATAAGCCAGGATGAAGCGACAAAAACATCAGCTTCAACTAGCAAATGATGTATGCTGTATGTCGTTCAAATTTTATAATGGAGTTTCGGCTACTAATTTTTTTTAATTAAAATCAAGAGAAATTACACAACAACTCTCTGTATCTGAATTATAAATTCTACTGCACATAATCAAATGCTCGACTTTTTGTTTAATGTATCTTTCTATTGTACTTTTGTGAAGATCAGTTGGTTCAATTATTCTAAATACACAATCAAATATATATAAGAGTTTATAATTTATTAGTTAAATTCAGCAAATTTGATCAGAATATTATACATTATTTTTGTTTATATAAAAAGACTTTTTCTTTCAATACAACAAAAAATTAATGTATATTTTTTCATTTCTCTATTATTATTTAAAAATATAATTGTTCCCATGAAAAAGTATAAAATTATTGTCGATGATTTATATCGATGAATATATTCATCTTCAATTGTTGTCCTTCTTCTCTTGATCCTCGTCTATTCAAAAATTATTTAATTTAAATAGGTTTTATAATATTTATTATATTTATTATATTTAGCTATTATTTTTAAATTTGAAATAAAAAATTAAATTTATACACTATGATTTTGTATTACAAATAAATTTAAACTTCAAAAAAGAGACCCATCTACCTTATTGATTATATAAATAAGCTAGAACAATTATAACAACTAGATTGCTTTTCTAATTGGGAGAAATATTTAATTTAAATTTGTAATTTTTTTATAGTCATAAGATCCCAATTAGAAAATGATGTAAAATTTTATTTATACAAGATAGTTATATGGAAAATATGTAGCATAATTAATTTGATGTATTTCCATGAAGTTGTGTTCATCTCTTTTCTATATTATAAAAAGGCAGACATGAAATCTCAAAAGTTATCTAATTCTATGAGATTTACAGAGCGAAATATATATATGACATTTTCACTTACATATTTGAAAATGTGTTTCATTCCTGTTTTTTCATTTCTAGTTATAGAACATAATGATCTCTATTTTTTACTATCAAATAAAAAATTGATTAAATAAGTTTAATTTTGATTTATATTAATTAAAAATTTAATAATTATATACTCAATCTAAATTAATATAATGTTGTATATTAACTAAAAGATAAAGTTTTATGTGAAATCCTAAAATATCATTGAAAAGATTAACTCAGATTTAATGAGATATAAAAATCATATTATATTAAGTATGATCATGAATAATTTAAGATTATTGCAAATAATTATATTTCTGAATTTATAGATATTAAATAGCAAGTTGGTTAGAATATTAATAAATATTTATCATTAACAAAAGATAATTATGCATTCATTTTTTAAAATAAGCTCTCTTGATATATATAAGTTCACCCTATCTTATAATTAATACTAATAATAATAACATAAAATGAAACTAAATAATAGAGGATCTAATAAAAAATGGTAGAGGAGTTATAAATTGGGAAAAAAAGAATACCATCAAAATAATTAATAAAATAGAAGGTAGAATGGTGATATAAGGGACAATAAAATTTTCAATATTTTGAAGAATAATATTTAAAATATCTTGAGAAAATAATAGTTATCATTTGAAACATATATATATATCTTAATGGAGCAAATCATTGATCTTATCGATTAATAAGAGAGAAACATCAATTAATTTACCTTATAAAAAGAAGCAATAGCAAGAAAAATAGAAAAAATAAATTTACAAGTACCATCTTAAAAGACAACTCTGATTTAATACATTTATTTTTCAATTCTTTACATGATCATATTATATCTATCCATATTGTTACATTTTAAAAAAAATCCTACCTGCTAACAGAAAATTTATTTAATTCAATCCCTAAGACTTCAGAATAAATAAATTTTAGAATAACTCAAAATATTAATTATTTAGCCCACCAAATTACCAAGAATTATATATTGAAAATTAGATTTTATTAATTATTAATAAAGAAGACTACTTTTCATTAAAGCTAATTGAATTGGCTTATTATAATCTGTTACAGATCATGATATTTAATGAACCAGCTTATGCAGCTTATTTAATGAGTAGAGATTATGAATGGATTTAATGATTATTATTTTGATCACTGATCTGGTAATTATTATGATAATTGAACCATTTCTAGGAATATAATAATAGGGAAATCTGAAAAGAGTATTAAAATTTTCAAAGAAAGGATAGAGATAAAATAAAAGTATAAATTATTTTGAAACAATTCGCTTTCAGAATTATGTAGGAATACAAGGTCACAATAAACCAACCATTTGGTTTAATAGTTTAATCAGAATCCTATAGATGAATAACTAATTGGATAATGAATAAATAAGAGAAAAAAAAAATATCTAAAATTAGTCTTGTTTAGTAAGGAAAGAATGAACATTTACTAACTTTCATTCTAGGAATTGAAATCTATTCTTAGTTGGAGTTAAATAAACGCCATATTTTTAGATAGCGACGGAAAGTAGAGTAATTAAAGTTGAAACAGAATTCAAGGATATAAATAAATTAAATCGCTGATTATGAGGAAAGCGATAACTACATAACATAAATTTATCCACAAATTTAAATATGACTCAAATTTAGAATGTATATCTTTTGAGGTGGCAGAATTTGAAATATGATTTATCGGATGTTATTATACTGAAACTATCTCAAATAAACATATTGACATAGAACGAGTATTAAAATGTACAGGTCATATTCTGATTCGAAAAGTATGATAATTATTGATATATGTTACTTAGATTTCCAAGGATTCATGTTACTTCTAAAAATTAGATTTGCCGATTAGTTAAGCAATGACTATTTAATTAAGTTATTAATAAATATAATGAATCGACAATTCTAGCAGAACTGTCCTTTTAGATAGCAATACGCGGGACAGTGCGATTTCATAACAAAGTCTGACAATACTTTGGACAAAGGGAAAGTTAAGCTAATTTAACAATCACCTTCATTTGCAGAATATGTGAATGGCTTGAAGGAGGGGGGGAAAAAAAAGAATCATCGACATAATACTGAAACGATAAGATGTCCAATTCTTCCTAAGATTGAGGCTGTTATTCCAGATCTTTAGACTATGAAATCACATTTCGTTTTAAGCCTAAACAAGAGCACTACTATTTCATAACATTCGTAAAGCTATATATAACATTCCAATCCAAATACCCCAAGATCCAAAATTGGAATTCCTGCATCGATTACTCGAAGATCTTTGCCACCTTAAAAGTAAGTAAAACTATCTCCAATTACCCCTAAAAGTTCATTTTGCGTTAAATCGAACTTTGAAGAGGACGATGGAATCTTTCTAACTAAAATAGGTGGCGAGGAGGTCATCAAGGAAATAGCAATATTATTTCATAAACATTCTCAAATTCATCCCGTAATATAGAGTAATCTATTTGTATATAAATGAGAAATCGATGATCCCGCAATGTATGAATCGAAATTCGGAACATTTCTTGAGTATATCATGGGAAAACCAGTATTTTTTAACATTGAAGCTCTCAAATAAAAGCATATCCCCCTAAAAATAGATCATGCATTATACAATCAATTTAAGAGCTACTTAATTGTAAATAATGAATTATAATAAGGAAGAGTAGTTTTATTCAGAGTAATAAAGGTCCTCCTGAATTGATATTCGAATTCAGTGCACTCATAGAATAATATAAATACTGTATTATAACATCAGAATAGACCTTTGCTTAAATTTATAACCAAAGAACTGAGAATAACAAAAATGAAACCCCTAAAAGTATTGTCCATTTAGCAGATCTTACTTATCAAAAAATATTAGATGACCAAACCCTTTGTGAATATTTTTTAGGCATTTAAATGGATGAATAAGCTAAGAAGTTAGGGAGTATTTTACATTAAATGATGGGTTGGAATAGTGGCATTGATTACGTGTTGAATTATCTAAGGAAATCCCATTAAAAGATGAAATTGACAAATGTCCATTTCACTTTGTTCAAATAGTACCTAGTGGAGGCGATGAAAGAACTTGGACTGAAAGAAAGTTAAATAGAATTGATAACCAAAAGGATGGATGGTTATAGAAGTTGCATAGTAAATCAGGATTGCTTATTGGACTTTTATTTCTAATCCCCAACTCTCTTTAAGGTTTAAGTAAAGAAATACGAGGTGCTAATATAGAGAGATCCAAGATTTCGCAATTTTCCGGATATGCCCACTCTTTTAAGACACGCACATTTTCTTTTAAAATACATAACTCATTAACATCAACCACTTCTAACAAACACTGATCTGAGAACTCTGCATAAGGGTTGTGCGATTCAAAGTGAATGGATTGATGGGTTCAGAGATAACTTTTTTTTATTAATTAAAAACTATAATTTAGACAGACTTATCTTGCAGGATTATGCTGATTTGTGGTTTTAATTAAGGTTCATCGTAAATGAATCAGCGCAGTATAGAAAGCATTGTTGGACCGTAAGGGCTGGATCAAGTGCAATTCAAAAGTATAGATCAACCTTCAGGACAACGAGATTTATAGTGATCATTTTAGGAATGCAGATTACCAACTAAAATCCCATGTGAAGAAGATTGTTGGGTTTATTTTTAGGAATTCCTCAATTTACAAGGCAAATGATTTGAGAGTTATTCATTACCCATTAAAAATAGGAGAATAATCTTTTAATTTGTTTGTATAATTAATCAAATAAGTTATGCAAGAAGAGAAATTGGGTGCCAATTTGATACTTCTTGCTGAATAGATTTGTTAGTATTATAGAAGCAGCATTTGCAATTTGTGATTTTATCTATTAATGTACTAATATGTATATATTATATTTGTCTCATTATGCAAATGGTAAAAAACACCTCTTTGTCTAAGAATAGCCTCCAAAGCTGCAGCACTTTATCCCTTTTATCTCAAATATCCTGCCAAGATGACAGTGTTGTTCTTTTTGTTGTACACTCCGTTCTCATCAACCTTGAATTAGAAATTGAATCAATACTTATCCGACGTTGATTTAGACACTGGAGTAATCGCTGCTATTGAGGATCATATTTGTATATTGGCATTTTCTTGGTACATAAATATCGACAACTTATTTCTCATCATTGATCATTCCTGCGTTTTCTTGAATTCTGTGAGCCATAATATTAAAAAAAGATTTAAATTTTTTTATATATTTAATTAATTCATAATCTCTTCATCTATACACCACATATGCATTCTATACTCAAGCATCTCCAGGAACTAACAAGAGAATCCTTCTCCCCCTTGATCTATACATTTATAAATATCAATAAAAAATAATAAGATAATTCAATGGTTCTCACTAGTACACTGTTATTTGAGTACAAAAGTCAGAACTGTGCGTCCCACCTCAACATAAATAATAGAATTACTTATACAGCCACTTTCTCCTCTTCGATCCTATAAGCTTGGAATAATTTTACGAGTGTTCCAAACTTACTGTTGTTGTCAAGAATGACGAAGTTACCATCCTAATATTTTATATAAGCGTGTAATCTAGACACGGAAATATCCGAGATTTGGATATCGCATTGATGACCTCTTCCCTAAATGATTAAAATCCATATTTACTATCTTTATGGGCTCACCATTTTGAAACTAGATGACATATACAGCTTTCCCTTGCTTCTTCTCCTTCTTGTGTCTTGATTGCATTATAAGATATGGCGTGGATGGACGCTATATCACATCCAGAGACAGCTCTTTGTCATCCATCCTAATTTTCAAAGGTAATAAGGATTCACAAAGTTCGCATTGTTACCTCCAATGTTAATGATATTTACTATTTCAATCTATAGGATTGAGCATTATTCAACTGCTTTATTTGGCATCTACTCTCTATCCATTATCTCATGCAATTAAAATGAACGAATTAGCAACTTCCTTTGCAATTACATGGAGAAATGAAGGGATCCTCAAGGGTCTGAGTGTCCATGAGACAAAATCGACAAATCGCTGAACTACTGGTGACATATGAAGCAGTCTGTTCAAATTGATCCTGACTTTTATTCAAGATATACTTTCAGCAATTCGCTTGAGGCTTAGTTTACTAAGTTATCCTTATCCTTGGTTTCCATAATCACGTATTCCATTCTTCCCAATTTTATTATGTCTCCTGGCTCCATTTTATATCCCTTTCGTTATTAAAACCAAGTATACTTTCTATCCTCCTTAACTATTTTTTAAACTTCTAACTATTAAAAAGTTTTCATTTTCCTCACATCCCTCAGGATTGATGTAAAACTTATTGCCCTGTTCTTGAACTGTAGTCAAATATTATTGGCTCTCATCCTATTCGGAGTCTGGAGAATAAGTGCTCACTTCTTAACCTATTTGATAATATTGCATTTAACATACCCAATCGATAAACCTTCTGCTATTGTTATATGACATGTTTTTCTATTGTGAGAAGTTAGGTTTCGTAATCAAAAAGCCCATGTGAATCCTTTTGCCAAGTAACAGCCTTCATTTCAACGCTAAATAAATTCATTGGCTTTACAATTATTGCATGTGAAATTATTTATTTTTATTATAAAATTCTATAAACTACTTTTTATCGAATATATTCGGAACTCTGTGTACAAATATATCTAATTATCAAGGAATTACATATTTAAGTACCCTTTGATAACTGGAACCATACTAGAATTTCAATTTTACTTATTTATGTCAGTTATTTTTATTGCTCTAAAACCCTTTAAAATTTTGGACTTTTATTTCAATCACTTAATCAATTAATTAAATAATTAGTTTGAATCTATAGCACTTATTTTAATCAATAATTAAACTATATTCTTAACTATTTCCTTGTTTATAATGATTTTATAAAGTATAAAGATATATAAAGTTTTATATTAAATTTCTAGTAAATAGAATTCTTTAGGAACAAATAGTAATTATTTAATATAAAGAATACGAAAACTATTATTTAGATCATTCTGATTTAAGTATAATTCGAATATTCCTTTATTCTATGAGAATGAATTCGAAATTTAGAATTTCGGGCACAATTGCTACAAAATATTGAAATGTCAGATTGATAGTAAAATGAGTAAAATTATAATATAATGATTCAAAAAACAAAGAATGGTTTCTTATAGGAAAATAATAAAAAATGAAGTTGGAAAAGATGCACTTATGATGAAATAAAAAGATTTAGATTGGATTTCAAAGCAAATGACTTATTTTATTTTATTCTATTGTTTTTCAAATTTCAGTAACAGTTATGAATGTTAAAATAAGAACAGCCACTTTTAAACATCAAATATTCAACTTAATTTATCTAACTTGTCAGTTGACAACAACTGTTACATTGATTATTTAACATTCATAAAAGCAACCGAACAATTTTCAAATGTAAATATTAAATTAAATTGATTCCTTTTATTTGTTTTTATTGTTTTAAAGGTTGAATGTATTATTGAAGAGAATACTAAGTATAAAATGCAATAATCTAATGGCAGAAGTAGACGAAGACAGGGAAGTGGGAGGCGGGTTTAATTTTATCATTTGTTTTTGTGATAATTTGGATTTGATCATTATTTAATTAAATGAATCACAGTCTCTATGCAGTGCATCCAAATTATACTCCAATAAACCTGAGACTTGCAGAAGAGTATTTCAATACACTTCCCCCTGGAGATATCAGCAAACAATTCTATGATGGTGTTCAATATCGAGCTGTAAAAGGATTATTTGCTTCTTATGCCCTTAATAGATTTAGCTAATATGGAAAGTTGAACTCACTTTACAAGTTCTATCCATATTAGAAGATAGTCAAGGAAACAAAGGAAGAATTATGTGAGGATTGGACTTCAAACATTCGTAATATCGAATTAAATATTATTTTAGAACTTGCAGCAATTGTGACTGGTGCATCATGGACTTTCCTTTATTAATATGCCAAAAGAGGATAAGTCTTGAGCATTCTGAGAGAATATGGATCAGTTTTAAAGACCCACAGATTGTTTAGATAATATCTCTACACTCTTGTGCTTCCCTTTGCAATTGCAAACGAGTATACATTTGTTCATTACCATGATCATATTGAATAATTATGGTAAGTACATGCAAATAGGTAATAATATGTCTAATGGATCCTAGATTAAATAAGAAGGACTTGTCAGATCCAACTGGCACCTAATACCCCGAAGAATTAAGAGCCCCAAGAAGAGATGTGTTTATCAATAAATGGCATTGATCTACACCATAATAAATCTAATAAAAACAATTATTATTTTCATAACTAAATATATCTTATAATTCTATATCACCTCCAGGATTCTCATTTATCCTCCTGGTTGATTTCTGAGAACTTAAAATAAAGAGATTGAATTTAAGTTAAATTTATTCCTTCCTTTTATTTTTGATTCGATAATCACTCAAATTGATATCATAAATTTTAATTAACTGAAATAACATAATAATAATAAGTCTCTATATTCCTTTAGATCATAATTTGTATAAGAATTTAATCAAAAATTATTTAACATAATAATCTTATCTATTTTGGCTGAAGTTTAATTCTCAACAAACAAACTTTTTGATAATAAAAGAATTATTTATGGTTTACCTCTAAGAATTAGTTTGAAGACTTAAAAATAATAATAGATATAAAATTCTTAAAATTTATTTAATTCATAATAGCAAAGGAGGAAGCCAACATCATATATAATTCTTTCATAAGATTACTATCTTTTTCATATATTAAGGGTTTAATAAAGTTGGATTAAAGTAAATCAAATTAAAACAATAAAAATACTTTAAAAATGTGATGATATAGTATTTAATTTAAATTTATACTTGGCTATGGAAATCAATAGAAGAATTATCTGATCTCTGTTAATAAATCAAATAATTATGCATATCCTATTTAGTGCGAAGAAAATACATTATTCGAGATGTCAAATATAGAAATAGACTAGTAATATATTTAAGATATAGGATTCTAAAGACATATTGCAATATGAATCTAACTAATAATGATTATTGGTATATTTATATATTGTTAATATAAATATTATAATGAATAATCCAGAGTTAGAACAGTCAACCTAGATAGCTTTCTTTGCTTCGAGTCCTAAAATTATGGTTGAGGAGTTGGAAAAGGTTGAAATCAAATCAGAGGTAAAATGAGAGTATATTGATAGAATTTTGATAGTCAGATGGCTTGTTTATAGTATTTTTCATATATTCTTTCATGGGACATTGTGAATGCGAGATTTTTCTATTATAAATATTAAAGGCTTGTGGAATTAGAGTTGATAGGGAAGGAGATGACGAAATTTTTGAAACTGGTTTTCGAGAACAAGCATTCTGAATTGATCAAGGGATGTGATAAATTATGTGAGATACTTAATACCATACCTGTGTATAAGAAATGGTCGAATGAATTGAAAAGTAGAGTTGCTGATCACTTGAAAAATTTGGTTGAGAATAATTTCACTTCTATTAGTGCTGCTCGTTTAAGTTAGTATGGGTATGATTTGAGAATATTTAAAAGAGGACAACCCCAAGACAAGGCGTTTGTGAAGATCGAGGAGAGGGAGTAGGAGAGAACTACAATAGACATCGAGAAATTGAGTTAGATGGCGAGGTTGATACAAAATATGGAGAATAAGTGAAGTTTATAAAAAGCTATTTAACACATAATTCTTTTACACAAATCATATATATAAAATCTAAAATGTAATAGAAAGAGGTTGATGAGACTCTAGAGGAAGTGAAAACCATAAAGGCAATAACACCAAAGGTATTAAAATTGGTTCATTTTGACAAGGAAATAAAGAAGATCGTGAAACCTCAATTCGAGGCAAATCCAGAACTATTTTATCCAACAAAAGTGTTTGATAAATTTGGGTTCACTAGATGCAAATGTCCTAAATGTGGAGCCTACTTTTGGAGACACACCGATAAAAAGATTACTTGTGGGGATTCGAAGTAGTTCATGTTTAAATTTGTTATAGCTGTGAAGGAAAATATTCTTTTATTGGAGTAGGGACTGGAAAGGGAGCCAAAGGCAACAAGATCACATATGCTGATGCTTGGAATGGATTCAAGAAGTCGTTAACGAGTGCTCGAGTACCATGCACAGCAATAGATAGATATCCCGTCGTAGCTAGATGGAGAAATGATGTTGATTATGTAGCTGCTGGTATCTATTGTTTCCAACCATTTTGTGTTACTGGAGAGATGGATCCACCTGCAAATCCTTTAATTTGTCCCCAGTTTTGTGTTAGATTCAATGATTTGGATAATATAGGTTTGACAGGTAGACATTATTCTGGATTCATAATGCTTGGAATATAGACATTCAATTATCCTGAGAAGTATGTTTTCTTTAAGGAGGAATGTGTAGAATTCAATTACAGATGGTTGACAGAGGAATTAGAAATAAACCCAGATGATATCACATTTATAGAAGATGTTTGGGCGGGAGGAGGAAACTTGGGACCATCAGTAGAATACTTTGTGAATGGATTGGAGGTGGGAAACATGGTGTTCATGTAATACAAATATTTCCATGATGGTTCTTACGAAGAATTACCAATAAAGATCATAGATACAGGTATTGGATTAGAACGTATTCCTTGGTTAATTAATGGATCACCAACAAGTTACCATGATGTCTTTGCAGGAGCATTTGCCTATTTATCAGAGAAGTTGCAGGTCCAATATTCAAATGAAGTTTGGAAGGCATTTGGACCTTATAGTTGTTTATTGAATGTTGATGAGATTGAAAATGTGGATAAGACATGGGAGTACATCTCAACCTAGATTGGATATGATGTTCCAACTATCAAAAAGGAAATAGAATAATTAAAAGATATGTACATCATATTGGATCACACTCGTACAGTAATGATGGTCGTAACTGATGGATCTCTGCCATCAAATGTAGGTGGTGGTTCCAATATCAGGAACATTATCAGGAGAGTATTCGCTGTATTAAAGAAGAATAGTTGGTGGGAGAAGTTGGGAATGGATGGACTACTGTAATTGTTTTAGGAACACAAAAATGATTTGGCCAAACTGTATGGTCCATTTGGAGAGTACAAGAGTTTTGATTTAATAATCAAACAGGAATATGAGCGTTGGGCTAAAACAGATGATGACAAGAAAGTTAAATTAGAAAAACTATTGAAACAAAAGAATAATCAATTAAGTATCGATGATTGGATATTTGCTATGAGTACACATGGTATACCTGCAGACACTATCAGTCAAATCAGTAAACTACCTATTCCTGGTAATCTATATGCTGAGTTGGCTGACAGGGCTGCCAGAATCACAAAAGCACCAGAGGCCATCCTGTACAATACAGTACACTTACCTGAAACTGTCAATCTCTATTATTAAACACCAAAAGATGGAAAATTTAATGCAAAAATTGTGACCATTTTCTCCAATGTTCAGTAATAGAATCTACCAAATATTGTGATTTTGAATCAATCAGCATTCTATCCATTTGGAGGTGGTTAGGATTATGATTAAGGGTGGTTGACTATTCAAGGCGAGAGACATTTTGTAAACAATGTTCAAAAGGTAGGCAAAGTTGTATTGCACATTTTGGATAAGCCATTGTCTGACCCTATTGACACATATGTAAATCAAGAGATCTTGGCTGAAATTGATTTGGACAGGAGAACCATCTTGCGTAATCATCATACAGCCACTCACATTGTATTTGCAGCTTGTAGAAGAGTCCTTGGTCCTCATGTTTGGTAGAATGGTGCTCATAAGAGTGTTAATAATGCTCATCTTGACATCACTCATTTCGCTCCCTTGACCAAGGAATAGGAGCAGAATATTGAAAATGAAGTCAACAAGATAATTCTATCAGCCAGATAAATTAATAAAGGGTTCATGAGTAAGTCAGATGCTGAAAAAGAATATGGATTTAGATTATATCAAGGTGGTATTGTACCTGGAAATGAATTGAGAGTTGTTAATATCGAGGGTATAGATGTGGAAGCCTGTTGCGGTACTCATTGTGACAGCACTTCAGAAGTAGGATGGGTTAGAATTCTCAAGACTTAAAAGCTTTAAGATGGAGTAGTCAGACTTTATTATGTTGCTGGAGTGAAAACAATTGAGGTTCTCAATTCTGAAGGAGAGATGATCAATTAATTGGTTAAGTTGTGGTCCATCTCCAAAAATCAATTGGTTGAAGAAGGAAGCAAAATATTTTAGGAGAAGAAGCATTATGAAACAGCATACAATGTAAGTTTAAACATTCATATTTTAGTCTATTAAAGCTGAACTTATCAAATCTTAAATGAAATATGTGATCGACGGACCCAATCTTAAGACTATCATATAGTCCAATGAAACCAATCCTACTGCTTATTTCAGTGAAATAGGAAAGTACATTCAACAATTAAAGGATTCCAAAAAAGGACTTATTTTTGTGGCTGATACTTTCCTATATGGGGCTTTTGGCGATGGAAACTTCAACGTTGAAGAACTTTCTAAGCAGATTGAGGAGGAAGGAACTCAATTGAAAGTCAACAAATAGAATAAGATTAGTGTTAAGGATGGAAAGGTATATTAAATTAAGTATAATTTAGAAATGCATTTAAGTTAATGATGTGCTGACATTTTCGGTGTTGGGCAAATTCAATAAGAATAAGGTATTGAAGTATCTTAAAGATCTACAATTCGCATTGTTCTGAAATATATATATATATAAATAATTTATTATTATTAAAATTAATCGAATAATAATAAAAACATTTCATTTATTAAGTGTTGGTAATTGGACTTTTTGCTTTTTGCTGTAATTAGTTTGTTCAGCCGTATTCAAATCCAGTGACATTATCTTCAAGGCCATTGATTTCTCATAATTTTCTTAAACTTAATTTGGATTAGGTCTGGTCAACAAATTGTTTAGTCTATTTAATTATGTATAAATGTTACGTGCTCTTTGACCACTTCTCTTAATAGGTGGTTGTCCAATGTTGTGATGTTCCCAAATCAGATTTACGCATCTTGAATAGTGATAGATAGAATTTACTTTTAATTCATAATCTGTTTAGTTGAGTCTTTGAATGAATGATTGATCGTATTTATATTTTAAGTCTCTATTTTATACTGATATCTTAATGAATCCAAAATCTATGTGGAGATCATGTCCGAGTCTGGTTAAATCATGAATAGCCTTAATCAATGAAGTGTGAACTGATTGGACAACATCTTTGCCTAGATAACTTAATCACAATTAGTATGTACTAACCTTGATGCTGCGATTGGACCAGCATTACAGAAGTTCATTCCGAATCCTTTCTGATAGATGGAATGCTGACTCAAAGGCTTAGTGATTTCCTCTTTGCCTGGGTAACGAGCCAAGAAGTATTTCAATGCATTGTCAGGAACAAAACAAGGTCTATTCATGATATTGGAGAATGAAGTACCTGATTTAATGAACATGTTTCCTGTCTGCTCTCTGAATGGCCAGGTCTTGAGTCATGTTGAATCCTGAATGTTGGAGGGGTTTCACATAATCAGATATGACTTCCATCGTGAATGCTCCCAACTCTTTCATGTTGACTCCCTTAAATTATTATTGAATATTACATTTCCATTGAACATCTTCTCCTTGATGTACTCAGCTGTGGCTTTGATTATGATGTGAAATTAAGCCTTTGGTTCGAGTGGTTTATAGGACTGCACAGTTCTTGGCTGCGATTCTTGTTGTTTTCCTGGGTAGTTTTAAGGATGTGAAAGTATCCTAATATGTAATGGATAAACTCATACCAGTTGTAAATGTCATCGAGGTTCATTCTGTTTCTGAAATTGATATTAAAATTTATTTTTTATTTTGTTAAAATGAAAGAAAACTTAAATTTAAATGGAGGGAATAAAAAACAAATAATGAATGCTTTTCTGTTTTATATTATATGAATCATAAGAAATAATCTGGAACTCTTTTAGGGACAGATTCATTTTCGGATCTGGGAGCTGGATCAAATTGTATGCTACGAATTTTAAATACATTGATTTTTACAAGGTTTAACGTAGATTCTCATCCACTTCCATTATGCCAGCTTGATTACCGCATCTATAACAATAGTTCGGAGCAGAGAATATAGTGACTACATTTCTCTCGTGAGCCAAGGAATATCCCTGAAAAACATATAATTCAAATTATATACATCCATCACCAATTGATGTGCTCTGGCAATCATCTTTAATTTGTTATTGTGATTGAATTATTCTGAAATATCCTATCCGAATGTATATCCAGCACCTCTTGGAGAAATGCCCCATCCAGATCTATCATCTGGATCACTCCAAAGCAAATCGCACATTGGGCCTTCATGTGGTACTTCTTAAACTCTATCTAATTGACGAATGTGATCCAATGTATCAATGGAGGGGGAGATACCTCCATGGAGACAGAAGAACTTGATAGATTGGTTGAATTTACTTAGGATTCTACAGACTGCTGTCAATGGTAAGTAATCAAACAACTCAGTGAAGCATTTCCAAACATTACTATTACCGTATTTACGTGAACATTCGTCATAGAAACCATAAACTTATGTAATTTGTCTAGATTCGTGGTTTCCTCTGAGGATGGTTATTCTGTCTCTATGACGAATCTAAAGTGATTAGTACATTTGCATACCTTCAACAATACAAGGAGAGTTACACACTCAACAGAATGATGACCTCGATCTACATAATCTCCCATGAATAGATAATTGGTATCCTCAAATTAAAATCACTTCATTACTGGTGCTTTGCCACCTATTTTGAACAGTTCCATCAAATCATGGAATTGGCCATGAATATCACCGCAAATTATTACTGGAGCACGCACTGGTTATACATTAGATTCCTCAATCAAAATTTCCTTTGCCTATTAAAATGTCAAAAACAGCCCTTCATACTTTTTCGCATATCTATTTAACATCTTGTTCTGGGAGTGGTTTGCATTAATACAAATGCTAGATTTGGTGGTCAAGGTTAGTTGCCTCGACTGTGTTTAATTTAGAAGCCATATTAATTTAATTTTTGAATCACTACTAGAACTAATCAAATATATATAAAGGTTTAATAAATCATTAAGAATTTAGTATGATCTACATGTATTAGGGCAGACACTCAAATGCATATTACTCCAATAACAGTTCCTTGGCTCTTCTCTCTAGGAATCTCCCCAACAATACCCTCTGCTCATTCGAATTCAACTCATTCATCCGATAGAACCCTTCTCTCTCAGTCGAATCATATTTCGAGGATCTGATCAACATCAATTTCAACTCGATCTCTCGTATCTTCCACAACTTGAGATCATTGAAATACTAAGCATTATTCTTCTGCAAATACTCACTCAAATTAGCCAATAAGTTGTGTTCCTCGCAAATCTGTGAGAATCTCTTATGTGACATATACTAAACACTATTCTATTCCAAATCACATTCATTCATGAACAAATTAATTATCTGTGATTCAGTTCTCTGTGAATCCACTTCCAATAATAGCAGTCTGAATTAGAGTTAAGTGAATCGTTCCTAATCAAATAAAGTCAAAATTAACTAATATTTTTGAGTGATCTCCTTCGTTCTGAAATCCTACATCCCTTACATATAGGGTTGTACCTCTTGATCATAATCAACCAGTTGCACGTATTTTGGAATAGTATTCTTAACATATTGTCCGATTGCTTCAGAAAGTTATGATTATTGGACAAATATGCCATTTTCTGTGAATTCTTTGTTTTGAATGGTGTTCAGGATACTCAAATAGATGTTAAAACTCTGATCTCCAATCAACATCCAATGGAAGAGTTTAGCATAACTTGTCTTTTTCTTGTAGTAGATGATACTCTTGATTATTCTCTGGTACTTTTGCAACCAAACTTGAGGAGGCTATTGGAAATTCTCTATTTAATAAAACTCATAGAGTTGTATATGCAGGGGATAATTGTACTTCCCATATTTCACACACCAACACACAAAACTGGACAAATATTTTTAAAGAGTTTATCGAGTGACAATATTGTCGATTCTATCTCTTCGAAATTATTGTATCTCTTGCAATAACAGTTGAGTTGCAGTTTGCGTGTTTTTGGATGGACATTTACTCACGAATAGTTTCTTCTCTATGGATAACAAATTCTTTATGGGTGACAACTAAGCCTCGATGTCCACCTCCTACTCATCATCCGAGGACGAATCATCAGGTGGAGCCAATGAATCTTAGAAGACTAAAAATGAGATAAGTTTATTCCTTACATATTTATACTGGATGGTGCTTCTTCATTGGACTTATGGGTGGAGTCTCTCTGGGTTCTCTGGATAGATCAACTGATTAGTCTCTTCTCAATTATTGTGGTTCTGTTGATTCACTTTATGCTATATCCAAGGCACTCTTTTGAATCTATGAACTGGTAGATTGATTGATTTGTGGAGGTATCAACAATTAAGGTTAAGAAGAAAAGAAGATTGTATTCGATTTTTCAGGAGGCAGTAGATTGGGACCAGGCGATTGAAGCTTTGGAAATTCCAAGAATATTTTCTTTTTAATTGCTTGTCTTTTGATGGTTTCTATTTGAAAGTGTGGCAAATATTTGTGGATTCGTATAATTTGTTTTTGGAGGAATGAAACCTATTTTAACGTTAATTGATGTTTGCCTATCAACATATCCAACTTTTTTTCGGCATACATCTATTTACGATATGCCTATTTCGAATCAATCTATGTTTCATAGAGACAAATCTTGTTCTCTACTAGACTGGATTTGTTTTCAATAATCAGAGCTTCCAAATGTCGAATCAGATTAATGAACACATTATAACTATTAATGACATACTAACTCACACATTAGAAATCATCCAAATGAAATTCTTCCTTCATTGTCAATATGTTAAACAACTATCTAGATCTCTAAGCCAGTTGATCCACGAGATCATTTAGTTCTTAGTTAAATGTATTTTTATTATAAGTAATTTTGATTTCATGATAGTCGTCAATAAAGACTTGAATAGGATATCTGGACATTTCCAAATAAGTCTATTCTTCTTTGTTTCTAGGGATGCATTCCCTCTTGATCATTGAAAAGTTGGCTTCAACAGATTGATTGAATGTAACAACAGGAGGTGTTTGAGTACTCCAATCGTATACTTTTTTCTTGAATTAAATAGTCTAGACTGATGCATCTGAGAAGTGAAGTAAGTCGGAGGTGTCAGTTTCTTGTGTTTTGTAAGTGATTGAATTGCCTACACATTCATCCTTGAATATGGTTTATTAATAATCCTATAGTATTTATTCATCTTCCTAATTTTAATTTAATATCTCTCTCCTTTCTAAATCATCTAATTTTCTTTAATACATTTCTTCATATATCATAGTTCTTTATTCGAATTGATGTTTAAAGTCTTCAAACATCTCCTTTTTGGCATGTTACAATTCATCTGCAAACTTCTCTTCAATTTATTATGCATTCACAAGATTTTGATGAATGTAGATGGAAGGATCGACTTGATGATTAATGAAGACTTTCATGGCATCTATTTCCCTTATCAGATCAGAATTCTGCAATTTTAGGAAATCACACTCTCTTCTTAGGTTTAGTAGTTCTTACTCTAATTTTTAACATTTTTTTCTCAAGTATCTACCTTCTTTAATCATTTTGTCGTTTTAATCAGAATTCTATTTCAAATATCTCTCAGCCTCCTGCAATTTAGTGCCCTTGTCATTCAAGGTTTTTTGGTACATCTGATGCAATTTCACAGTTTCTGAGAGACAATCTTTCTCCAATTTTCTGAAGGTTTCAGATTGCTTTTCAATAATCTCCTTTACTGCATGTGTAAATGATGACCATATTTTATTCAGGATTGTCTAATAATCAATGCACTTAACAGCCAGTTACTAACCTAACTAAGTAATGGAACCAGTGTAGACCAACTCCATTTTTTCATAGAAATCCCTAATGTTGCTGTACTATTGTAATTATAATTATTGAACCATTAGCTACATAATAATGGTTAGATACATCTGTCCATTGTTCTAGTTGTTGAAGATCTTTGCGTTCATTTAACTCAAGTACCCACTTTGTCCTACTAGTCCGATTGCTACTCACATTATTGGCCCTACTCATCAAGGATCTCATGGCAAAGACCTATGATCTCCTCATCTTCATTCATTACCGTTCCATCCTCACCTTAAATAGTTCTGCAAATGTTTTGAAGAGACGGCAATTTGTTCGGTGAACCGTAACGCTAAGAATTACTCTCCACAGATGATATCTTGCCCTTGGATGATAAATCGATGTGTGTCTCAACTCGAAAATGAATACTCTTCAGTGGCTTTTGATTCATTGGTAATTTAATTTATAAACAACATCATCTTTTCAACTTCTTCTCAATGCATTACTACAAACGCACCATTTCATTCACATAGTTTTTAGACAGTCCTTTTGCTTATTCACCCCCCAATGTATTAAAGTAATTCGCAATCTCTCCCAATTCCTTCATTGGCAACTTCTCATCCAATCTCCTCCCGAAAGAACGAGGAGATATTAAACCGACATGCTCAGACATTCCTCTCGCTGTCTTCACTGTCGCACGAGGACTCCCTATCGTAGAAATCCTATCCATGTAATATTGTTTTCATTTACTGTTCCCTCAATGAGACTAATTTTGACAACAATGCTGATTCTTTCGACTCTCTCGTTGTCGCCAACACCTAAGCATACATTCGGTTATTCGCCTTGTACTCCATCATCTCTGATGACTCAGTTGGATATCTCAATAGAACAAATAAACATACGATCTCAATTGTTACCGACCAAACATTATTAAAATTAATCGAAATTCCTCCCACTTCAAATTTCAACTTATGTTATGAAATCTTTGGTTCTTCCAAAAATTGTTATCACCTAAATCATTATTTTCATCCAATATTCAATTATCTATCACACATCCACATTATTCAATACCAAACTACTCATTTTAAATATTTGCTTTTTTATACCGAAAATTCTACTCCTTTTTAAATTCCTACATTTATCTCTTTCATCAAATACAGTATTTGGAAATAGTATTTAATATTTATTATTTTTAAAATCCTTCTATTTTTGCTTACTAATTTATACTCTAAAGCAGAACCAGTAGCACTTAATCTATCCCTTATTCAGAATTACTATTGTACTTCTTCAAGTCAAAAAATAAAGATAAATTTAGCAAATATTATTAATTAAAATTTTCTGATTAACTACCCATTCTTTGCACTCATATGATATTCCTGTGTTTTTTTAATGTACTTTTTGTTCTCTCAAAATTTATATTAAAGTAATTTCTAATAAATTAAATAGTTTAACTTAAAGCATTTTTTAATCAAATTGATTTATAATTAAATACAATTTTAACCATGAAAAAAAAGGACATCATTCTAGAATACAAACTTTTTAAACGATATGTGCAACACTTACAATTCAAATTACTTTAAGAGGAATCTCACAATACATAATCAATAAATGTCAAGATCAATAGAAATAGATACTACTAAATTGACCTTAAAGTGAATAAAAATAGAGATAATCTTCCTTTAATGACTAACCACTACAAAAGCATACCCTAAAACATCAGATTATAAAATCCAACTCCTGTTTTACTTGAGAGATTAAGTACGAATATTAACTACTTAGCACCTATGTCAGTTGAGTTGTCACAAGGCGAAGAAACAGAAGAGCTATTTAAAACCATTGAATAAGCTTAATAGGAAAGTATTGAAAAAAGTAAATAACTCTTAAGAAATGAATTAAAAGTGTTCTTAGATTATCTTTTTGAAAAATACAAAGAATTGTTCAGCTCTATTAAAGATGTATTCAAATTTAATGAAATTGCAGAAGCTTTGAATGTTTCAGTAGATTAAATTTAATTGCATTTTTTATCGAAATTATAAGGGAGGTACTCTATGAGGTCTGTTGTGAAGTATCAATTCGTAAGATTCAACAGGTATTTTTGTCCCATTTGCAATCTGTATATGTGTAGTTGGCATTATAGGTTAAAATTGAGTCTTATATAGTTCAAAGAATCAAAGAGTGTTTATTGAGAGTGAACCAAATGTGGAGATGCCAATTAATATTCAATCAATTGATAATTTTTATGAAACAGACTTCAAACCGAATCAAATAAATTTGAAAGATAGTATTTGGAGATATCATATGAGAAATAAGTAAGAAATAGATATAAGATGTACTAAAATTGAAAGATGCGGTAGATACAATTGTGATAACAAAAAAAGATTAAAGAAATTTTAAATAAAATCTATTCAATAACTACTTGAATTTGGTTTTGAAAATTGTTGCTTTATCAATTAAATATTACAGCATCCTGTCTATAAGATTTACTGTGATTAAATTAGCTATATAATCAAGAATTACTCTAATAATTAGGAGAACCTTAATAATAAACCACAATAGAATATTATGTCTCCAGAGATTTATGAAGGATTTGATTCTTACTCTTAAAAATTACATAAAATTACTAATTACTAACAATAATATACACCTTGTTTTCATTAAGGCAGTTGCAAAGATGCTGATTGCAGTTGTGTGATGTGTCCGAGATACTGTTGTTGCAAAGGTAAATGTGAAAAGAAGATTAAGAGGTGTGACTGCAAAAACTGTGGGTATGATGAAAAGAAACGTAAATTTTAATGTACTTGTTTCAATTTAGGATTTGAATGTGATCCATCTATTTGCAAATGTACAAATTGCAATAACGTCAATTTAACTCTGGGAATATCTAAATAGCTAATCTTAGGAAACTCTCTTATTTGTAATGGTATAGGCTTATTTGCTGCATAGCATTTTAAAACATATGACTTCATAGGGGAATATAGAGGAAACTATCTGTTGTTGGATGAAGAAAGCTACATTATAGAGTGTAAAATTTAGATATATCTTTAGAATGTAATATGCTTACTGGGAAACATTACTTGTTTGAAGTTGATGATAAATGGCAAGTGGATGGAACTTATTATAGCAATTATCTTAGATTCATCAATCATGCAACTAATTAATCAGAAACCGCAAACTGTTAAGCCATTATACTATTTTCTGAAGGAAGATGGAAGATTGGAATGTATGTAAATTCTACTATTTAGGCTCGCAACTAGGGAGATTGAAGTAGGATAAGAGTTATACTTTGATTATGGGGATAAATTCAAAACTAAATGGCTATAAGAATTTAACAAAATTAGTGAAAGATATTTTTAGGGCAAATGAGTTAAATAATTTATCATTAAATATCATTTTTATAATTCCAATATTAAAGGAAACATTTGATAAAATCTAATATATTATATATTATAGTAGTGATTTTCTTATTCTAAATTTAATATGGATCTAAAATTTCAAAAAACAAATTATTCTATGATTAATTAATAAATGTTTATTAGCAACACAACTTTTAGTTTGTAAAAGAAAAGAGAGAATTTTGCTTTGAATGTTAAACGCATAGATAGGGAAACTCTATTATCTAACAATAGGAAGAAAATGTTATAGTAAAATAATAATGACTTTGAAGTAGATAAAACACTTCATCTCTTAAATGAAGCAATTAAAGTTTATAACAAAAAGGATATCAAAAGTAGCTTTAAGCAAATCAATGACTATAATAACTTTAATGAGGAATAAGAAATAAGATTAGTATAAATGATTTAAACTCTCCTTAAACATAAAGTTGAGGATGAAAATTCATCTTTGCATAATGAATGCTTGAATATTTTAGTTAAATTAAGTTTGTTAAACAACTCATCTTAAGAATTATTTAACACTTTGACAATACTATGCCAATTGATGGAAATGTATAACAACCATATTAATCAAGCACTTTCTTACTAAATTTTAGATAAAATACTAGCTTTTATTGGTATAAAACTATTTATCATAATTAGGTAATATTTCTTGTAATAATGGATTTATTAGTGCATTTACATCCAAATTAATAGATATCTTATAATATCAGATAATTTTTGGCTAAAAAAGATTGTTATTTTAGGCAATATGGGCTTTAAATAATATTTTGTATGCAATACATAATGAAACTGCATTGTTAAACTAGATATTGCGAAGGATAGGTTAATCAGATATGCCTCATTACTTAGTGCAATATGCAAAGAAGAACGAAATTAAGCTTGATTAAAATTAATTGATTTAAATATACTGGTTATATGCAGAATTGTCCTAAATAATCCCTTATGATTTTGCATAGTTATAAGTGAAGGAAGCAGATTGTTTAGAATTGTAATTAATAAAACTCTTTATCTACTCTAATTTGACAGGGTAATAAATAGTACCTATAAATTGTAATATTAATTAACTTCTCAATCTGTTTCCGGTGTCACCTATTTTAATATAAAGATAACTGTTAGTGATCATTGCTAATTTAGTTCTTTAGACAGAGATTGAATTAGAGACATTAAAGAACCTAATTAATTTTGCCTTTCCCATTTGTCCTGTAAAAATAGCTTTTATTTCTAGATAGATACCATGTTCTTATTGCATAACTGTTAAGTGAAATATAATTTGTAATTAACTCAAAGTGAAAAAGATCACATTTTGAGAATTGTTGATGAACTTTAGAAAGACTCATTAATATAAGATTTGGTAAAGCAGTTAAAATTAAATAATTGAATAAAATAAAACTAAATCAAGCTTTTCTAAAAAATTATTTTAAGTATCCTCCTATTTAGGTTATTCATCCCAATTGATTCTATTTTTTTTATAGATTTTAAGCTTACACAGTATTTTATTAATCAGATTGTTTGATTTTCTCTGCAAATTTGATGAATCCTAAATTAAATAATGTATTAGTAAGATCCTTCTTACCTTCTAAATGAAATGAGAAGATGCCATAAAATTAAGAAATCATATCATTCTTACAAAATTTGAGAATTTCTTCAAAGGTATGTAGTTTCAATAAAGAAGACTCACAGCATTTCAACATTCCAATAATAAATGTATGAATGATATCTTCTCCTTCGAAAAGGAAAACATCAAATATCATTCTGCTTATTTTCCATGAATTTCCGTACATTAGTAAAGTAAAATATTGATATTGGAAGCAAATGTTAAAATCTACACCTACTTCTTGAAAATGTTAATAGAGTTGAGGTAATTCAGACATAAATTTTTAATTGAGAGTCTTCATCATTTTAATGAGACCAGGAAACCCAGTCTTAAACACCTCTTGCCATTTCAGTTCTATCATTATATAAATAAAAATGTAAAAGACCATTTCATCCCTTTTTGGATCAAATATTTCTACATCTAAAAATGAATAAGGATATTTACTTTCTAAAAATTAATGATCGTTATATTAAAGATCATAACAAACCAATAAATTAGCTGCAATAATATTCATGCCTTAAGTATATCCCAATTCAGGATCGTAATTAGCATATGCAATTAATATTTTTTTTAAACTCACAATATTATCTGGCTTTAATAATTAGATATTTTACATTCGTTAGAAACTCACATTCAGTTAAAGTACGAGGAATGTCCTTCTCTATTTAAGATTTAAATTTATTGTCCTGCAAAGAATATTACAGAAAGGATTTCCCAGTCTATTTAATTTAATTCTTTATTGAATCCACTTGGCAGAAGAATTGCCAAATGTCTCTTCTTTCAAAAAAGTTTAAACTCTATGCCAACAATGAGACATGTATGTCGAAAACATTGTAACCATTTAATGACTTTTAGGAAATTATCTTTCTCCAATCTTCTTGTTTTAATAATTTATACTCATTTCCATTCTTACGGGGCTCGATAATAACAAAGTCAGATATTTCCACTTAGATCAAATTGTATTCAAATTGTTCCTCATCTGTTATGGGTTAGTCATCTTTAGATTTTTTTAATAGCTTTTGATCTTTAAACTTCATGTTATATGCTAAAGGCTAGTATTTAGTTTGTATTTTACTTCTTCTTTACTCTCACTAATAGACCTTTTAAACAATCGAGATTGGTTCGTTTGATTCTGGACTTATGAAGCTTTTTGTCTATTTCTTTTTCTGCTTAACTAATATTCATTTAGAATCTAACTTAAATAATCTCAAATGGGATAGATTCCCAATCGCCATTCTCATTCTATTCAATAGTCTTAAAATAATTCATTAAATGATAATTTAATTATTGAGTCTTACTAATAGAATTGAGAATGTTATATATAACTTTTCATTTTTTTAACAATTTAATTAAGGAATCAATTGATTAGGTTGTGTTCTTCTTCTCTCTTGGACTATAATACTTCAAATTGGCTTTCATTTTTATTGGATTGATGTTATTTCTCTTGAAAATCAGTTCCATTTATTTGGGTAAATCTTAAAGTTCCTAAACTTCTGGGAAACGCTATATAGCAGTAGGTTAAGGGATTTTAAGATAATGACTATTTAATAATTCATTTAATTTTCTGAGGCTCAACTTATTGGATTCATAGTTATCTGTTCCATCTGTGAAAACTCGTTTGCTCAATTGATTTAATTCCTACTTCTAAGGACTCAAACTCAATTTATCTTATGAACAATTTGATTTCGTATTATTACTTTGTTTCAAGTATATCGAAGGTAATTATCTGCGAATTGCTCTTTTGTTTTGATCATCACATGAGTTGTCACTCTACAACTGTAGGAGTCTTGGACTTTAAAGAGCAATCCTAGTTGAATTCCTCTATTTCAATTTATTATTTAAAAGTGGTAATAACTTCTTTTTAAAATCATTAGTTTGATCAAAATTGAAAATTTGGCTCAGAGATTTTTAGGTTGACACATTCTTCAGAGTCCCATTATTTTACTGTGATTAATTATTTAGATATACAGGACTTTGTTGTTTTGGAAAATCAAAATTATATAGCATATTATTATTAATAAAAAAGCCAAATTTAAATAAGTGTTACTAATATGATTTAATTTAGTGATAAATAATATTAATTCATTTGATATTATAGATTTTTATATTTTGAGGTCTTAGACTTACCTTAACAGGAATGTATTCATTGGCCTATTTTGCATATGCTTCAAACTCCTTTTCCCTTTTTGCTTCCTAAACAAAGTTAATCCACTATAACATTATAAACTTCTTCCTCATCAAATTTACACTTGTATACGCATTCAAAAATTTACATTTGAGTCTCTATTATTCATAAGTGAAATATTTCCAAGTATAATAATATCTCTTCATTGTTGAGAAATAGAATTTTGTCAAAGACTTTATATCCTTTTATTTCTTCTCCCTTTTAGCTACATTGAACCAACCATTAAATAAAAATTGCTTATATTAAAGATCCATTTATTTCTTCATTTTCTGTTTATATACTTAATTCTTCCATCTATTCAGAAACACTTTCTACTTATGATTGTTCATTAATTTAATCAAACTCTAAAGAAACTATTGCTAAGCTATTTAATTTTGTTTTAGTGTTTGGAATACATTATCTTTCAACTTTTTCTATTTCTAAAATCTAAACTATCTTGAAATTCTATCCTTCTCATATTTCTCCAATTATTTATCCTTATTTATCTTAAATTGCTTCATGCACTTCTTCAAAATACAAATATCTTTCTTCTAGATATATTATTGTAACTTCTTCAATAATCGAAACTCTTTCAACAAATCTCGATTTAATTACCCAATCATATAATCGAAATATCTTTCGGCAATAAACAATAATTGAGTTTTGTTGATACTATTCAATAAATGGCTATTTTTTTCAAACTTTTCCATATCAATTACTAATTCCTACGATAGTTTCTTAATGATATTATGATTATTGACTGTAATTCCATCTTTTGATGTATCCTTATCTGTAAGTTTAGAATTCCCTTAATGGTTGTTGTACTAATTAGATTATTGGGCCTAATCAAATGACTGACCATAACTGATATCATTATTGGAGGAATCTTATTTTGTTTATAATGAATTGTTATATTCTTATTTCACCTCTATAATTGTTGGCTGCACATTAGGGTTGAACTACGCTGTATTTTATGGAATCGTCTGATATTGACTCCATCTTTAAGTTGTTTCTACTAATTATGACTCCTAATCAATGCTTTCATAAATTGGACTTTAATTTGATTGATAATGAGCCTTCTCTTCTTGATGAGACGAATGAGTAACACTACTAGCTTCATCTTGAATCTCTTCCTTAATACTATTATAAGTTCTTGATGATTGCTAATAGTTATGATCAAATTTTTAACACTGAGTACCCATAGTAACTTTACCTGATTATTAAAATTGCCCTTGCTCTTCTATGGTATCATAGAATTATTCTGAATCTATTGATTTTTCTTATGTTTAACTTAAATTCTAAATATTGCTACTTTCTTAGCTTGTGTAATGACTTATCTAATTTCTATCAGAAACAGTCTTCGCATAAGGATCAAGCATTTATGTTTAAGTATACTGCATTACACTTGAGCTTTCAAAGGGATTCTTCTAGCCCTCTTAATCAGTTTATACAAGTTCTTCCTAAATTTGACTTTCAGGCAATTTAACTTCCTGCTATCTGCTAAAAGACATATTCTGCTCTTCTTGCTTAGTCTTACGAGTATCTTCAAAAGGATTTTTAGGGGGCTCTGAGCGAGGAGATGAAACACTTTATTAATGTTCTTCAAGTTCTGCATTTTTCTTGACTTCTTATTGTGGACTTGGTTTTGGCAATACTTAAAATTTGGGCTGAATTTCAAGTTGCGCTTTGTATTTATTCAACAAATCTCTTGTCTTAACAGGCATACTCTTCACGGAAGGTTTCGAAAGACTTTCAAAGTCATTCATTTATTATTCAGATGTTTAGGAGACATACTCTTAATAATTGAGTTCTACACTCTTTTTATAACTGTGCAAAGACCTTGCTGCATTCTAATTGTAACATATCATTTTACATCTCTTTTTTCTTGCAGGTCTTTATTAATTATTGGTCGTTATTGCATTTAATATTAAAATATGTAATTTAAATATCATTCTTTATTTATGATAATATTAAATAATACTCTATAAGCTTTTGATGAACCAAATATATAATTCATATATCAACCACATATATTTGATATAATCGATAATGATAAAATATAAGAGAATGTTTTATTCTCAAATAATACGATTAAGATATTCAATAAGCCAAGTCATCTCTAAGTAGTTTAAACATATTAATTATTTAATAATTTTTTTTTTTCATTTCTTTGGTATATACAAAGCAATTCTTTATTTCTTGATAAAATTTATTTTAGATTAAAATTTTGTTGAAGATTATATAAGAAATTGACCAGGATTAATCAGCGTGGTATATATATCAAGAATTAGTGATAATTATTAATTTCGTTTAAGCATATCGAGGAAAAAATATAATTTACTGATCTTTCTTTACTAATATGCTTAGATATTATTCTTAATAGGAAATGGATATTAGTGTTTATTATATATATTTTGTGAGATTACAATTCTCAACTTTTTCTCTTTTGAAACTCAAACTATGGCATTTTTTCCTTTATAAATTATTATGATATCTATGTAATAAATATAGAAATATAATAATTAAAAAAAATTATATATTTCCAAATTATGGATGAAGATTTTTTTCAATTTAAATTAACATATTCAGATATTATGACTAGTATGCAAATCATAGGAAGTGCAATGATTAATAGCAAATACAAGTTCCATGTATTTCTTACATATATTTGATTCTTTGATCTTAAAGAGAGAGTTGATTTTTAATTTCGAAAATTTTATGCAATAATTGTAATACATTGTTGTTATTAGAGAAATTATTGGTTATGATTTGACTATGAGGAACTTGATTTTTCTAAGAATTTTAATCTAGCTTGTCTCACAGCTAAGTTTAAAACATTAAATTTTTTTTTTTTTTCAAAAAAGTGAGCTTGGGAAGAGAATTTTTTTGGTGTGTAAGTCTTATTAAGTCTCTCATACTCACTTTATCTCTCTAAAAGGTCCATTGTTATTTCTTAATATGTTTTCTATAGTTGCTTTGAAATCAGTGTAGAATTTCTTCCCAACAGTATTTATTTAGGTGAACGTGAATAAGTATGGTTTACATTTGCATTTGGAACCATCTCAATAATATTTTATTATATTATAATAACATTTGGATAAGATTTATCTCATAAATAATTATTTTTTTTATAATCTCGTCAATTTATAATTGACATAATTTGAATATGGCTTTAATTATTGTAGACAAATTACAAAAGCCATCATTTTTTTAATAATGACCAATAAAAATTTATTTAAAATAATTAATAAGAAATATCTAAGGCTTTTTTTGTTAATTTAGAAATTTGTAAAAACTTATTATCAATATAATATCTTTTAATGCCATAAATCGTTATTTAATATACACCCTGAAATTTTTTCAAAAAATCAATCCATAAAAAATAAGCCTCTTGTCTATCATGATTCAATTTAATCATAATTATAAAATATCAGATGAAATTTTGTTTGAAAAAGGCCAGAAAAATTTAAATAATTAATTGCCTAAGGTAATAAATTTTAATTTTATTAATAATTACATCATTATTGATAAAAAATTATTAATATGTAAATATATGATCATATTATTAGGGATTTCTACTTAAATAACTCTAAAAAAACTACAATGAAGCATAGCATTGGAATTGCCAAGGACAAAACTATATTCAATTCGATTTTCTTAGTATTTTAAGTTTAATTAAAAAACTCTTTACTTTTGTTTTGAAGTCTCTTTTAATCTCTTAAATATTCAACTATAAATTTCATTGCGCTTTGTTGTTTTTCGAGATTATATTTACTATGTTGTGAATCAGAATCAATAAATCTTTTTTTAGCGTCTTGAATTATGGTTCTAAATTTATTATTTTGAGCCTCCTTTCTTTCTGATGTATTGACTATACTTACACTGTGGTAATTGGGAAATTTGTAAAGATCTTCATACACTTTTTAACGAATTAAAAATTCACTGCTGATTTCTTTTTAAGACTCAATCTCTTTTTTCTTTGCTTATTAATATTGCTTGGGATGATTAGATTAAACTTATAGCGATATTTTTCTATTTGGCTTTGGATAAAACTTTGAATTCATGATATTTATTTTAATAATAGAAGAAAATGTTTATAGGATTTTTCTAAGAATACCAAATTGCTTCTGAAAATATTAGGAATATCAAAATTCCGAATGATAAATTCTTGTGCAAGAATAGCCAGAATTATTTGTAATTCATATACCATTATCTGAATATTTGAATTAATTAATAAAAAATATTATGCTTTTATAATTAAATTAATTGATTGTTTCATTAAATATGACTATGAATTAATAGTTCTGAAAAGAATTTAAACTTCATAAAACATTTTAATGAACTAGAAGGATATTATTTTTAAATAAATAAGACTATTTCCAATTAAAAAATTTATTTATTTTCGGTTAAATCATTTAGAGTAATATCGTTAGAAATTTGAGTTGTTAATTTTTCACTCAAATTTCTACCTAAATATATAATTATATAATTGAATTAAGTAATAAATGAATTTCAATTGATTATATTAAATATTTTTGTTTTTGAGAAGTAATTCAGAATTGTAATGTTTAGCTAATTGTTTGATATTAAAATATCTAATTTATATTTAATATATATAGAATTGAGAATCAAATTCATTATTACTTTTTTTTAGTCTAAATTTTATTCAGTTATAATTATAATTATTGTATTTCATCATCCAACTTTCTGATTTCTTGTCTATGTTTTACAAAAATGTTTATTTGATTATTGAACTAATTAATACATAGAAATTAAGTACATCAATAAGACTTTTGAGTGTTCCAATTTCATCCCTCATTAAATCTGTATAATTTTGAAGGATTTCAACTCCTCTCATAACTTCTTTGTCTCTCATTTTTAGGAATTAATATTGTTTTTCATTTTAAGTTTGCATTCGTTTATCATAGAGTAATTTTTATTATTTATCGAAGCCTGTGAGAGAGGTGAATATCTTGGATTTATAACTGCTTTGTAAGTTTTATTTGATATTATTGTATTTTAATCCTCTAAATTCTCGAATCTTGAGTATCTCAGTCAAGAATTGAGTGTAAGAATCAGGGAAACCATCTTTATATTTTTTTTCAATTTTATCAATTTATTAGCTTAATTCACTAAAGTGATCTAAATAATTTAAATAAGAATACATATCCATCAATTCGAAATTGTATCTGATACAGTCAAGCTCTAATTAATCAATGTTCTATTGGATGACTTGTAAACACTTTTCATACTCAGGATTATCATAGAATTAACTCAGTTGAACATAATACAATGACATGGCTTGATCTCTCATTTGATTCAATTTATAAGCCAAGGAATCAACTGTGACTTCTTCTGAGATTGAACAAAACTCCCTGATTTCTTTATAATATATGCTTTCTATATAGTCTTTCTCATATTTAATTTATTTTTGAATGGCTTTCAAAAATCTACATGGAATAGTAATATGATATATACATATTTTCTATTACATTAATTTTATCTAACTCGGACATTGAACTTTTAGTAATTATCTCAGCAATTGAGAAGAAAGTCAAAAAATCGATTTCATAACTTCTATAAATCTTTTTCTATAATGACATTTCAAGTTCCAAGGCCCAGTTATATAGAGTGTCGGATGGATTATCAACAAAGGATGAACCTGAAGCACTCAGATAATTAGATTCTTCCATGATTGTAATTTTGATATTGTCATAGATTTGATACCATTTATATTGGTCTATACTCTATCCTTAGCCTTCAACCAAATTGATAATCTGTAACTTGTAATTAGGATTATCATCATGTTTAGTGATTTAATGAAAATTTTCCAAAATCTCATCATCATTATTGTTAATGAGGAATACAATTTCACTTGCCAAAATAGAGGCCACTGTCATTAAAACTGTATCTGCATGTATAAATACACTATTGTTCTCAACCAAATTCAAACTTTATCTTCTCAACTGTTTTTCCTTAAACTATTCTCCTAAAATGCATAAAAGTTGATATAATTAGATGTTCTTATGTTCATTGTATATCACATGATTCCAAATGTAAATTCCTTTTTACAACGTTGTGTCTATGAGGGGTAAGCTTTTATCGAAGTTCAATTTAGAAAGTTGATTTATTTCAGACCGTGTAGCTACATAGACAACGAAAGAAGCAGGCCCAGTTCTAAAGAGTGAATTCTAATTTAAAATTAGTGTAAAATACATATTTCTTAATGTCCAAACATAACTTGATTTGCTTAACATTATCGTCCCATTGTAAAAATCTTATTGGTTTTGCATCCACATGACTTTTCTTCATCTGTGATGGTTGCATAAGAACTGTGGCCTTCTTAACTACTTTTTGATTTATAAAAGGTGATAATTGGTTAGACTAGAAAACATTCATTTTCCTATATTAAATTTCAACTATTATTTTAATAATCACAATAAACACAATCACTATTACACTTTAATTATCATTCTTTGAAAAACTCATGTTGCAATACTTCTTCAGCCGTTATCCTAACTCTGTGATCATAAACAAATATCTTATTCAATAAATCAATTACAGCAGGACTTGCGAGTTCTCTGTTCTCCTCATCAACGAAATTCTCCAAAGGTTGCCTCTCATATCCTTCCAATGTTTTTTTGAATTTCTCGGTTAATGTAATGTTATACTTCTCACAATACAAAAATAAATCCTTTGAACCCAATACCTTGACTACTTATAATAATTAATCATCATTGTTTCTTCCTTTGAAAAAAGGGTACTTTTTAAATATAGTAGATGCTAGGATTGATCCTAAAGCCCATACGTCAACTGCATAATCATAATGCTTATAATGGACCAATTGTTCTGGAGCCCTGTAATGACGAGTCCCTACTCTTGTCCTGTATTCTTTCAATGGATAGTAAAAATCACTCACTCCCCAATCAATTATTTGTATCTCATCATTTGAAACTATAATATTTTAAGGTTTTATGTCTAAATGCATAATTCCCTTTGAATGAGTAATGCTGAGACCCTGAAATAACTAGAAATAAAACTTTTTTATCTCCTCCAAAATTAAATCATGATAAAATGAATAGATCCTATAATCAAGGGTTTTGCTATCCTCTAATTCCTAAAACACTAAAACAGGGCTTGTATCGTTCATATACATATCCACTAATCTTACAATTGATGCTTTCTTTTCCTCATTCAAAATATCTATAATTTATGCTTCCATTCTTGCCCACCACAGGTATTATGATTTTATTTACTTCAAAACAACACGTAAACCATCTGATAATCTTACCCCACTTTACACAAATGCAAAGGTACCATCGCCTAAGTATTTTTTTACGGCATAATCACTCATATTTCCTTCAGGAATTATTAAGGGAATCAATTCCATTTTATTTACATTTTGGTGTATTCTAGATACTCTTAAATCATTCAAGTTTATCTCTTGATTATAATCATAAGGTGATAGTTATTCTACAAAATCTGTAGTTTTATCATCATCAAAGTAATCAGGTGAGATTGAAGAATAATGATTTTTTTGATTTGTAGTTGAAGAATGGACAACAACATTATTATCATAGTAGTGTTTCTATTACCCTCCTAACATCACTGCTATTGATTAATTAAGAAATGCATCATTAGGATCAGGGGATTCCCTTCCAAAAGTTAAGAGAAAAATAGAAATAATAAATAACATAAAATAATTATTCATTTCAATTGATGATAATCAGGCTCGCTTCTTTACTCTTGTAAGGGATGCGTGACAACCCCTACGCCAAATGAGCAATTATAACTTTGAAACTGTAATTTAATAGTTTATAAAATAATTTGTATCAACAACAATCCTTCTTTTTTTTTTATGCTGATTTTGTATTTTTGGTTAAGTTTATTTTATAATTATTGTCTTCTGTAAGATTTGGCAATGAAACCTTACCATTACATTGCTAACATGCTAGATCAGCTAATCTTTAAAATGCCTCATGAACATTTAGACCTAACTTGGCTGATGTTTCAATATAATCCACATTTAATTAATTTGCTAATTCTTCTCCTTATTATTACGATACGACTCGTTAATCACCTATGTCTTTCTTATTAGCAATCAAAATTATTGCAATATCATTTTTGCCATGTTGCTTTAAAGAATTCATCCAAAATGTGATTTCTTGAAATGATTTCAAATCATCTACAGCATAAACAAGCAATACTCCATGAGCAAATTTATAATAATTTTATGTTAAAGTTCTAAATTTCTCTTATCCAGCAGTGTCCCAAATTTGCATTTTCATTACTTTGCCATTTGTTTTCACTTCTTTGAATTTAAAATCAACTCCTATTGTAGTAATATGACTTTCACTATAGTTATCATCAGTAAATCGTGTTAAAAGATTTGTCTTTCCCACTTAAGAAGATCCAAGGATTAGAAACTTGCACATTATATCATAAGTTGGTTGCTTTGACATATATATTTCTAATTACTTTAGATTATAAACAAATATAAATTTTTTAATTTTGTGATCATAATGATTACTTTGAAATCTTATAGAGACTCTGCACCCTTATTTTAATGTATTGGCATGAATAATATCTACCTCAATCATGATTCATATCACTTAAATTTAATTCCTGTTTCTGTTAGTTAACGTAATAATAATAGAAAAAAATAGGACAAACGAGCTAATTTTATCTAAATTTAACTCTAAAGCCAATTAACTTTAATCAGATTTGAATATAGATTTTATTCTAAATTAGCGTTATGTTCTATGAATTTTATTATCAATTTTGAAGGTAGCCTCATAAAAATAATACTCTATATGCAATTACTTTTAACTCTTTTGGTGATTCATCTTATAAACAACAATTATAATAAAATCCTCCTTGAATTCGTTATTGATAAACTCTAAAATGAAAATTTAGAGGATTTTTAATATATATAACTGTTGATATCACATTATTTGATCACTAGGGTATTCTCAAATTAATTATAAAATTTCCATTATTATAATTAATATACTTTTAAATTTATACGATGTCACTAAAAAGAATCATAAACCTCCTATTTTTAAATGAAGAGCAATTAATTATAATAATATTAAAGTGTAATTAAAGAAAGCAAAAGTAAATAAATCACATTTTAAATGAGTCTTAAGAATACTCAATTTAAAGGGTATAATTAATAGTAATTTGCTAAATAGACAAAATATACAATGCGAAGAATCATTATTGTTAAGCAAGTTTCTTAATAGTTACAAGATCATTTAATTCCTTATTAACATCTTAAATTTAATCGATTATCTCTAGTAATTTCTATCTTTTTTCTTTTTTAATAGTCATATCTGTTTGTTATTGAATTTATTCTTCAATATCTTAGTATTATAAATTGAGGGCTGTCAATAGTTCATCTAAGAATCGTATTCTTTAGACAGCTTCAACATATTTCTAGTTCTTTCTACCAAGTTATTAATCATTCAAAGTTATTTCATCTCCAATAATAACAGCATTATTATATAAATCATTCTTTTACGAAGATGGATAATTTTCCTCTAAAGTCTTTACTATTAATCGGCTGACACCACTACTTTATGAATCATATCCTTATTATTTTTAATTCTAAAAGTTATTATTTTGCATTGATTGAGATTGAGTCAGGAACTAAGGATCTTTCAATTTATTCAGACTCTTGCTTTTAATTTAACGTAGGTCTCTTATTTTTGAGGCCTTGACTGACATTTCTTTTGAAGATATTTATTTGATATTCTTTTTTTTTGTGACTCTTGGACTTATTGTAGTTAAATTAGATTTTGAAGATAGAGTAATTAATTATTGTCTCAATTATTCTATTCTTATATTTGATTCAGATGATTTTTTTACTCTTCTAAATTCAGATTCTTCAAGTTCTTATGTTTTTATATCTAAATTGGATTTCAAATTTTCAATGGCATCATTAAGCTATTAGTTTTCTTTTGTCAAATGTTCTAATTAAAATTTTAATTAATTATTTTCTTCTTCCAACTCTAGAATAATAAAATAAAATACTTCTAAATATGCTTTCATTATAATAATCTGTATACTATTCTATATAAGCATCAGCCTCAAAAAGTTTCTCTTTCAATTTAGATAATTCTAATTATAATTTTTCATTGTTTTGCTACAAAAATCGTTTCTCATTTTTCTCTTACTCCAATAGAAATTAGAGGTGTGAATAATTCTAAAAAAATGTTATACCAAATTTACCTATTTTTCTTATTGTAAAGATTGGTTTTATGAGTTCATCTTGTTTCGATAATTAGTGTTATTTTCTTCTTGAATTCTCAACTACTCAATTCTTTTGATATAAGAATAAAGATTACAAATTTTGCTTTTCCTCTATATATTCTCTGTATTTTTGATCAGCCTATTATGTAATGTTCAATAAATTCTATTATAATTGTGTAATTTTGCATTCATAATCCTCTATCCTCATTTTAGCTGTAAATTCTTATTGCATCAGTTTCTACTCAAGTTCTTTCGTTTATAAGCTTTCACTAGTTTTTAGATGAACACTGGATTCCTTTAGTTTTCTCTCATTAGACTTTAGATTACTCTTACTATCATTAGATGTCTAATCAATTATAAAGTCTTACTACTAGACTCTGTAAACTTTAATTCTCAAACTCAAGCTATTTGATCTTCTCTTACAAAGCCTTCATTGCATTCACATAACTTTGAGAAACTGTAAGGTTGTTACTCATTTTTTATTCATCTGATGGGCTGGAAACGATATATTGCTTTTTTTATTGGTCTTTGCCTCGAACTTTATACCCAACGAAAAGCTAGGAATTTATGAATTAGTTGTATTTAGAATGCTTATCGGAAAGCACTGAGTGAAAGCTATCAGCTTTCATTAATTTATTTATTTATAAATAGTAAGTTATATAACTGCAAAACAGATTAGAATTTAATAACAAACAACACAGATAATTATTTTCATTAGGAAGAACATTAAACTCAAAATTACAATAATCCGACTAAAAGAATAATTTTATATCTTATCATTCTGAAAAACCCTAATTTTAGAAATACCTTTTCGTATTAAAAGCTATACTTTAATCTTCAATTTTATTTAATAATTGAGATTTCATTTTATTTTTGTTGAGAGTAGTACCAATATAGAGGAGAAAATATTATCCAAAAAAACAAAGGGTATAAAAATAAATTATTTATTGGAATAACAATAGCAGCCATAGAAAAATTAATTTCACCTTTCTGTTTATAATGAGCAACACTTATCCAACAGCTTGAATTAACTTTAATTAAAAGTTTAGTTTTTCAATTATGAATTTCAAATAAATTGTTTATTTACAATGATGACAAATTATTATGCAGTGATGCTGATAAAAATATTATAATATTTTATATATTATCACTATAAATACTTGTTTAAAAATAGATGAGCAGTAATAAGGATGATGAATATAACCGAAAAGGCTTCTATTAGGAAGATACAAACCTTTTTATTAACATCATCATCCTAATAAATCTGATGTTGAACGTGAGATTTATACTGTTTGACCTGTTTAAGTTGATCTTCTCTTTACTTTATATAGAAGGGCACACACTAAAGTTATTTGAAATCATATACTTATTATTATTCTAATCTGTTGATTATTGAATTAGGGGGGGTTTCAAGAGACTTAAGGTTTTTCTGTTATCCCATCTCTTTTAATACCTGAGATTTAAAATCAGATTGATTTGACTCTGTTTCTATTATAATCTTTCTCTTTTGAAAATGAGAGAAGTCATCAGTCATAAATTTCTTGAACTTGCTACTGCCTTTCTATGTTTCTTATGTTTGAGCTTCAAAAGCCTAATTGTTTTATGAATTATTGGTATTAATATGTCCAAAAGATCCTCTTTTCATTATATGACAAGGGTAAAATTTTAATTTAATTAATATTGACTAATGTTAATACAATTAGTTAAAATTAAGATCATATAAAATAAGTGATATTTTATTGAGAATATAAATATTAAGTTAAAAATCACTTATTTTAGTAGGTTTAAAGGTTTGATTTCTTTGAAATCTCTTTGACTCTTTAGTTCAGATCACCTTTAGTTTTAAGCGTAGAAGCCTTTTTTAATTCCTCAAGCTTTAAATTCTTCTCGTGATATTTTTTTGAATCTGATATAAGAAATCTTATGATTTAACTTTCTTATATTTCTTAAGTACAGAACAAAGAATTCAAATAAGTCTCTAAGTCCTCCTTTCTCTTTTCGATATTCTCTTAAGATAATTACATTAAGTATTACCTGGTTTTTCATGAGTTTACCCAAATAATTTCCTTGTTGGAAACTATGGTAATTTGTTTTTGAATCCCTGTTCTATAAGGGCTTCATGTATATTTTTGATTTCAGAATATCTTTGTTTGTATACCCATTCATCATTTGTATAATTATTCTTGAAACGAAGAGAATACACTACTACGTCATCATACAAAGCATAGTTTTCAATCTTTATAGTAATATTCATTCTAAAGATATTGTTTATATTCTACTATTATTTTTGATCAGTCTCTAGGGGTAAATATTGTTAGAATGGTGTTAAACTAAGTATTTTTTCAATGCTTAAAAGTTCATTAAAATAAACTTCTAATTCAAATTGTCTTTGCTGAATTCTTTCCTCATTTTTATTGGTTTTGCTAAAGAGAGATCTCCCTGGGAACTATGGCAATTACAATTATAGTTTTAATAGAGTAATATTCTTGTGCAACTGATCGTGAAAATCTTTAATTTCAGAATACCTACTCGTAGTTGTTTTAGTTTCTTTCTCATTATTTAAATTAGTAACTGTGATTTTATAGTGAACTTTATCGTTTTGTATCTCGTGGTTAAGCTAAGCTTTAAACCTCTGTACCAGCATTTATCTTTATTGATAATAAAATAATTATAAAGTGAATAAAACACCAAATTCAATATATTAAGTTTAAATTTATAAATAAAGTATCTTATACTCACAAAAATTATATTAATGGGTTTTGTGAGAATCATGAACAATTCTGAAAAAATGAATTTGCTCTTTTATCGAGACTACAATAAATCATATATAAAAACGAAATCATGGTTTACTTTAAATAAATCAGAAACTATGCAAACATCAAAAGGAAAAAAAGTCGAATAGATGCCCATTAATTCAACTAATTCTTGGAAAAAGGAATTCCATAGGCTTATCATCTACTAAAACTAAATTAGAAGATTAAAATACAACTATTACTTAGAAAACTTAAAACATAACTAAGTAAATCTAAAAGAATAAATATCACGCAGGTATAACAAGATAGAAATTAAGAAAAATAATAGAACTAGAGAAAACAAGAAAACAGATCAAAAAAAATTTAAAATAGGATAAATTTGTTCCAAAACCTTTTGAAGAAAAGCTTATGAATTCTTGTTAGCTGTCATTTTATCTCTCTCCTCCTGAAAATTAGTTGGATAGTTCATTTTTTAACTTATTTGTACAACAATTACAAAATTTAATCTAATAAATGGTTTTATATCAAATAGGAAAATTAAATATTGATTCATTCGAAATGCGCTACAATCTAAAGTTGTGTTTATCTTGGAATCGCATATAAAAATATCAAGTAAAAATTTACAAATTATGCTTAATATTATATTATATAAAAGTTTGGGCATATTTATTAAAAATTATAAATTAACAGAATTAACAACATTTGACATCAATTTAGATCAAACATATTTCTAAAAATATCAGAAACTCCATATTGTCCAATTTAAGGTTTGACTATCTATAAATAGATTGTGAAAGATTGAAAAATTTCAACATCCTATATGTTTCAATGAACAACCTTAAATTTCTAGATTATGCTTTATCATAATTAAGTAAGTAAATTAATTTAAATAATTAAAGTTAACAATATTATAACCAAAACTATTTTTATATATTACAAGTTATAATATGTATTTATATGTTCTAATTAGAATGCTAAACACAATTAGATGATTGAAAGAATAATTTTTATATGTTTAAATGGTGCTATATTTAATTTATATATTTTTAAAGAGCCTTCAACACTTTTCATCATGATAACTCCATAGAAAGCTTTTTGGACCTCTTCCAGCTGCTCTTTTGACGAATTCTGCATCATTAGGTGGTTTCATCTTAGATATATTATAATAAGAGACTTTTTTTGTAGCGCTAGATAACATCGATTGTATTGACAAGCAGATAGAACTCACAGTAAGGGCTGCTGACCATTCTAAAATACATAATGCGTCAAAAGTACCATCAAATAATATTGATAAGCAAATGAATCCATTGGAATAGATGTGCTCATGTTCAGGTGGTTTGCCAATAAAGATTACCTATTTAATCAGATTTTATATTACTTCAGGTGATTCGATTGGCTAATTTCAAAGAAAAAAAGAGCTAAATAGGTATAAGTATTTCTACATATTCGTTTGAAAACTTGAATTGCAATCTAATTTATTTAAATTATATACTCGAATTTCTCTCCTTGATACAATGTTCCCTTAGCACCCTCAAATGCTACAATCCAATGTTTAATATCATTATTAGGCATTCTCACATTAAATTGGTCTGTGTACGACTTTTACATCTACTCTAAATCCTTTTAGAGTCTTTTGGCCATTCTACTTTGCATTTTTAATACTTAAGAAAATTATTTATTATTTTTTTAATTGAAATCAAATTAAGAATTTTAATGTTTTGTGAAGGGAGTCTTCTTAATGATCAGTGAAATAAGATCAAAAAATTAGAGTTAAAAAGGGAGATATAAAATAAAGTGATTAAATAATAAAAACGATGAAAATGAAAGCACTTAATATAAAATATTTAAAATTATAATAAATTATATTTTAATATAGATAAATTATTATTTAAGTAAATAATTAGAGCATTGCCGCTTGATTATTTAATTTTAAAGACAAATGCAAATTTCAGAAAATCACTATTTGCTCAAAAGGTAGGATACACAAGATCAAAAGTTCAATTCATAATTTTCTTCACCAGAAACAGATTACAGGTTAACCCAAAAAGATATAATTCCTTTTAAGTCACAAGAGGATTTCGAAAAGGAAACCCAACAATTACAATTCTTCACTCCAAAAAAGATAAGATATCAAGAGAAGGAGATTTATTATACCCCTGAGAATAAAAAGAAACAAGTACATCATGCAGAGATAGAGGACAGAAAATTCAAATAAATAGGCAACATCTTGTTTTTCATACAAATTATAATTATTATACTATTGGAAGTGATGAATTGAATATTCTAATTATTTTTATGTAATAAATATAATACTACTCTTGTGGATCAGGGGGCTGTGGACTATTACTATAAGACACCTTGGACGACTTAAATGCTCCTAAAATATGCTCATAATTAATCAATAAGGATTAGAAAACTATAAAAATGAAGTTTAGTGGATTGGTAGGATTAATTAAAGAAGGTGATAAAATGTTCATATATGGGTAATGGGTGTCTTTATATGTAATTCCAAAGGAGATAAACCTAATATAAAGTGTATCTAAATTTTCATGTGGTTGGTAACATTGTTTGATCCTTACTGATAAAGGACTTTATGGTTTAGGATCAAATAAATTTAATGAGTTGGGACTTGCTCATAAATAAATATTTGAGGAACCCTAATAGATAGCAGTTGATCATACCAAAATTAGCAACTTAACATGTGGCTTTAGATAAAGTTTTATAATTCAAGATGAATGCATATTTGGAGTAGGATAAAATAAGCAGAACGAGTTAAATATTTCAAATATTAAGATTGTTGAGCAATTCACAAAGATCAATATACAAAGGAGCATAAAGAAAATTAAATGCGGATAAAAATTTACTTTAGCATTATCAAGTAGAATATTCATTCTTATCAAGATGATAATTCCTTATATGGATGGGGAAGTAATAGTTTTGGATAATTATCATAAGAACCTCAACTCTAAATATTAGAGGAACAAGAATTAATGAAAAATGTTTAAGATTTTGATTGTGGATGGAGTCACCATGTCATTTTGACAAAAAATGGATAGGTTTATATTTGTGGAAGGGGAGATTTAGGATAACAAGGAGATAATAAAAAGTAACACAATTACAATTATTAATTGATTGATTTAAAGGCAACATAAGTAAGATGCGGATCAGAATCAACCATAATAATAAATTAAGACAAATAAGAAATCTATGTCAGTGGATGGAACGAGCATGGAAATTTAGGATTAGGTCACAATAATAATGTGTATTAATTTGAGATAATTGAAATGATACAGTCAATAAAAGCTAAAGGGGCTACAATATTGTTATCAAAATGAAAATTATACGAAAAGTTTTCATTTTTATATTACCATTAATTTTTTTAATGACATAATTCAAAGTATATTTTATTTTTGTCTTTTTCCTTAAATTCTCTATGGGATAGACATTTTTCATATTAAAATGAATTTATCGTTTTAACAAAAATAACCATGATTTTTATTTGTTACCGATGAGAGGGAATGAAGGAAAAAGAATCGGGTTTTCAAGTTCTAGACTCAACAATAACAGGGGACTGAAACTATTTATATTAATCAAATATCAATTAGTTAATGGATAAAGTAAAGAAATACTAAAAAAAAAACTTGGACATGAGTGGCCATAATCAAATGGGAAATGCTTTGTTGGGTTCATAAGTGTTGAAATTTGTGATTTCCGTTATAAAGCAAGCAGAAACAGTTGAAGAATATCAAATCGAACTTTCTATTTTTCTTTGGGAATATTTAAATATATGTATTTTGAATATATGATTGTCAAATCAATTGAAAATGAGTAATTTCCAATTAGCATATTATGGATTTCTCTGATTTAAAAATGTATAGATTATATGAAATTATAATTAATAAAGTTCAAACAACTCTTAAAATATCAGTAATTTAAATCAAATATATTTAAGAATATTCTTTAATTTTATTGGATTTCAGCAAGTTGCTTTGAAAGGGTCACCATTTTGAACAACCCTGCCGTGTAATTGGATTCAAAGAAGCCCATTAAACTTGGATAAATTTAATTATCCGTATTAATACATAATAATGACTTTAAAATTGCAAATCTTTTTTTCATCTCTAATTATAAAATTTGTAATTATTTGCAAACCATGCACTAATTTTTACCCAACTAACTCATCTTTGATTCCTATTCCCCAATCAGTTACTGGAATGCATACTAAAATCTACAAAACTCCTATTACAACAATTATTATGCTTATCAATAAATGGCTTACTCACAACCTTTCCCATGTTATTAATAGAAACTCCAATAAAATTTTGAATAAGGTAACACTTTCCTCCTAAATATATCTAGTACATTATTAGGAAGACCCAATTTCCACTTAAGGCACCAGAAGATCGATTGTAGAATATTCGGATGTGACACCCCAAATCACGAATGAAACTCTCGAACGATACATAATGATGATTATCAACGAGGACGAATCTTTCCACAATATAATAACAAAGCTAAAAAGTAGCAATTAAATTGCCTTAATAAAATTGCTTGAAATGTTGGCTCAGAAACAGAAATGCTAACAGAAAAGTCGAGAAGAACTCGTTAAGTTTTGCATACGCAAAGCATTGAAATTTATTTTCCAAAGGATTTAGGAGAAATACGATAAGACAAGTATATATTAGTTTATAAAATTAGAGACAAATTTGAAATCAGCACAGAAAATATTCATGTCAATGGTGGAGAAGGAAACCCAAACTACCATAATGCTCCCATTTAGAAAGAATAGCAAAAACAAAACAATGAATTCAGATTTTTTAAAACAAATTTTCTCATCTTAAACTTTTGTTAATTACTATAAGGAATTTCTAAGTACAATTTTCGTATATCTTAGGCTGCTTAGAACAAGAAATACAAAAGGATTCAAAAAAAAAAATTGCCTCTCTCTGCAATAAAATTATGAACCATATTCATGATGAAAAAAAGGTAACTTATCAATTTGTATATAATTTATAGTTTGAATTCGACGTGAAAAGATTGCCTTGGTCTCATTCTAACGTAGAGAAAGTCAAATAGGCTGCTCAAGAAATGTTACTTTATTCGAATTTTGAGATTAAATGAATTATAATATCCATTTATAAATATTTGTATTTTAAGTCTCAAGAACATCAAATTAACAATCAATACATAAAGCAGCAAATACCCAGAAAAAATAAACTCCCAATTTAATAGAAATTAAAGAAGGTTGACTATGAAGCACATGTGAGTTCTAAAAAGTATCTAAAAGCTTGAATCGTCCTAGATACACTAATGAATAAATGGTGAAAGAAATTCTTTGATAAAACTATGAACAGCCACTGAATTGATTAATATATAATTTAATTAATTATTCTTAATTTAGAATTATATATTAATAATGAAATAAATAAAATTATGTTAAAATTCAAACAATAACAATAAGGGAAATAATTAAAATTATTTCGATAATCTAACCTTAGTTTTATTAATCCAAGTATTCAGAATAGCAATGTTAATTTGTTTAAGTCGAGTTGAGTTGACATCTCATTTTTTAGGTATTCCACTCACACTATTCCGTCTTCATTTTACACAAGCTAGGATTTTTGTATTGTTAACATCTAAACATAAATCAAAATTTTGAAGTTACTCAATATTTTAGCACTGATTTTAATTCCATAAGCACAACCCTTTATTTTAAACGCAAGTTTCATATTATGTAAATGCAGCACAAACAGTACATCCTCTTATGTAAAATGAACTTAATACTTAGCTCCCCAAATGCATTGGACTCCATTTACAAAAGTGCAATCATATTTATCAGATTTATGTTTGCATTACTAAACGACACACTCAAAAGAATCAAAAATAGTGGTTGATTTTTATGCAAGTGGTAATACTTCTCCATTTACAATAGGTACGCATCTAATAATAGTATAATTAATTAACTTTTCCTTAAATCTTGTATTTCTACACCCCTTTACAGTTTAGAAATCTTTGCATTATGTAACTTAAACGCAACTGTCGTCCTGCCAATCGCATGATACTTAACCAAAGGATGAGCAATCTGATTAACTAGTAAAATCTTCACATCTTGATTGAATATATAACTTTTATACTTTTGATCTACGCATTTTCCATCTGTGTTGGCTATCATTGCTTAAGAGTCATAATTATTAATATTAGTTCCATCCCATCTGCATCCATAAGATCTATAATAGCAATTATACTCATTAGTATATTTGGAACATGGCAAATTATAAAGAATTGATTTTTCACATTTATCTGTATTCCACTCACAAGGGTGATTATCATTGGAATCTCTAGTTTAATAGCATAAATCGCTAGTTGTAATGGATTCGCATGAAATCTAAGTAGTGGAACATGTTTGTGCATCCAATATTGAGATGATATTAAATAGCAGAAATATGTGTAACATGGGGATTTAAGTAATTTATATAATGTAATTGTTATTTACTTAATTCAAAATGAATAAAAATAATGATAATCAAAAATTCTTATTAACACTGGCAACTCTTACAGCACTGCCACTAGTTTGATTTACCCTTGACTTAGATATTATTTTGCTGGATGAGGATTAAGTAATAATTGCTCTTTTCTGAATACTCTCAATCTGGGCTTCCGTCATTGTTATCTCCTCTTCTAAGTCGTGATATTTCTTGTTCAGCTCTTAGAACTTCTTCCTCCATCTAGCTAATTCAGCATGTTATTCCTCCAATTAATTTTATACTTATTCTTCAACATTCTCTAAATTATTTTACGCTTAATCGACCAAACTTTCCAAATTTTAAATGTTTTCCTCATTTTCTCTCATTAACTGCTTCAATTTTTCAATTTCTTATTCAAGTTCCCTAATTCTACTTTCATCTTCCACAATTATGTGTCTTGTTTCTACCTTCTTTGGAGAACCATATTTTAAAACCAATTATAACTCAATTAATTGTTTCTCCAAAAGAATTTGTTTACTTCTCCAAGGGGCTTCTATTTCAGCCATAGATATCACATTTATAGGCCTATTTACATGATGTACTTCATGCACTACAGGCACTTCCTCTATCTCACGAACTAAAGATATTGCTATGTACACATAATTACTAATATTAACTTAAGGTACTTGTGTTTGTATCAATTATTGATATCTAGGTTATACCGATTATGGAGATTGGGACTATTGTAAATATAAAGGAGAAGGAGGTGCAATAGTTGGTTTTCCTATGGATTAAGGGGTAGATTATTAAATCATTGGTTATGGAAGTCTCTAAGGGGAAGGTGTTTAGAATAATGACATAGAAAGATTTCTATTTTATTAAGGATATGTAGGGAAAAGGGCTGAATATATGTTAAACTTAATATTACAAGGGCTTCCTTATTGTATTGGAGACTTAGCAATCCCATATGGTGATTTTGATTTGTCAATGTAAGGACTCAAATGAGATTTTTAATAGGCAAATCTTGGATCGTTTGGAATGGAAATCTTCATTAAATTCTGAAATAAAATTTAATTATTAATGAAAATTTAAATGCAGTTAATTTTAGTATTTATAGTTAATGCTTGTTATTATTTAATTTAGTTTAGGTAGATCGTTTTTAGTAAATCATTTTGATTATTTATAATAAGATAAGTTTGGGCATAAAATAGAATAGAAAATTATTATATTAATCAATTATAATTTCTTTAGATATTGATTTGCTTAATATCTTTCCATCCAAAAATGGCATTCCATTATTAATCATAGACCTATGTGGATTTATCAGGGTAGATGGCATAGATGTGAACATAGAACATCAAAACAACGATCTAATTTTGAAATTACACTTACTTTCCCAAAGAGCAACAACCAACTGAGTATTATTTGATATTTTTGCAAACCGTATTCTAAATGATCAAAAGGTGCATTAAACTCTCCCAAATATGGCTATTAATTTAATATGAAATTTACAGTACTATAAATTGCAAGCCAAATTATGTCCATCAACAAGGCAACACCCAACATGACCATTATGATTTTAATGTGAAGCAACGATTGAAGTTTATAGTTTTTCTGATAAAACAAAAAGCAATAGAATATAACTAAAAACTATAATATATCACACTTTGTTACATCAAAGTTGAGTGTTCGATATAAACTATTCAGCAATCCAAACACCAAATAAAGGATAATTAATAAGAGTGAAATCTAAACCAGTCTATCTATTTGACTTTCACTTATCAACAAGGGACTTCCTTATTATTATTACTAAATTGGCTGTGTTTGGTATGTCGATATAGTCAGATTATTTTAGAATTTGATTGCTTGTTTAAATGGGGAATTAATAATATCCAAATCAACTATGTGATCGTTGATTTCCTACTCCAATTAGTTAATCTATGTCGTATTCTCATCAATTAAGTCTGATAAGTATTTATTCTACGAGTCTATGTAATATTTACTTTTGAATAGATCCATTATATTTTAAGATGCAATTTGGCTCTCACAATAGAATTACTTTCATCAGTCAAATTCACTGTGAAGTCATGAAGCATCTAATCTCCAAAGGTGTTAATATCAATATATGCAACGCCTCCGATCCCCCTTTTCTACTGCAGTTCTGTATCCAACAAAATGAATTTGATCACTGCTTACTCATTGGCATTACTAAATCATATATTGAGAGTATATACAAGTCGAAGGCTTCATTCCAAACTGGATTTAGTCTTTTTGCTAACTCTACAATTCAATTATTTAATTTACATGTATAAACAATAGATGACATGCATTCTAAACTGATTTATAATTATCCATTTCCTTAATACAAAATTTCAGCATCAAGAACTTCCACATTCAATTTACTCTATGAATTGACACTATGTGTTTACTGTTGCCTAAGTTTATCATTATAGGCTCTAATTTCACTATTGATAATTCAAATATGAAATTACATATTTTTCTAATCTATAATTTGTTAGCATTTGTTTATTTTATCATTCAACACATCCTGCGCCTTCTTAAATACATTAATTAACTAATTAATTGTGCATTATTATTGCAATGATGCTTGTGGGATTTATTCAATCAATTATTAATACACATCTCTATCGAAATAGCCATTAGCACATTTGGAATCCAAAAATGATAATATTTCCCTTGTATTGTATTTCTGATTGTGTAATTATGAGAACTCATTGAATACATCCTAGAATTGATTCATATTTAAAAATATAACGATTATTAATAAATATTTTCAATCTCTAATTAATTTATTGAGTTCATCTTGTCAAGTGGGTGATTTCTTCAATTCGTTTTACTAAATCAAACTATGATAGCCTTCTAAAGTTATTGATGAATGACTGGTAAATGCATTCATATCTGTTGGAATTATGATGTTAATTGATGTGTAAGAACAATCTAGTTTTAGTAAGATTTTTGGGATTAGAAAGTAGAGTTAGATGCATTTGATTATATGAGAGTTATTAAATTTGAAAGAAATTAAATAAATTTATATTGCATTTTAAATTTAGTTTTTTAATAAATGATTTGGAAATATCTTGATAAAAATTGATGTAAATAGTATTAAATAAGTTAATTATATAATGAATGCCAGATTCAAAATAACAGTAATTTGAGTTCGAAATTGGGATGCTCACTTGTACTATCGATAAACCATGCCAAATCTGACTTTCTTTTAACTATTGGTCTTACTCTTTTGGGAGTTTGATAGGGATTTTTCAGATCCTATAGATTTCAGAATGGATTTAGGTTCTAGAGATAAAATAACTGCTTCATCAAGTTGGCACGACAACCTAGTCATTTTGATAAGTTAGTTGGATCTCTGATCAGGACTGTGGATCAATAATGCAGTGTTATGCTTCTTCTAATGATTTGAATGTATGACTTTGACAGGACTTAGTTATCTATCTGCGGATTTTCTCCTGGTGATAGTTGTTTTATCTTGCTTAAGCAATTCCAAAAAGTAAATCTCTTCCTTCTTATAATGATGTTTAGATTTGATAGGTTTAGTGGGAGACTACGCTCTAGACAATTTACTTGGTCTGATAGGCGATAAATCGTGATCCTCCTTGTCTTCATTGGTCATCAATATTTCAAATTCTTCCTCGTCTAATCTAGCGATGGTTGGGTTCTTTGATTCGATGCTAGGCTTGGATGGACTTTAAGATTATGAATTCAAAAGTGGTAAAACACATTAACTATTGCATGGCTCAAATTAATTTTTTAAGTTTCGAGCTACTAAATTTACTTCATCTATAGAAGGAACTTATTAGTGACATGCTCCATTCCCCATTTTTATATATATAAATTAAAAGTTAAATAATCAAACAATCAATCAATCAATTAATCATTTGCAAACAAACCTAGAAAATCTTAGTCGAGAGTAGTTTAAAATGGAACCTTATTCTAATTATTACGTGCAGTGTTGCTAGGATTACAATTTATAAGATAAATATGTTATTACTATTGATCACTACAAATTATATAAATATTATTTACTCCTTGTCATCTTCATTCTCGCATTCTAAGATTTCGCATTTTGTATTGGAATTTTAAGTTCCCTAAAAAGCATGATCCCCCATCAATTTCTTCCTTCTGCTCCCTTTTGATGTTTAAGGCCTTCGCATTTTTACAAATTCCTCTTCCCTAATTAATCTCGAATTGTGTTGAGTTATAGCTCTGTTTTATTTGAGTGAACTATTTCTGGATTTGTGATCCAACGAATACTCAGTTGGATAATCTTAGCTTTTACGAGCTTTTAGAATAGGTTAATTGATTTGAGATAATCTTATTGCCTTGCACCCCTTCTGTTAATAAGACATTTATAATTATACAAATATAAATTCAAGATTCTAAGACAATAACAATTTTTGATTTTTTCCATTTTCTTCTGAATATATTGGCATCTATGAAATCGTGAAAACTATCCTAATTATTATTCCTTTGAAAATGATTTTGTATTTCCCTAAAATTCATGTGCGGCATATATTAATCATAATCTCTCTATAAATCGAAACCTTCAAAAATGTCCTTGTATCTTCCCATATTTTCATTTTAATCTTAGATTATCAAACATACATTTACTTTATTGCTCAATCCATATAGGATTAATCTCAAGAGTTTCCGTTTCTTACTCATTCTCCTCAATTGCATCTTAACTTTTTAACCTAGTCATACTTTAAGTACTCTTAGTAATAAATTATTTATTTAATCCTTTAGATATCTTGAAGCTATCTTCTTTGGTTAACTCTTAATCAAAATTAGTAATTCTTTTAAACTGACTTTATTATTCTCTACTAAATTAGATACCTAAACTTCTATCATAATTTGCCTCAAGTGATCTAGAAAATTCTTAACTTAAGAATATAGGCACTCCTCTTTTTGGTTGAATTGATAATTTCTTTTTAGATTTCGGTCGAACCCCATTTTAATTTACAGGAGTTGTTCTATTAATTTAAGTACTTAACTGTTCGTACATTTTAGGGTCTCTTAAAAGATAGTATAATACGCTATCAGCAATTTTACTCTCGAAACTTAATGTTGATATACGCTTAAAACTATTATTCCTTTATATTAGTCTTCTTTCTTAACAAAACCTTTTTTTATGTTTAATCAATGTTTTCGTCCTGCTTGGAAAACCGCTAAGCATAGGACAATTATATAAAAGATGTGTTGATTTACTACATCCAATGCATTAGATGTGGAATTCATCAAATCTGCCAGAAAATTTAACCAAATCCTTCAATTAACAATATTTTTCCTAACATATACAAAAAAGATACATATCCGTATTTTTTGGCTATCTATTGAAAATTCTCTCGACTGATCTTTAAAATTCTAGTCACTTTAGTGGTTCTACAATTTATTGAGTGATGTTAATCTAGCAAGAAGTCCTATTATCCAAAAATTTCATCTTGACCATCAATTTTCTATATAGAAATTGAATTTGATGATCCTTCGGGCAATTAAACATAATATTCAACTTCTCCTTCGCATAAAATATATAAATATTGACTTTACTCACCTTTTGTAAAGATACTTTACCAAGGCGTTAAACGCTCTTCTTCAAAATCTCCAGCTAATGATTAAAGAAAATCAGCACTAAAGTTTTCATGAAAAAATGGAATCTTTGATATGCTTTTCATATTCAAATCTAAAAGCATTTCCTTAAATTATGAAAAATGATACTTACATTAAATAAATTACTTGGCAACTATTATTGTAATTTTACCATGTCAATTTAATCTTAACCCATGCAATCTTTCCATAAATACTCAAAATATCTTCTTACTTTGATTTGTAATTGCTAATTAAATCCTCTAATCCTTAAATATTTTTTTAGATCATTCAAATCCAACCGAATTTACTATTCTTTTTTCTATATAGAATTTATGATTTATCCAACGGATGATACAAAGAACCCAAAAGTACAACATGATGTGATTGCTACAAAGATTACTAGGACTCTCTCATTCAAATTCGTTGGAGCAAAATCACCATAGCCTATTGTTGTCATAGTAATAACACTCCAGTAAAATGATGAAATCTTTTAATAACAGCAATTTTACATAACTAGTTACAAGATCTGCATTTTCGAGATTCTCATTAATTATCCATGAGAGGTTTTTATTTTATTTCCCAACAAAATACAAAAAGCAACAGAATATATGAGCCTCTAATACAATTAAGTACAATAGTCTAATTAAATCATAAATTGCCCAATGATTGGTTGTCAATTCCAATTTATCCAATATTAATCCAACCCTCTTTGGAACATTAAATATTTTGACTAGCATGAACAATTATAAGGTGTTATTACTTTTCTAATCAAAGAAGTATGCCAAGGATATTATTATTAGGAATATGTCTATTAGGGTGTCTTTGGAAAAGTAAAAATGTTTTAATATTTTATTCCTATCAGTAACCAAATAACCAGCCTCATAATAACCACTATTTAATTTAACTAATATGTCGATCAAATAACTAAAAAAAGGAATAATCAAAAAGAAAACCTCACTTTCCTTATAATTGTCAGGTCTTTAATTTTCAAAATCGAATGCAAACTTTATAGTGCAATATAAAAAATTGAAATTGGTCATAAACAGTAAGTAAATATTCCAGATTAAAATTTACTTTTATTCTGGTTTGAATAAAAATCTACTATTAGACAAATAATCGATTAAGTTTTGTAAACTATATTGCTTGAATATTGTTTTTTATATCAAATGTTAAAGTCTGGAATCTGGGGCTGCTTTCTAAGATTAAATAGGAATTACTATGTATTTAAAGTAATCATTCTTCACATAAAACTTAAAGTCGGAAGCCTTGTCATTAATAATGCGAAACATATTGGCATCTAGATATTTAAAGTCCTATGGGAAGATTGATTGAGTGATGATAGTTATGAATCTGACGATTTTTACAAATACATTTAATGGATTTACCTTGGACGATTGTACAATTTCCTAATTTTACTTGATGCTTTATATTTTTTGGAGTTGTAGTGTTTTGAAATATGCTGGACAAGACTTAAATTAGCTTTAACTTCTAAGAGAATCTGATTTCTTGATTTAGGGAATTAAAGGTCTCTCTGTTAGCAATTCTGAGTTTATGTGCATTAAATATTTAAATTAATTGATTATTATTTAACATGGATTGACAAAATATTGTTTTTCTGTTTATCCTTTATAAAGTTTAATAAATAATTGAAATTTTAAGTAATATGAAAATAATCGATGACTACATATTTATAAATCAAATTTAATTCAACAACTTTACAAATACAAAAGGCATGACAAGTAAAAAAAAATACTTTATAAATCCCAACCGATTTTAAATTTGCAGATGAAAAAACGCTAGTTAGTGATAATTATTATTAATAATAGAAAGATTATATTGCACTTTTAATTGAAAAGGAATGATTTTTCAGTTCTAGTGTATTAGAAAACATCTAATATTTGATAAGCAATACCTATTAACCTATGATGGTTCTAGCATTTTTATTGGGGAAGTATGCATTCAAACTATATCACCAGACCAAAGCGAAACCCAAATACCAACTCGAAGTATCCCTGAGATCCACAATAACCTTTCACATTGATGATGATTTTTATGGTTTTTCCATCCCCTACTAAGGGCAATAAAAACTCTTTAGAGCCAATGCTAATAAAATTCGAGAATTTAAGAAATTAATCGATGCCAAGATAGTTTATCTTGATATGAATTAGTTTTATCTGCCCCAATAGGTCTTGGGAGTCGGTGCCTTTTCATAAGTATAATTATAAAATCATAATCAGGTACAAATGGTTTAAAATTTGCAGACGAAACAATTGGTGGCTGCGAAATTTCTGAACAAGATTCGAGAAGGGAAATCAAATACAGAAAGAATGAATGTAATATTGGTTCATAATCCGAATTATAGGATATCATAAATGAAATATAAATATTGTACCGATTAAATCACCCAAATATTGTGAAAATTAAAGAAATATATGATAAAACCAATTAAATTGTCATCATCCATGAATTTGTCGATGGTTAAACTTTAGAAAGATTCATCAATGAACATGGAACACAATTACATTAAACTGAAATTTAATCAATTATGAGAGTAAAACTATACAAGATTTCATTCTAGGAAATTCTGTTAGCAATTGTCTATATCCATGAACAAGGTTTACTCCACAGAGACATCAAACCAGACAACATTATGATTGACAAAAACCTCAATATCAAGATCATCGATTTTGGCTTGGCGACAAAACAAGGAAGTCTGTTATGCTTTCAAAAATGTGGAACTCCAGGGTATATCGCACCAGAAATTGTCACTTCCAAAAAGTCTCAATACATCACCAAAAGTGACATCTTCAGTCTTGGAGTTGTATTCTATAAACTGTAATACCATTCATATTCATATTAGAATTACGTCGAAAGACTTATTTTAGTAATAATAATTAGATAATTTGTAATACTGCTATAAAGAAAACTTACTATCAATGGAGCATTTCATTGAATATAATATTCCTGACTCATGCTTTGATCTATTAACTAGCATGCTTTTTTATGATAAGAACAAAAGAATTAGTGCAAAAGAGTGTTTGCAACATAACTACTTTAAAGAGAGTCTTCGACCTTCTGCCAAGAAATCTTAAGTCTTACTACAACAATCTACTTAATTCGCTTAATAGCAATCAACTATGTTTTAGTCATGCTTATCAGACGGTAGTAGAAATTAATCAAGAAAAATTAGTGATAAAACAATGAATCGATCGTATAAATTTATTTAAAATCCTAGTTTATCATACAAAAAGTCGGTTAAATCTAATAGTTCACTATGATGATGAACATTTTCTAAATGATATCTACTCGAGTTATATATATAAATTGTAATAAAATTATATTATGCATCCTTATTGAATTTTCTTAAAATAGCTATTTTGTTTAAATCCAATCCAACTAGTATTTAAGTATGATTCAAAATCTACATGTTTTATTAAGCTAGTGTGTTAAGCAAATCACTAATCTAACTTTTAAAATTTTCATTTAAGCCGACTTAACATTCAGATTTAAAAAATTCTTATACTCCTTTAAACATCCTCCAAACTTTTCTAATATTGAATAAAATTATTAAACCAAATCTTTAGAAATAATGAGTATTTTTAAATAGCTAAGTAACCCTAATTTTAGAAATATTTAGCATGGTTCCTTTAATATTAAGGTTAATTAACTGTTAATTTATTGATTACAACTAATTAAACTAATCTAAATCATCGTAATATTACAGGGATTCACACACTATTGAGATTATAATTGTTATTAATTTTGATTAATCGCTTTTAATTATAAATTTTTTTAATTAAGTTTTATGATTTCTCTATTATTAGTGTTACAACTAACAACTATTCTTGGTTGCGAATTCAAATAGGAAGACCATTATTACAATTTAACACAATTACAAAGAACTGAACCATACATAGTGAAAGCATCTGCAGATTCAAGCTTTTTCAAAATGGCTTATTGTATATTAATCAATTGAATTAGAGTTTAATTTTTGCGGGAATCACCCTAAACATTGTCAAGGTTAGAGTGGAGCATATTAGGCATTAGAAGTGATGGGAATATTAACTGATTCTTGTGAAATATTAGGCAAACCAGAGAATTAATAAATGTCATTGATTGAAAACGGATTACAAATTACTTATTCATAAGGCTCATAATGTGAAAACAATTAAAAAAAAAGCGTGAATTTCAACATTCTATGCAGTTCAGAAGCGGACTAAAATTTTGTATTGTTGTCTGAAGATAATTGTAGAACTGCGTATAATTTGATGTAATATTAGGTTTCAAATGAAATCACCAGCTGGATGCAAATAGTAATATTCAGCATAGCCATTATTTATCTATTATCTTAGTGGAGTTGGTGTAATGTTAATGATTTTGGGAGCATGCTTTGGGTACAAATAATTGCAAAAGAAAAAAGACGAGAAATCTGATTAATATGTAAGCACAAATAATAATAAATTAGGAAAAACTGAATAGTGATCAACCTCAAGCATAAAATAAAAACCCAGATCAGAGTACTACTGTTGTTATCAATCAAGAAGCGCCATCCTCTTGATTTTAAATCATGTGATCATATTAAAAATAACTTAAATGATATTTATTAATTGCTAAGTTTCGAATCATTTGAAAAAGGTTAGATATGCTTTTTGTGTAATTCTAAAGAAAGTTCACTAAATTGAAGTGTATAACCAAACATTTCTTAACAATCTAATCGATATACTAAGTATAAGAATGCTTATTATTTATATACATAGAAATTATAATATTTATTAGCAATATAGAGTTGATTAATCAATTTTACTTCGAGCTAGCATTTCCGACTGCTAATTTTATGAATCCGTCTTTAAATTGCGAATTCGTTTCAGTAATTACAAAACCATATTTCTTGGCAATTTCATTATTTCTCATTTTTTCGTTGACCTATTTTAACTTAGTACTTGCATCTCCTTTATAACCTTCTCTATTGTTTTGTAATATTGCGAGTTCCGTAGTTATTTAGTTCGAAGTAACATAAGCACAAAACATTTTGTTAGGCTCTTTCTAATATGGCAAAAAGTTTTCTTTGTATTTATCATCTTATAAACTTGTAAATCCTTAATAAAATGATTTAATATTAATATGAATGCTTTTAATCGACTTAGAATGAACCGATTCTTCGATAATCCTATTTGACTTAAAATCATATGTAAATTAGTCGGGCTTGTTTTTTGACTTTGATTTATTAAATTGAGTCAAAGCAATATAAAATGCTTCATGAAAATACACATTAAAAGCTAATTCTTCAAAGGAAAATGGATGATTGGAGCAATATTAGCAGTTACAAAATTTAAGACATTATTTTTCATAATTGTCCACCTCTAACTATTGAATGCTATAATAAAAACTTTCAAAATCGACTATTCTCTATTCTGGGCAGTTCTTGAGAATTAATGGCAGACTAATGGGTATTGCTGGATTTGAACAACAATAGAGTTAAGTAAAAGTGCATATTTAATTTTCATTGTCTTTTTAGAGATGTTTCTTAAATTCTATTAATTCAACTTTTTATTTTTAAAGAAATTCATCTTTCATTAATTTTTTCCCATCATAAACATAGGTTTGACCAGACTTTTCTAAAAATCCTTGGTCAAAAGCATCAAACAAGTTTTTATCAAAATATACAACATTTGGAATAAAACTATTATAGTTAAACATTTTTTCACACAAAGGGCATTTTAATTGCTTTACTTGCTATTTATATAAGTCTTTTTATGTTTAAAAACTAGAGAGTAGGTATTTTAACTCCATGACTTAAGATACATGGCAATTGATACACCTAGCAGGCTGTTTTATATTTTCAATAATTGCTGGAATTACAAATATCTTATATTTAAAAAGTCTCAGCTTTTGTTCTGCCTTAACAATAGAAGTTCTTTGTAAAATTACATGAGCATACTCTGTAACTTATTTCTAATATTTTTAATAGGCTTCATTTGAAGCTGGTACGTTTTTATTTTCTTGTAAGTATCTACATTATATCTAAGGATCTACTATTGCGTTGTCCTATAAAACGATATCTTATTGGATTTAGCGAGTATTTGGATTATAGCTGTATTAATAAATACTGGGTAACCCTTTCTGAATAATTTTTAAGAGTTCTGTTTCAATGTAGATATTGTCAAATAATTTTTATACAGTTGAAATATCTACTTTAACTTGACATGTCCTTTATTTACACTTGAACTATTTTAATTTATCAGAGGAGCTTTAATAGATGGAATTCTCATTGTAATAAACCAATAAACTGGCTAAATCATAGCATTCTGGATGTTGACAACCAAAGAATCTTACAGGAATATTGAGTGATACAAGATCTAATAGGCACATTGCTTTAAAATAGATTGGCTTTTGAGTTTAATAATTTTACATCATTCTCTAAAATATTTGGATAATATTATTAGAATTTTATTATTCTAGCAATATTTTTAAACTAGAAAGAACAAATTAATCCGTAAGTGCTGTATTGTATCTCCTAGCTCTTTTAAAATGATGGAATAATTTATTATGAATTACTAGTCCATCATCAAAGATTTCATTGATTTCCTCATTTGCATCCCATCTGATATCCTTTTGTAATTAGCTGGGATGGCGAGCTAGATTATTACATTCGCATTTGAAAAATCCTGAAATATTAATTGCATTGAGAACTTCTTCTAAGTTGGTGGCATACTTAATATGTTTGCATTTTGATGTTAAAACCTTTATATAACAATGTAAATTACAGGATATAAATATCGTTCATTATTATGATCGGTTAGTTTTATCTCAGTAAATTCCTAGAAGCCGTTATATTCTTGGAGATATTGAATTGAATTCTATAAGGTAAAATACTATTATCTCATTTGTAAAAATAATAATTATAATTAATAATTTTGAGATTTAAATAAATATGATGATTCATTCTAATTTGATTTCAAACTAAGTTATACATAATGCAAATGCTTATAAGATTGAAAGAGGATGGCATATATCTAAATTGTAATATTCTTCGCCACATTTGCCAAATTGTATTAAAAATTCTTCGTCATTCTATTAATTATTAGAAATGAGAATAAAATTTTTATTGGAGGCTGATCGCACTCTCTGTGTGAACTTCAATTAATAAGCATTCTTTTCTTCACTGAAAGTGGGAGGCCTTGAGACTAACTACATCACGTTTTCATTCTTGGATTGGTTGAATGCTTTGGAGATGCCTTGATTTTGTGAAATGGGTTTAAAATCTTATGGCTATCCATTAATTACTGAGGGGATTAAGACATTAATTGATTTGAGACCTAGACTGGATTTCTTGTAAAAATAGACAGCATATTCTCTTCTTGTGGTTTCCAATTGATCAGTTTTATTGGGGTCATTGCCATTGTCATATAAATGAAATGAGTTTTCGGCTGTTCCATATTTCAAATTCCCTATACATACTGATTTGTTGTTAGAATTAAAGTTCTCGGCATTCGTTGAGATTACGTAATTCGATTTCCTCTTGGTCGATTGTCTTTTGGCAGCACAGAGAAATTTCAGGCTTTCTGAGAAATAGAGTTCAAATTTTGGGTAGAAATTGCAAAAGCCCTTCCTGTTTTTAATTAAAGTGCATTATACAATCTTATCTAATGATAAATTGCATTTATAAAGATACCTATGGGTACGGGGGATGTCAGAAATTGCTAAACATCTGGAATATATTGAGGAGCATAGAAGATCAAGTTTTGATTATTTAATCTCTCAGTCATTACGTTAACTTGTTATAGTGAGGTGTCCATTTTTTACTTTGAATTCAGTTATTCAAGCAATTAATCTGATTTATTCTGTTATTCATTGGGTCCAGTATCATTGATGTCATAAATTTTATTATTCCCATAACTTTCAACACATTTCAGGTTTAAATTAACATTCATTGGAGAGAATAGCTTACTTTTCGGAATCAAATCCTCGTCAAATTAATCAAACTATATCAATTCTTCCTTTTTTTTATTATTGCAAACTGATACTTGAGTATTTTTTATTTATAAAATAGAAATGCCATTTGTTGTTTGCATATTTTATTAATTAATTTATATTATTCTTTTTAATTATAAACTCATAGGATGGATTCACAATAACCATTGATTAACAGACATAAAATACATTAAATTGCAGTATCATGAGAATTTAGAGAAATCATTCATTTGCTGTATTTGTGTCAATTTAAGTATTTCCTTATGCTAGGTAATTTATGTACCTACATTCATATAGAAAAGTGAGAGTATCAATCATGACAGTTTTAGTTACATAAAATATTATAATTTACTTTATTTAGTTAGAGTGAATTAACATACTATCAATCATTCACTTTAGAATCACCTATATAATTCAAGGACATGATATGAATCATCCAAATTAAGAATTTAGTACGTGAGGTAACAGCATGGTTTTAATAAAAGATAAATATTCTTGATATTTTGTAACTTTATTATTTATATAGTCTTCTGAATATATACATATTTTTGGATTGAGTTGATAATATCATATATTCATCTTCTTTATGATATGACTACTTATTTATACTTTTAAATAATATCTTTGTGATTGCACAATAATATTACGGATCAATTGCATAGAATAGATATATATATATAGTGGATTTGATATTTTCGTATTCAATTATTCTTTTCTTCTTTTCCCCACTTCTTAGTGTGCATCTATTTACATCTTGATGTTTTGTATCTATTTTCAGATGATATAACGATCTTATAATATGAATATCAGCAATTTTATAGTGATATGATTTACCTATGATAATATACTTCCATTTCGTTTATTATTCGATAATGATTTGAAAATGCTCGTATCTTGATATTTATGTTAATCATGTTCAATTAGAGATATTAGTTTGTGTAGTATTTGGTAATCTATAAATTTCAAATTTAAATGGATTTTATTGTATAATTATTTTTTTAATTTTTCAGCCATGATTTCTTTTGCTGAAATAAGAGATTTATTAGCGAGAGAGAAAGTATCACTATCATTGATTCCCTTAGCCCAAAACCTTCAATGCGCTGAATCCGTACTACAAATACGATGCCTCCAGTCCTTGCAAGAGAGATATTCTAGTCCTATGGGTTACAAAGGTAAACATTAAACATTATTTTTAGCTATCATCTAATCTCAATCATTCCATTAAAACCTTAGAACTGGCTGTCCTTATTATCGATACATACTTAAATTATTTTAATATCTCTGAAGATTACCTTCAATTGTTGGGTATATCGGCATATTCAATTGCCTATAAGGTACGTATAATTCATCTACCTCTTAGTTTAACGAGACAGAGTTCATGCCCTTGGATTCATTGTAACCCAAAGATTAATAGAATGGCAAGGTTTGCAAGCCTATGTACATGGATGAGGACTACAATGAAATGGAAGTGCACATCCTCAGAGCCATGGGATATTAGTTAAATCTTATAACTTTGTCTGATTTTTTGATTGCCCTGAATATTAAAATAGATGAATAAGTCAGTTGTCTGATACAGTTCATTCTTATGGGTATGATCATATAATATATATGAATAGACTTCGAAATTTATCGATATTCCCACTTCGAATTGGCTTTGGCAATCATGCATTACCAGAATGACACAAGGTTGACCTTTCAAGCGAAAATTCTCACTGTATCTTAAATGCTTCACAATAAAATAATTCAAGCATAAGAAATCGAGTGTGAAAAATCAGAGCAAGAGGAAACCAAATCTCTTGAAAGAAGTCACTCTATTCATAAAAAGATTTCCAAAAAAAGAGAATCTTAAAGAAAAAGATAAATACAACAACAAAAATGAACTAGTGTTGTTGTATTTTGTTTCAATATTGATCAAAAAAATGAACAAAAATGATATTTTTTGTTTCTTTTTAATTAATCACAACTAAGCTCTCTCTCTCTCTCCAAATAAATCTCTTGTTCAGATTGCGTTCGAAATCTAATTTAATATATATTTCATAATGTTAATCAATACTCAAAGAATCTGACTTTAGACTGAATTCTATTGCGTCTATCATACTGAAACTATACATTTAGGAGCATTTATTACTAAGAAGCGGAAGACCACATTTATCTCAAATAAATAATTACTGAAATTTATTGATTCTAATAATAAAGAATACCCCCTTTAATTGATAATAAATTAAAAGTATATTGCATCATTTTCCAACTCAAAGTTAAATCTTCAAATCCTTTGAAAACTCAAATCCCTTTTAAATTTGATCATCGCTCACCTCTTCACATTTTCAACCGAATAAATCAACTTTTTAATTAGTTCAACAAATATTCTTATAATTTAATTATCATGAATCCATGTCCTTCCCATTCATTTTTGATAAATCTAAAACTAAATTAGTCATATATGAATAAATATCAACAATTGAGATGGTGAAGGATAACATAAATTACATTTATGTTCAGATTTCCCAATAAATAAAAAAAGAGTTAGTTTGAATGTTCAGGTAACAATTGTTCGTATGCCCATACACATTTGTCATGGAGATTGCTGTTGAAATACGGATTTAGATGAAATGTTCATTTTTGTATATTATTCTTTTTCAATAGTATTAAGTATTTAATATTACTAATAAAATGTAAAATTTGATCAAAGAATCCAAAAGAATATACTCTTAGTTTCTGCTACATGGACCTAAATATTTGGACACTTTCGACTTTCAGCCAATAACCAAATTCACAATTGAAGCTCTACAGACAAAATCTCTTCAAGATTACATAAACAAGAATTTGACCATGCACTAAGAAATTTCAATGTTGCCAATATAATTTGAACCAGATAATAGTTTTGCCTTTGCTATCTTCACACTTGCACCCTCAGTAACAATGCCTCTGCATGACCATCCTGATATGTTTGTACTATCCTATGTTTTACATGGAGATGGAATTAGAGAGGGATGGAATATCAAATAGACTCATTTAGAAAAACTCAATTAATTTAAGAAAACATCCATTTAATAAGATGTTATGGTTGAACCAGAAGAATTACCCAGATTAAGTTTAAAAGCTGGAAGCATTTGTTATACTACTCCATCTTCATGCAATTTGCATAGTTTTATTAACGTAACAAAATTACTAATCGAAGAATAGCAGCACTGAACCCTTTGTTTTTCTTGATATTATTGTACCTCATTATGATGAAAATACAAATAGAACTATAACATATTTTGAACGCAAGAAAGATAATCAATTAAAATTGCTTCAATAAGATGAGTATTACTAATGTTTATTCTTTTTAGATTGTGATTTATTGATTAATGTGTGTTTTTACATTGAATTATTTACAATTGAGATGGTGACAAAGTTGTTAATTATAATAATTACAGAAATTCTCATTTATATATGCTGTTGTATTAATATCATTAAATTTGTGTTAACAACTCTTCCAACCTTTGTAGTTTAGAAGTAAAAGGATTAGGGATTTTAAGTGGATTAAATTATTAAAATTATTAGTTTCTTTCAGGATTTCCCTTGATAAAATCAGCCAACAGTTGATCTTGGCTTTATTGGTATTAGGAATATTATGTGAAAATATCTCCGTGATATTAAACGATAATTTGATTTAAATTCAAATCAGGAGGTTACACATCCTTGTTAATCTGCATTAATTTTAAATTACTTGAACTTTGCTCTAACTTTTTCAACTATTGCGAAAGCATATTCAGCATCTTATTTGGAAATTATTTCATTAATTCCTCTTTGCTAATTTTGTTGAGGTCACTCTACTGTGATTGATTTTAGAGTGATTTATCGGTTTCCTTCTTTAATAGTCCACTTTAGAATCGATCTTGTCTGTCTTGATTGGAGTGTAATTCTTTTTGTGATTTTATTTTTTTCTTTGCTTTTGATTAATTACTCATGTTAAATATAATAATACGTCTATACTTAATTTAAAGGTATTTATAGGCTATATTGAACACTATAATAAATAATCATGAACAAAAGCAGCTTGATTCCCATCTTTACTTTGTCCAATGGAATGGTATTACAAATTCTTATGTGTTAATTAGATTGGATCAGCTCCTATAGTGCTTCCTGTTTTGTACAATGAATACGGGTTCCTTAATGGAGTAGTCTTCTCATTCATCATATGCTTGGCGTCCTGCATTACATGTCTGATTGTTAAGAAATATCATCTGAAAAAAGAAGTCTTAAAACTAGTTTTATGATAGGTTGACCTGCAATTTCTGATCAATCGAATTCTCGGGCCGAAATTGTAAACAACTTTCAATTTCATAACAATCATCTTTTACATAGCTTGTGCATAAATTTAAGTAATAATTTCTTGTTCGCTCATTTACTCAGTGATATCCTTGTTCGTTAACTCAGCTCCCTAAGTAAGATTCCATTGATATAATTTTAGAATGTCTTCACCTTCACTTAGTTCTCATACCAAATTCTTGGAATGATTTACATTCTTATTTTGCTTCCAACTTTTTTTATCAAAGATATCACTCCATTACTAAAACTACCCACTTATGCCTCTTTGGCAACACTCTTGGCTGTCGTTTTCATTATCTTCCAAGGTTCCTAAACCCCAACAATCTCCACATGGAAATCAAACGATGTAAAATTGTACCCCCATTTATATAGATTGCTGTATTGCCAAGCGTGTTCCAATTGGCCTTTTTGGGTCATAGTTTGGTGGTTCCACTCCTATCCAAATCGGAGAGCAAGCATAAATCAAGGGATATAATAATTGCCTATATTTTAACTTTTTCAATTTATTAAGTCGTAGGCCTTTTTGGTAGTTATGCACTATTCGAAAGGAAACCCTAGGACGGACTATCTGGATTTACAATTTTGGATTACTTTCCACAATCACAACTATTTGTAATAATTCTACAAGTAAATTATATGTAAAAATCAAATAGATTCTTTTATTCATTCAAATCAGTTTGCTGCTCCCAATTATTTAGTATGTGGCTAGACTAAGGTTCTTTGCGTTCTTCAATGCAAAGAATCCTAAACCATACATGTTAATTATATTTTCTTTTGTGTTCGCATTTATATGTTTGTTTTTCGAAATGATGAACTTAAATTTAGAAAACCTAATAAGTTACACTGGGTATTTATATTATCATAACAATAAGTGCAATAATAGGAACCATAATTGGTTTCCTTATTCCGATTGCCTGTCACATAAAAATGAAATATTTTAATAATAAACAAGTGCAAGAATTCAATTTGATAGAATCAAGTTAAGAATTGAAATCGAGAAAAATTGGAAAATTAGAATTAATATCCGATATCTTAGGTTGTGGAATCATCTTATCGATCGGCTTAAGTGTGTTGACGCTTAGATTCATCTATGTGTGATTTAAACCTTTATAAGATCAATTTTAATATTATTATTATTTGATATATTAAAAATGTAATATGTATATTCAAATAAACAGTTATAATTATATGATTGGTAATTCTACTTCATTAATTTTCATTTCAATATATATATAATGTTATAAAGTAATATTGAATAGTTCATTATTTTTAATTAAGTTTCGTATAATTAATTAGATAATCGTTAAAAATGGAAAATGAGTAAATGTGCAAGAATCACCCTAAATAATCTCTTAGTTGGATATGCTTGGAAAGGAATTGTTAGTAAAGAGTGATGTGTTCAACATGTGCTGTTAAATTGCATGATCGAAATCACAAATTGGAGGAATTATGTAATATTTATGAGAATGGATGCTTGGCTACTTATTTCAGTAATAAGAAGAACTCGTCAACAGGATTATTACAATTAATAAATGGCGAATAGGATAATGTGTTTGTGAATGAGCAATATGATGATTATTTGCAGGAGGGGATTGAAAGGTGTTTGAGAAATGTTTCGAAAAAGATCGAGGAATCAAAGAACTAGTTGATTTAATAGCATGAGAGATTGAGAGAGGATAAGGAAAATGAGAGAATGAATTTCGTAGCTTAATTAAGTGAAGTGGATGAGAGATTGAGGACATCCTAAAATTTGGAAGTCGATATTGAAGATGCATTTCAACAAATCTAATCCTTTGCTCAAAAGAAGGAGATGGAGATGGCCAACAATAGAGAAAGTGCAATACTTCTAAGGAAAATTCGTCTGCTTGAATTGATGAAGGAGAACTTTCTGAAAATGATAAAGTCTTATTTCCATAACTAATTCACAGCTGAGTTTTGTCATCTGTTCGATATGCAAATAGAGACTCTGAATGCTCGAGAAGTAGATGATGTGCAAGGGTTTTTGGATTACGTGGATTCGAAGTGGAAACAAGACTATCGTAACATTCAATTGTCGATCGAGAAATTTGTGGGTCGTCTGAATGAGGGTTTGAAGTATTGTATAGGAATGCCGCTGGAAAATCAGAAGAAATAGTTGTTAGTGCGATCTCCGATGAGGCAATTCCCAATCAATATTCAGACTCCCGCTTATCATCAATTCACGTCTCCGAAACAAGTAGAATTCACCAAATCTTAAGTCATATATGAGGAACCCAGTCAGAGAAAGAATATCAAGATAGAACCCGTTAGTTAGAGTCTTTAATAGTATTAGTGAGATATGATGACAGAGCAAATAATGAGTATATAAAATATTAAAGTACTATTTGTTGCATAACCGTGTTAAGGAAATCTAGAGATCTAGATCACAGAGTACAAGTATCTTCCAGGATTATCAAATCAACGGAATCATCTAAGGTCCACGTTATGATGAGAGAGGTGACATCATCAGGCGATCCATTGTTGGAACTGCGGACCAATTTCAACGAGAAGGCAAGGTCTAATAGGATAGTAGGGTGACAGATGAGGACTTATCAATGATAAAATCTTTCGTTATTACCTCAGTCAATAAGAAACAAAATAAAAAGAAAAGAGCAGAGCCTGTTCAAATGAACAAGATTTCAAAGGAGGAAATTCTATTGCACATAGATAAAGTTCAGAACAACATCAAACTCTCTCAAACTTCACTCAGAACTAAGGAGGAGACTCTGCCCATAATTGAGAGAAATCTATTAACCAAATAGAGAAGAATTTTGGAGTCTTGTGAAGGGCAGTAGCACAGATGGAACCATTTAGAGTAGGAATTAGGGTATCGTTGTGATCGTTCTCATAACAATACTCTTCTCAGGAGGAGTTAAGGCTATCGAGAAAAGAAGCAATTATTGGATTCATTAAATGTTATATAGAAGGAACCAAATGACAAGGAATGGTATGCAAAATTGAGAAATTATCAATAACCAATTGAACCAAATGTTGAGATAATCAAGAGTGGGAATCATGCCAAATTGTACAGTGACAAATTTAAGAATATGATCAACCAGAGGTTAAATAATAAGTATTACGACTCCGATTTTCTTGTGGTCAACGGAAATAGCAAATTGAAAGTGGAATCCAAAGAGGCCACTGATCTAATGATACTCCCTTAAGATATTACGTAATAGCAACAACCGTAAGAACAGAATCAGGATTTAAATTATTCCAATTACAATCAGAGAGATGTCAGTCGTCGATCTTCCTATAGAATATTTTAATTATAATGACATAATTATAAATATATTTTTAATGTAAGATCATCTCCAATAATCAAAGACCATGTTCCTCATGCATCAAATTAAGAGTTATAAGTTGCAGCCCTAAATTTCAAATAATATTTTCGAAAAACATAATCCTTAATATGGACCAAAATATGATAACAACAATAAAATTATTGCTCGAAGTGTTGTTGGAAAACCGGATATCATTGAAAGAATTAAAAAGAAAATCGAAGAATCCAAACTATCTAATTCTCCAAAAATGAGAAACTCAGTTGTTTTTTAAAAAATGAAACAATCCTATTCGAATCTCTCCAACATGAAGAAATCTTAATCATCCAATAAAATTCCTCTTTTTCAAGATTCCATTCATTCTAATATCCTATCTCGACAGGTCTCACATAACAAGTCCACCTTAACAGCATTAATCAATCATCATGCAAATGTGAACATTGAATAATATTTATAAGAAACAAAAAGCAGAATTCAAAAAAATGAGATGGAAGAACTAAGACTTGAGAAGTAATTAAATCTATTTGAAAGAAATGCAACTACTCGATAATAAAGAGTGATAACTTCATTTTAGGAGCGAGAATAAACTTGGGAATCAGTCAACATGACTATCCAAAGCAAATGTCAAACAAGAAGCAGAGAAAAACTCACATTGTTGCAGAAGAGCTAAGGTAGTGAGATGCAAAAATATTAGGTGAACAGCTTATCGATTGAAGAAGGAAATTCTTAACGAATTGCCATCTCCCCCATAAAATTGGTACCAATAGCTGAGAGGATAGAGCAATGCAGTGGAGAAGGAGGATGACTGGAATCTCAGGTCGCAGAGAATAAATTTGAATTCGAAAACATTGTTAATCAAGCAGGCCGATCTTGAGAGCAGTTTGAGGGTTAGAGGGGAGAACAAATTGAGAAGGGAGTTTGAAAATCACAGGTGCCCCATGATTACGATGGTTGGACAGGAGAAAACAGAGGAGAGTGAGATCCTTTCAAAACTGAAATATTGAATACTTTTTATTTAATCTTCAGAGATGTTGTTATATTCATATATATATCTATTAATAGATGCATAACATCGTTATATTAATTAAATAATGGGGAATTGCAATATTACTGATAGGAAGGACTTTCCAGATTCATCAAGTACTTAGAATTTAATAAAGAAGTTCTGTCGGTGCATAACTTTGAATTTATTGAAGTCCTGGGGAAAGGAGGATTTGGGAAGGTTTGGAAAGTGAAGAGGAGAAAAAACAAAAGTTATTTTGCCCTGAAAGTGATGTCCAAGGCGAAGTAAGGAATAGTTGTTCTAACGTAAGGGTCATCTCAAAAAAGAGTGTATCTTCAGTCATGAATGAGAGAACCCTCTTGAGTTAGCTCAGGCATCCATCTCTGATCAACATGATAGCAGCATTTCAAGACAGGGAAAACCTCTACCTAGTTATGGATCTGTTGAGCGGAGGAGATCTCCGTTATCACATTGGAAAGAACAAGAAATTCTCAGAGGAAGAAACGAGTATATATGATGCAATATAATGATTAGAGTTCTTTTGTGCTTGCATCATCATAGCTCTGGAATACCTCCACTCCCAAGGCATCATCCATAGAGATTTGAAACCAGAGAACCTAGTATTCGACTCTGAAGGCTACCTCAGATTGACAGATTTGGGAATTGCCCGTATTTGGCGACCTGACAATTCCTCAGATACAAGTGGAACTCCTGGATATATGGCACCAGAAGTGCTTTGCAGATAGAATCATGGGATTGCTGTTGATTATTTCGCATTGGGTGTCATGGTTTATGAATGCATGTTGGGAAGAAGACCCTACGTGGGTAAATCGAGATAGGAGATAAGAGATAATGTGTTGGCGAAGTAAGTTCAAATAAAAAGAAATGAAATTCCTGTTTCATGGTCTTTGGATGCTGCTGATTTTGCCAACCAAGTAAATGTGATTTCAATTTATTAGTTGATCCAACGTAAACCAGCTCAAAGATTGGGCTCCGATAACCCAGAGGCTGTTAAGTACCACCCTTGGTTCAAAGGGTTCGAATGGAATAAGTTACTCAATAAGGAGTTGCATCCTCCTTACATTCCTCGTTGTTCCAGCAATTAAGGAGGGTCCACTCAGGATACAGAACAGGACACCAATGAAAATAACATGATGCTTAGAAGGAACTCTATCTAAGGTATTTAGTGTTAATAACTGTCGATAGCTTAATTCGATGGATATAATTATGATCCTAATGAAGTGATGATAGCAGAACCATCTAAATTCTGATTAACTTTTTATATTAGTAATTATAATGACACTCATAGAGTCTTCATCTTGTAGTTGATGATCGTAGCCAAATTCATCAATTGCTCTAAATACTCAGGATTGTTTTCTAGGGTCTAGTCTGAACACTCCATTATCTGAACCTGCATTTGCTTTATTTGTTGTACTGTAATGCCATTGCGATTGGAAGCTATTATTTGATAATCTGATAGTCGAGAGGAATCCATTATTGATTTAACGATTTAATAATTAATTAAGTTAGAAATAAAAAAAGAATACTCATACTTAATTAATTTTCCCTTCTTTAAAACACTTTCTTACAAATCTTACTGCTTCTTCTTGATTGTAATTCTATCTAACCACTATGTGGAATAGATCCTAAACTAGAATTGATTAAGCAGGATCATTCTTGGCAAGTTGAAGTTTCAACTCCAAACATTTGGAATAAAATGTTCTTTTAAATTCAGATACTCTAATATTACTCTCCGATTTAAACTATCTGTATGTGTACTCAGCTTCACTGCCTTCCTAATGCTAAGACTCAGTCTTAATTCTAGTATCAACGTTAAGAGGGAATGAATTCTAAGAAACCAGCTTTTTCTGATTTTGTAACATTAGTTTCTCTTGCACCAAGGCTAACAATCTGCTTAACAACATCATGATGGTCATCGAAGTTTAAGGATATGCTATCAGTACATTTACTTCACTCTCAATGTCTCTTAACTTCTTGACACTCTAACAATTATAGCATCTAATGGCATCAATTTGTGAACTGAGTTCCTAAATCCTTATGAGAAATTTGTATTTTTGGCTGCTATCCTCCTATTTTTGTGCTGCTTTCATGGCAATTGTCTTGATATGATGTAATTATTAGGAGATTTAATCGATTTAGGTATTGAGTCTCTTGGTATTTTCCATGCAGCTGCGACAATGAAGATCGATTTAAGTGATGGGGATGAAACTTAAACATTAGACACAGAATCCCATCTGTTCGGACGGCTACTATCTTCTTTTTGTTTACTGTGCAGTGCTCATTTGAGGTAAAGATTTAATTAAAATGATTTGTTAATAGTATAAGTAATACAGAGTTAAAATAACTCAAATTATGTATTGTGTAATAAAATGCATAATTAGATATTCATTCTCACCTGATTATTTTCTGTGTACCCTTTATGTTAATAAAATTATTCTGTTTTGGTTTTGGCTTATCCAAATATATGCTCCTGATTTCCAGTGCTTTCTTTGTCAATCTCATTTTCGGTTTGATGCTTCTCGAAGGCAACACGAAACACGAGGGCTAAGGCTTCTTCTTAGAGGAAGGCGAATATGATAAATTGAGGGAATGCGATTCTGCACTATTAATGATGAGTTCATCCGAATTCTTTAATGGCACGTATGCATAATTTATATTGTTTTCCTTATTCTAATTCATGCTTCTGTTCTTTATTGGCGAGTGTATTTGAGTCTAATAGAGATTGATGTTCGCCTTTGGTTATTGTGTTTGTTTTGTGACTATGAAACTAGCATTCTCCTTTCTTGACTTTTGTGACCTTATTCTCAAATTGCTCTGATTCTATTATTTGATTCTTGCATCGCCTGCTATATAACTAATATTTTATAGTAACTTTTATCTTGTATTCATTTTTTGAATTTAATTAAATTCAACAACTAAATTTTCTTTCTTAATATACTTATCACTCTTTATTCATTTAAATATTACGCAATATCACCTCACAATGTATTTCATTTTAATTATTATAAAACAAATATCCTTCATGAAAATCTTAGATTAAATCAAATAAGAAGTTGAGCATCAAATGCAAGCCAAATATGGCAAAAGCATTTCCAAAAGATATAATAAAGCTACCATCGCACTAAGTTGGATCCTCATCTACATGGTTCTTGTTTTAAATAAGACCATCAAACAAGTACTCTTCCATAAAACATTTTACAAAAGGCCTCCGAGCTATTGGGTATCAATTACACTGCAGCCAAAAATATTTATAGACAGTATAAAAAAATACACTTGCACCAAAATCTACAGAGAAGAGCTGGAGTCTCCACCAGCGAAAACTACAACTGGAAAAAATTCGAAGTCAAAGTTATTTGCCAAAACACACAAACACACACCTACACACTCGACTCATATCTTCAAAAGTGATTTACCGCTACCTATTTTTATTCCAATTAATTTTATAAAAATTGTTATTTCTCACTGATTAAACTTCAAATCCTCCTTATCTCATTTGCAATGCTCCCATTTTATATTGATTCCCTTCCAATTCATCCAGACTACGTAATATATATGTAAATTGCGACGTCTTTAGAATAATAATCTTTTATATTCCTTAATTTTTTTAAGATTTTATAGACATAAAAACAATCTACATGTAAATAAAATAACCAATATTTAATAAACGTTATTAATAATATATATAAAAGCACAATCACTAGGAAATTCCTTACTCTAATTTATAAAACGAGCCCTTCTGATTGACCAATTGCTAATAGGATCCCTATTCTACTATCTTGCCCTCTTCAAATACATAGATCACATCAGAATCCTAAGATGATATTAAAACAATATGTACCCTGATTGTTGATATTCTGTGAGCAATGGCAATTGTCGTTTTCCCTTGCATTAATTAATTTAAACTGCTTTGAACCAACTATTCACTTTCTGCATCCAGAGCACTAGTGGCCTCATCAAGAAGGAGAAGATTACAGTCTCTCAGTACAGCTCTGGCTATGGCTATTCTTTATTTTTGTCCCCCAGATATCTAAGTTCCTTTGGGTCCAACTTGTCTATCAAAGCATTATCCTCTTTATTATTCATTCCCTTTCTATTCCGCCTGTGTTTCTTCAAATTAATTATTAATGATAAAATCATAGGCATTTGCCTTTTTGGCTGCACTCTCAATTTATTCCATAGAAGCTTAGGATAGGTTGTATTTTATATTATCTTTGATTGTCCCATTAAATAAGACTGGTTCTTGAGAGACAATACCAAATTACCTCCTTAAATAACGGATGTCATAATCAGTAATGTCGATTCCATTGATTGTAATAGCCCCTTAATCTGGTTCATAGAATCTCATCAGCATTTGCATTAAGGTTGATTTGCCACAACCAGAAGGTCCAACAAAGGCAACCTTTTATCCAGGCTTAACAATGAGACTAAGATTCTCAAACACATTTTTGTCCCTGGATTAATATTTGAATGTAAGATTATTGAAACAAATGTCTCCTTGAATGGGCTAAGTGAACTTCTGCTTTTTTAATCGTTCTTCTCTCTGAAACTCATCTTCACTATCCAAGATCTCGAATATGTTTTTACTTGCATTTTTGGCTGCTCCAATATCTCCAGCGAATGCAGCATTATTCCCTGCTCCCATGGTTGCAAATGTCAATGCAAATATAGTCCTAAACATATCATTTACACTCAAATCAATATCTCTACAGAAGACAGCTCCTACATAGAACACGATAGCATTCATGATGAAGATATTCATTTACGATAGACCCATAGCAAATCCTGCCTTGTATCCTTTGGATTTAGCCATTTCCAAGGGCATCTGAACCTTTTTAGAATAGATTCCCAGAATGATACATTCGTTTCCAAAGGAATACACAGTTCTAATGTTGGTGACAGCTTCCATTATCAAGTTGCCTGAGTCTTTATAAGCCTCATCAGTTTGAGCAGAGAAGCCTTGTAAATATTTAGCTTGTAAAACACCTGAGATAAATGAGAAGGGAGTCACTCCAAGAGTTACAAGAGTAAGTGCCCAACTGGATGAAAATGCTATTGTTAATCCGCAAACTAAAGAGGCAAAATTAGCAAGATTGATTCCAATAATAGATGATGTTAATCCATTAATGAGTTTACAATCAACTGCTAGTCTGCTGGTCAATGTTCCAGCATTGTTTTTTGCTTCATCAAAATAAGGAATTGGCATTCTCAACAATTTTCTAAATGTGTCTGATCTCAATTTTAAGGTCAACCTTTCACCAACATATGATAGACAGAAGGACTGAATTGCCCACAATATAAATGCTGCACATCCAATGATGAAAAAATACAAGGCATTTTTATCGGCTTCACTCCTAACATAAGCCATCTTTTCCTCTCTAATAGTTCCCTCGTATTGTTTTGGATTTGATTAGGCCAACACAGTTATGATATCAGATAAAAATAAAGAAAATAAGGGGAAGGTACAACCATTTGCTAATGCTGCCAATATTCCAATTATGAACTACAATCTCTCTGATCTGTTGTATGTGAAAAGTCTTCCCATCTAAGCATCTGGCTCTGGGGGTTTATCGTTTGAATTCACTTTCTCATATTTTGAATCAGTAGATTACTTTTAACTTTTAATTAAAACATCCAATTCTTATAATTGTTTGTACTGATCTACAGCTTCTTCTGTTATGCTTTTATTCTCCATGACATTCATAGATATCATTTTTTAAGGATTGCTTTTTCCTTCATCCACTTAATTAATGGGTTCTAATTGCTATTTAGAATTCTGAGGCTTCACTTATTTCATATCTTCTTCTGCATTATTGATTTAATTCTTTGCCAAAGCCTCATATTTCCCATGCTTATTCATCAACTCTTAATGCTTTCCTGCTTCCACAACTTGACCTTTGTCAATAACATAAATTAAATCTGCATTTTGAATAGTACTCAATCTATGAGCAATCACAATAGTAGTAATTCCCTTTGATACTTCATCCAGAGTTTATTGTATCAATCTTTCATTAGTTCTGTCTAAAGCACTTGTTGCTTCATCTAATAACAAAATTTAAGGCCTTTTTAATATGGCTCTTGCAATGGCAATCCTTTATTTCTGTCCTCCACTCAATTAACTACCTCCAATACCAACATAAGTGTTTAATCCTTTTTCCATTTTTGATACAAAGTCCCAAGCATTCGACTTCCTTAATGCATCTATCATTTCCTCATCAGTTGCATCTACCTTTCCATACAACAGATTCTCCCTGATACTTGTAGCAAATAAAACAGGCTCTTAGCCTACTAGTCCTATTCTACTTCTTAAATCTACAAGATCCAGATCCTTAACATTAATTCCCTATTCTCCACCAAAAAGGACTTCTCCTGAATCACAATCGTAGAATCTTTCAATTAGTTGCATTACAGTTGACTTTCCACAACCACTTTCCCCAACCAAAGCAACCTTCATACCAGGAGGTATTCTCAATGACAATCCATTCAAAACTACTTGATCTGGTCTATTTGGATAATTAAATTTGATATCTTTCAACACTATTTCGCCATTAAAATCTTATAATTTAATAGGATTTCTTGGATTAAAAATTTTAGGTTGTCTATCTAAGATTTCATACATCTAAGCTGCTGCTGCTTAACCTTTAGCAAAGTTCTAAACACATGGTCCTGCTTATCCTAAAGAAAAGCCTCCAGTTACTATAGCAAAGAATATTGTCATAACATCTCCAACTTTGTAAACATCTCCTTAATTATGATTGTATGTCTAAAATAATTGCTTATTGTTTTACTTAATCTGAAATTAACTTTGCACCATACCAAAATCCTAAAGCATATGACCATAAACTAGCTGCCCACAATAAACCTATTGCAATTCCTACTCCTAAATCATATTTCATCGTTTTATGTGCTGCTCCCTCTAAAAGTTGATAATACTTTCCGTGTTCGTACTCCTCTCCATCTAACATTTTAACAGTCTTTATTGAGTTTATTGCCTACTCTGCCAAAGCTCCAGCTTCGCTATATGCCGCTTAAGTTGCAGCTGCTGATTGTTGAATCACCACAGAAAATATTGACATTATTATTGTCAAGGCTGGTAGGGTGGCTGTTATTACTATTGCTAATTGCCAACCCCTAAATCATTGTTAGATTCATTACCAAATATATCCATATAGAAATCCAAAAAAAGTCATCGAAAAGGTCATTATAAAGGTTGGAACCTTCTCCCCTATTGCACCTTGCACTGCGAAGGATTCATTTGCCACCTTACTATTCAACTCGTTTGGATTGATAGTATCAAACCACCCCACTTCCTGGTGCAATATTGCTTTGAAGTAGTTTTTTCTAAATTCTATCCCCTATCTTTCTCCAGATATCATCCAAGTTGAAAACATTGTGAATGACAAAATTCCAGTCCCGATAGCAACTATCAAGAACCACCTTTAAAATAAAATTTGAAAATGTACAATGCATTCCACCCCGCCTGTCTAACCATCTCGTCTCCAGCTTCCTAAAATGAATTTATCATAGATCCGAATATCAAAGAAAAACTGGGAATGGCTCCACCATTCAAAAATGCTGCTATTGATCCCAAAACCATTAATGCTATATCTTCCTTTTTTGCAAATCTAAATAGATCAAAATAAGCTATCATTTTAGGTTTCTCCTCATTTGCCTTTACTTCTTAGATTTTATCACTAGCATGTATCTTAACTTCAGGTTTATCTTTCCCCTAAGACATTATATCTAATTTTTATTTCTGAAGAACAAATAAGTAAATCTTAGTTTTATTTCTTTTATAAATTCCTTCTGTTGATATACGATAAGTAATCTTCAGAAACACGCTTAAATCCCACCAACTGGAAGATTTCCTCCTCAATAACATTTCCAAAGACTTTATTACCCTAATTCTAAATCAATTGTTGAAGAATTATGCTGAAAAATGTTTAATCAGATATTCACACCAAAATTGGAATCTCTATATAAAAAGCCAATTTTGGTGAGATTTGACTCAAAACATTAACAATATACAAGTTTAACCTAAGTAGTTTCATTGATGTAACATGTATAATATAGAATAAGGATGAATAATAACTAAAGTTTTATATTATAAAAAGGAAATACTAAAATAATTATTATAAGGAGAATGATTTTTTATTGAGTTTGTTAAAACATTAAAAAGAAATATCATATTTGTCTTCCAAGTAATATAATATTATCCCTTTTTTGGGTTCAACATTTTTAAGTTTAATACTTGTTCTATAAGAATGATGAATTACTATTTTGAATATCATACATTAGCAACGAAGTCTCGAAATTACCAATTTTAAATATATAAATCGGATGGAAATTTGAAGTTTTCCCTAAATTTCTAATATTTGAAATTTGAGGGATAAATAAATTCTTTTATTAATTATTCAATAGTTCATTTATACAAATATGAAGAAAGTTTAATTGTTCATAAATTTGAAATATAATAAAATATTATTTCTAGTATCCTCATTCTTATATATAAAGAAGTTAAGAGATTCAATTCTAAAACGCTAACTAAATTCCAATGTTTATAATGTTAAAATCATATCTGATATTAAGTTCTCTATTATATGTATAAATATGAATTAATTTAAAGAGGCACATCACTTTAGAAATGATCTTCTATCATGATTAAAAATCACACAAATATGGAAGAATATCAATCAAATGAATTATATATTCAATAAAATTATTAATTCACTTCATTATAATAGATGTTTCCAATTCTATTTGTCCAATAATATATATGATTTTCTCTTAGGGTGGGATCAAATAGATTTCCATATTTTAAACGAGCACTCATTTATTCTTAAAATGATGCTAAGAATAGAACACAATAAGAAAATCCAATCAGTGCTTATGCTCCCAAAATATTAGTATATTTAGATTATTGGAGAAATGCTTAGAAAAACGATTTTTTATTTTGTTGAATTACTTCAAATTTAAGAATTTCTAAATGCAAATTGAAAGCTTATGTTGTGTTGAAAAGATGATCTAGAGGTAATTTAACAGAATCAAAACGGAGTGAAGAGGATTTTAGTGGAATATTTAGAATTTTAAAGGTGTTATTTAACTTTTGAAATTTCTAGTATTATCTATTATGTAAATCTAATGAACAAACAAGAATCACTGAATTATTACATTAAGTTAGTTTAAGAATATTCTCTTTGAATGTCAAATGATTTACTTATATACTTTAGAAGAAATCAAATTCAATATTAATAATTTACTTTAACAGTTGTTAGTATTAGATGGAATATTTTTACAATTTTCACATAAGAAAGTCAAGTCAGTTATGGCAGGATTCTAAATGATGATTCTGAAACTCTTAGGATAATTTATTTACCAATAAGTAAATGAAGAATCAATTTTTAGATTATGCCTGGAAGAGAGTATGTAACTAGACATATTTATTGGAGACTAGTCTTAATTCTATTATGAATTCTTTGATTAATTTGAAATACTTAAAGACTCCTTTATTTTGTGATAAAAAATTATTTACTACTTAAATTCTCAGAATGGATGCATCATACAATTAATGATGTTGATAGAGAAGTTCAACATAAATATTGTGATAATTTGAAAAAATTAAACAATAGAGAATGAGAAATTAATGTACATCTTAAATTTAATTGTTCTTTATAATTATTGAATTGACAAATATATCAACCGAAAAAGCGTTCAGCATTGCAAAATGTTTAAAAAAGGAAACATTTGAAATAGTTAATTGAATTAAATTTATATATTAATTAATGGGCAATAACCACGCCAATCAGTTCGAGAACCCGTATGATATCTACAAAACATACTAAGTAACATCCCTTTTGAAAATTTAGAATCACTGGTACGTTGGAGTGGAAAGGGAAGTCTAAAAACTAGGATATCATATCAATGTCAGATCAGATCGTTTTCATAAAAGCAACTTTCTTTCCTTATACTAAATAATCAAACCTAAGGCTGAGTCAATTATAACAACAAGTACTAACGAATCTCTCTTCGCAACAGAGTTAGAAAATATAAAACGAAGCAAAAAAACAATAGATCCATTTAAAGAATTTTAAGTTACAACATTACTCTAAGATTGTGATCCTTGTTTTCAAGATTATGAGAAATAAGTCATTAATTAATTATCGACTCTTTCTGGCAGCTTGTTGGAAATCTTTTAAACTTTTCTACAAACATAACTGCCCAATACTAGTCAAGAATTAGATACATTATTAATTAAATTTCGAGATTCATTTGTTTAAGTAATTAAATAATTAATTTTTAGATTTTAATACATTATTATGATCTTAGACACTATGCTGCAATAAATTAATGCCAATTTCTAACTCTATAATCACTTTAGTGCCTTGTCACTAATATGATTTTTAATTATGAGATATCTTCCTATGTTTACTAAATTAAAAAGTTGGAATAGATCGGCGAAAATGAAAGGATACACCTCAAATTGATCTAATCTCAAAACAAAACCCTTGCAGATTTTGGAACTTCTATTAAGTTTTGCTTGGATTGCACTACCAGAGATTATATTCAATCCAAAATATCAACTAAAATTAATACAAATCCTTTCATTACTACTCCTGTACAATAGGATAATTACTAAACTCTTATCATAGAGGATGTTGATCTTACTTCGATACCCTCACGACCTTAAGCAAGGTTGCTTTAAGGCACTTTTTTTCATCAATCCCCTTTTGAAAAAGCTATATAGGCCTTACAACTTATTTAATTTAGATAGACTCCTCATCATAAAATAAAATAATTAATTCTGTGTTTTCAATGTATATATTCTACAATTTTGGATTATTATCAATAATTTGCTTAACAACCATCAAATATGAGTACCGATGAAATGATAACAATATTTAATTATGTTCTATGCAAGTCTAAACTCTAAAATCCATACACTCACTTTGAAATAATGCAGAGGTACTTGGGAAATTTAGATGGGGTTGAAGGCATCTATCTAACCATAATGGAGGCCACCTTTTATATTGATTGAATTAATATCTTTTTTCTCTTATATCTTCATTCACATTTAACTTTTCAATATATGACTTAATATTTTCTATAAATCTAAGTGTTAGATCTTATTAGTCGATAATATATATATCATATTTTATTTTAATCAACATTCTAAAACAATTAAAAGAGAAGTATAATTTAGTGAAAATTAAAAAAAGTATAATATAATATACCAAATCTCATACAATTTCTAATTAAGTATATTTAGAATAGCAAAGCTAATATAAAACAATAATTATTAAAATAAGAAAGTAATTAACTTTTTCTTAGAACAATTAAGAAATATTATCTCCAGGATTATCATTCTAAGATTTGATTAAATATTGTTTACTCCTTTATTTTTATATTAGCTAGTTTTTTTTTATGCAATTCAATTATAAATATAATTAGTAGTAAAAATAAATTAATAATTAAATTTAATTTTGTTAATAGAAATTTGAAATGAATAATCAGGATTAGAATAAGAAGCATTTTGTTTATAATTTTAATCAATAAGAGATGATTAAACAAGTTTAATAAAAAATACAAAGCCTAGAAGAGGATTAAAGAAGACATGAGAAAAATATTAAAGATGATATTTACGCATTATAAAATTTTATTAGCATGAATTTATCGATGGAATTCGACATTTTTGAAAATGATAGGAATATGCAATTAAAGATTTAAAGCAAGGAGTTGGATAACAAAAAAATAATCTAAGATGAAATTAAAAAATAATTAGTATTTGATCTTGAAGTTCATTTTACAAGGTTCATGGAACATTAATAGAAATGTAATTATAATTAATAGCAATATAATAATGAAATTTAAGTAAATAAATATGAATAAGAAATAAATTTATTGAAAGAGAATGTCGGTTATTTTAAAATGAAGATGGAAGAAATGGAAAAAGCAATCTACTAAACAAATCACCTGCATTAAAAATATAAAAATTTGGAGAATGAAATTAGTAAAATATAACCGTTATAACCAACGTTAGAATAGAACATTTAGAAATTTTAAGAGATAGATCTAATAAAAAAATATTAAAGTGAAATTTCTGAGAGATTTTAAAAATTAGAAAGAAAAAATGATGAAAAATATTTATAAATAAATAAATTGGTTAGCGATTAGAAATGCAACATAGATGAATTATAAAGTTAATTATCTCTTTCCTACAATCAATTAAATACTTAATCAACGAAAAATCTTTAAAATGATTTAATTGAGGAATTTAAGTTATTAGAAAGTAAAAATTAAGACAAATTAATGTAATTGGGTAGGTTGTTAAATGAATAGGTCTAAAAACAATAAAATGACCATAATATATTAACTCAAGTCATTAATTAAGCTTTTTAAAAATAAGATGAGATAAATAATAAATTATAATAATTAGAAAAAGATATAAATTCTATTATAAGTAATAAAATTAACACCCCAATGACATAATAACCAAATGACATTACTCAATCGCCAATTTTTGGATAAATAAATTAAAATGGAATTCCTTAAGGTTTTAAACCTCCAATGACTTTATAAGGCTAAGGTAAAGAATAGACTAAAGTTTTCCCTGAATAAAAACTAAGCAGTATTTAACAATTTGTAAATTTATAAAAAAATAATATCACTTTCAACTCCCCCATTTAATAATAATAACCGTAAGTTTTAATTCCTTTTTAACAAATTTAAATTCCTGGCTAATAAACTATTTAAGGTGAATATTCTTCCTAACAAAAGTAGTCAATGATATAAATAAAAAATTATGCCAATTAACCAAATAATATTAAATTTTAGAGTTAGATTAAATAATCCTTAGCCTAGATAATAGATGTCAATTTTCCGACTTAAATTACACTAATTTAAAAGGATTTAAATAGATGTCAAAAAATTTAAAGAATAATTAATTAAATATATGATTAAACAACCAGAAGGAGATCAGCTTCTGGAGAATATTAATATTTTATTAGAGAAGAGGAGGATTACTTTTAACTTTAAAAACACTATGGAATAAGAACTATCTAATAAAAATAATAGTTAAAGGAAATATGTAATGCATTCAGACAAGCTAGAGGGGATGGAAATTGTTTTTATACTGCTTTTGGGTTTTAAGTAATATAAATTTTTATAAGAGAATATTCTAGTTATGAATTTAACTAATTAATTGATAAATTAAATGGACAGTTTAAATGTTAAATCAAACTTTAAAATGAAAAGTTTGATGGTGATGAATTCCATAATTCTGCTTATTATGAATTTTTATATAGATTATAAGAATTAGAAAAGTATAGAATATAGAGGATAGAATTAAATTATTTACTTAACATTTTTAAGCTTACGATGCAAATCAAAACTAAGAAATTGATGGTTGCCTATATGGGTTATCAACAATATTCTTTAGAAATCTAGCTTATTATGTAGTATAAAATAGCGAACAATAAGATATGATCGATGATTAATAAGCATTGTTACAGTGGGAAACTGAATGCAACTCAAACGAAATAGTCATTAAATTATTAGCAGATTATTTAAACATGTAATCTTTAATTATTCAATATCTTTAGAAATATTAAACTTTTGTTTTTTGATAAAGGAGAATTCTCTTAGAGAGAATATAATTAAAATTCTTAATTATCAATTTTATTATTGATTTAGCCAGGCCATTATAATATTGGTTTAAAAAATCCCTGAAAAAGCCATTTATACGATATAAATACTCAATAATTAATTTTATTATTATTTATAAATTCTTATCTGGTTTATTTTTAGAGTTATATTAAAACTATTCTTTGATTTCTTGTAGAATTAATTTTACTAAAATTTATTATATCAGTTAAAATGGCTACAGCCCATCTAGATTGGTCAAAGAATCAACAACAGGTTAGGAATTTAATGTTATAGGAACAATTGATCAAAATATGAAGCTTGGTATGATTTATGCAAATATGACTTTAGGAAATTCCATAATTAACCAAATTAAAAGGAAGTTTGGTCACACATTGAAGTAAGATGGAGAACTTAACTTTTGACTTTTATTCACATCTTAAATTAATTATTTTTTTAATATAATAATTCTTAAAGATTTTCTCCAAGCTAAACTTCATAACTTATTATTAAATCATAAATTATAAATTTAGTAAGTATATTATTTAATTAAATCATAAAGAAATATTTAATCCATATTCAAAACGACAACAAAATCTCAATTATATACTATCAAAATATTAATGACAGTTTTACTTGAATTACAATCACAAACTTTAATATAATTAAAAAATCTGAAATAATTTTATTGATGATTTTAATTTTTTTATCTCTTAAGTATTCTATTAAATTTTCTAAATAATTTATAATTTTAACGAATATATTCATTTATGCATTAACCTTAGAAATAACCAAAATCACCTTTCAAGTAAAGTTATTGATATCATTTCAAGACAAACTGAGAATATTGGAAATGAATACTAATCTAAAATTCAAAGAGAGGATATCTACAACTTTAAATTTGATAACTAGAGTAAATAGAAAGCCTAGGAGTAGTGCTTAAAAAAAGAAGTTGGCAAATCAAAATTACAGGATAAGTTACCCATTAGCAAATCTGCTATTGGAAATTAATAGCAATAAAATACAGAATTTTAACATATTCCAAAATAACCAATAAATTAACCAAAAAAGGATATTTAAAAGCAGAACAAAACCAAAAAAAGCAATACCAAGAAACAATAAAGTCAATAATATTTACCGAAATTGAATAAAGAGAAAAAAAAGCCTTTTGATTATAATCTTATTTAAAAATCAGGTAATGTTGAAAAACAGAAGAAATCTGAAGATAATATTAATAAATTTAATGAATAGAATTAGGATGTCAAAATAGGTAATCAAGAAATAAATATCAACAATAATGAAGAAACAAATACCAACAACATTGAAGAAATATAGACCAACAATAGTGAAATACCTTAGCAAATTAATTAAGACGAATACAAAGACGAAAACTAGCAATTAAATATAAAATTTCAATCAAATGAAGCAAGACTACAAAAAACTATAAAAATGATTAAAAATCTACAAAATATATCATCAAATAAACGACATATGGAAGAAAGGTATAAATATTATCTAAGAGAGACGGAGGACTTCAACTCTTTATGTAAACAGTATTAAATTCAGAAATTAATGCAAAAATAAAATTTAAAATAGCATTGCAATAGTATTTAGTTTGTAAGGGGAGATGGAAATTGTTTTTATACTGCATTTGGGTATCAATTATTGAAACATTTACTATGTACTTTCAGTAATTCTTAATCAATATGATCAATTCATCTAATTTATTTTAGATGAAAAAGAGTTTAAATTTAAAATAAATTATGATAATTTTTAAATAAATGACTAAGAATTGTTAGCAAGAATTTCTTTATTAACTTTAGTAACTTCGTCTGATTGAAGAAGAAGATGATCGAAAGCTATAACTTTAATCATAATTTGCTGAACATGAGATATAAGAAAATGGTTAAGGTTGCTTTAACAATCTTTCCACGATATTCTTAAGAAATTTATGTGATGCTGTCTTAGAATGTAGTGAGATGAAAGAGTATTGCCTTGATAGAGAAAACTTGCTAATTTGGGAGGCTGAATGCAATAATAATGAAATTATCATTTAAGCACTTGCATCATAATTGAAAATGTAAACTTATCATTTCTAATTTTAGGTCATGTTAAACTGATATTTTTTTCGAACAGTAACTATATCATTTAGGAGTATGAAAAAGATTATTAAAATGAAATTATTCTTCTTATATAACCAGGACATTATAACATTGGATACAATAATTGATTGAATAAAAACAATTTTATTGTATAATTTTTGTTTTAATCTAAAATCAAATAATTTTCTTAGATTTTAATCATAAAAATAACATTCATATTATCATCAAAAATGTCGATATAAACTTATTTTTTAAATTTCATCAAAGAATACTAATTAAAATTAGATATATTTTTGTTCTGTTTGAGTCTTAAATCAGACATGCTCAAAAATCAATCTCTATTATTAAATATGAATTGAGTAATCATAATTTAAATTTGATATCTTTTTTTCTAGAATTCCTAATGTAACTGCTTCTTAGTTCTAATTTAAGTAAAATTAATTTGTTTCACCCTTAGCCAAATTTAAATTTACAATAAACTTATTTATATTTTATAATCATAAAAGTAGCTTTAAAAAATACAGGAGTAAATCATTATAAATTTAAGAGGGCCAATCAAATTAATCTACACGTCAAAAGTTACTAGTTAGTCTAATATTTATTAAAGCTTACATTAAAATTACTTATAAAACTAAATTATAATTATTCTATCTATAGTTATAAAATACTATTTTATAACTTCAAAATTGTATTTGATTAAATAGCAAAATATTTTTTTTTTAAATGATGAGTCATTATAGTGATCTTGAATTTCTCTATGGTGATAATGGGGCTAAGAATGTTTAAGATTTAGAATTGATTATGTAATAGGAAGAAGCTGTCTCTCCAAATATTTTTGCAGTTGTCATAATTCATTAATTGAGCAATAACATTGAATAGACTATCTCAAGAAATGACGTTATAGCAGCTATAGAACAAATTATAAAGAGAAAATTCTAGGGAGAAATGGTAATTAACATGTCTAATAAATAGAAGTAAGTAAGATCAATTGATGTGAAAATTGAACCAATACTATCAACTTCTGTTAAAAAGGCTTGTTGCCTGATTTAAGTGGAGGAAAGCATAATTCAATAATTAAAAGGAAATAAAATGCCTTTATAGTTTAGTGACAAAGATCAAGATAAGGAGTTGAATGCAATTTTTGAGGTTACATTTTTTGAATTCAATGAATTTAATTAATGTAATCTATTGAGGAATGGAAAATTTGCTAAAGAATTTGCAGTGATCAGACCATATTAAGAGTCTTAAAGGTTAACATCCATAATCTTGTCCATCAATAAAATGGATTAACAGATTTACGCAATAAAAAAAGTAAGAATAACGGGAGAGTTTACTTGGCAGAAATTATACTATAATAAAATTACACAAATTAGAGAAGTCAAAGCTATGTTACGCCTTTAACATCCAAATGTAATTAGATTATATAGTTGGTGGATCGAAGAAGAAATTAGAGAAAGAAATAACAAATATATTTATCTTTATTAGCAATTAGAATATGATTCATATTTAGGTTGCAATAATTTATTGTAATTTAGTTTGATACACCTATCAAAAGCATCAGAAAAAGAGAAAAGAAAAACTATGCAATCTTTAATACATTAATTAATTTCTGGGTTGGAATACATTCATAATTAAGGATTCTTTCATAGAGATTTAAAGCTAGAAAATCTTCTAATTACTTAAGATGATGCTGGAGAGATGGCTCTAAGAATTTGCGATTTTGATTGGAGCATATCTCATTAAAATGATGATGGATAAAATAATAATTAGCTAATATTTAGTAAATATTATGGAACAACAGAACTCAAAGTTGGGTTATAAAGGAGAGAAATAGTTTATGATGCAAGAGAAGAATTATTTTAAGTTGGAATAATTATATTGGATCTCTGTGATCCAACTTTTACTAAGGAAGAAAGAATTTAAATTCAAATGAATGCCACAAATAAGTAAAATCTAAGTCTATTTTATAGTATATTTAGACCCCAAATTCTATAAAATTATAAACTTGAGTTACAAATTATTTAAGCATTACTTAGGAAAGATTTTTAATCTGTATAAAAGTTTAGAACTTCACAACTTTATAATCAATACATGCAAATGTGATTAGAAAATATTTTGATATCATTTAATAACCATTTTATTTTTAATGTTGTATTCTTTATGTACTAAAATCTCAATTATTTTATCATATTATTAATTATAGTTAGTTATATTCATAAGTGTTTCAATGTGTAATTATAAGTTATCACTAATATTAAGCCCAATAAAGAGCAGATATGTGGCTTATTGTCTTGCTTTATAAAGTTTTGATTATCACTTCTCTTTGATAACCATATTGTTCAATCTATAAAAAATAACAATTAATAAAATACTTAGCAAATAATTCTTAAATCTAAATTTAAGTTTGCTTACTATTTTGTATACTTGAAATCAATATCTTTCATCCAAGTGTGCTTCATAATTTCAGGTAAGGTACATCTTAATTTAGGATTGATATTTAAAATAGATTTCATCAAATCTACAGCTTCATTTGAAAGATTTGCCTTCTTAATTTCCATAAAATTTAATTATCCACTCTAAATCTATGAGTTTAGTTCATTCATATTGTTTCCCTTGAATGGAGTTTTACCAACCAATAAAACATACAGAAGAATTCCTGAGCTCCAAATATCACTTGCAAATCCCTCATATCCAGCCTTTTAAGTCATAATCTCAGGAGCCAAATAAGCAGGGGTTCCACATTATTCTAATATCTTTTACCCCTTTACAATTTATCTACTTACTCCAAAATCACATAATTTTATTTATTCCCCCTAAAATAGTATATTGTCTAATTTAATATCTCTATGCAATATATTGTGATTTTGCAATATTTAAAGTGCTAATACTAATTGTCCAAAAATATTTTTGGCCATTTATTCAGATAATGGTTTTTCTTTAGTAAATTTTATTAAGTCTCCTCCTTCTACATATTCCATAATTAAATAAATTTGTCTTTTGGTTTCAAAAACTTCGTATAATCGAATGCAGCATTTATAAGGTTATAAGAGTTTCATTAAAGCTATTTCCTGCATCAATCTTTTTTTAGCACTATCATTTTTTAGACTTGATTTATCAATTATCTTCATTGCCACTTTTACTCCAGTCAAAATTTGAATCCCTAAACAAACTTTAGCAAATGCCCCTTTCCCTATTACAGAACACAGCTGCCTATTTTAAGTCATTATATCAAACCTTATAATAATCTACTGTGGTTGTAGGTATTCTTTTTTTCACTTTAATCGTATTTGATATCCTGTTAGCCAAAATTACTCGTTCTTTCATTAAATCTTCATCCATCTTAAACTGCGGTTCATTTAACTATAATAAGAAATCTTAACAATCTGCTAATTCAACTTCAGGACCTAATTAGTCCCCTAATAGTCTTGGAATTTTATCTTCTTTAGGCCCATTTGAAGCAGATCTTGTGCGAGCAGAAGATGTAGATCTAGTCACACTAATATTTGTTGTTTGCTTTTTCTATTTGACTAAATCTATTTTCACAGCTTCCACCTTATTATTCTTATTTTTAGCAATTGAAGTAACAGGACGAGATGCTATTGGTTTAGGCAATGATTTCACAGAAGAATAATTGGAATGGCGAGATTAATTTGTAGATAGTGTTATGCATTTCACCTATTTAACCTGCTGATTTAATTTCTTCAGTTAACTCATTATAAACAGTTAATTTATTAAAAATATATAATAAAACACATTCTATTTATAATAAATCCTTTTCTTAGAATTAAATTCAAGGTTTCTATTATTATTTCTCTGATTTTTTAAGAAAACTTTCCCTAAAATTATTGTATTTTCTCAATTTATTTTAATTATCTATTTTAATTCCTTCGAAGAAACAGGAATAAGATAAATTCAAATTATATTGCTTTCTCATATAATTTATAATAAATTGTCTGATGTATTCATGATCAAAACTATCGTTCAAACTCTAACAAAATAAAAATAGAACTATATATTATTTTATTATATATTTATATAATATAAAATTATATTTATTTAAT